TGGAATTTGCGTATAGAAATGACAGCAATGAAACAAAGTTAATTAAAAATTAATACCAGTCTGCAACGATGAATAATTTTAAAATTATGATTAAACAAAGGCCTACCCGTGTTTCAAGCCATATGTAAAAATAAAAGAGAAAGTGAGGCTTTGGAACCCATAAATAGTCTGGCACCGTCCCATTCCATAGTCTACAATTTATATAATACATTCAGGGAACGTGATCAAAACGGCTTCCTGGTGAATACGGTGTATAATAAGGTACATTGGCTGCTAAGCACATACATTCATTTACAAGCATATTTAAGTCGGAGAGGCGGAAATATACGGCAGCATCCCACCTATCTCAACTACAGTAGAGCGCAGAGCCCGCCTTGCCGGCCACTGACATAGAACCAAAGAGCAAGTTGTCTCCGACCTCATCTGCTGGAGATTGCCTTGCCCCAACAGAGGGAGGAGACCCCTCAACTACGTTGACACTGTATGCAATGATGTGAGCCAGCACGTTGATGACGTCATCACGGCCATGGCGGACAAGAGAGTCTGGAAGAGTTTGGTTGCATCCATTTTGGCTGCGGCCGCCCAATGATGATAATGATATTTAAGTAGATAAAAACAGGTACCATCAGCCAAAAAGTTTTGCTAAGTATATTTCTTGAAACCGGAACTTAGCTTATACTCTTCTGTCTTAACACCAATAATGCTGAGCAATAGTTTCCTCCTGACGGCTCCTTGAAATAGGGCACAGGTCAGTCGCTTCACTTCTATCATACATCTTCTCAAAAGTACGTCGCCATCTGCCAAATTTGGCCCTAAAGGGTGCAAACCGGTAAATAGGCTTAAGTCCATCCGCCGAGCTCATGAATAAAAATTATACCCTTCTATATCAGAGAGTTCTGAGAGCCATAAAATTGGGAAATTGAAGAGATATGGCAATGAACCTCTGGCCCGGACTTGGGGACTCCATTTCTGAGCATTTTGGATGCAATTGGGCTCGAAAGTGGCGCTAATTTGCCATGTTGTGGAGGGATCGTTTTTCAAGCTTTTCCGCTTTGGGGAAAAAGTCGTCTTCTTTGGGTGAGAGTATCTCCAAAAGTCAATGGTCAACCCACCAAAAAATGAAAAGAAAATGAAAGATGACATGTTGATCATCATTTGTCTGTGCAGCTTAAATACCTGTGAGAGTTCTGAGAATTTTAAAAAGAACTTTGAAGTCAGGCATTTAGCACTAGGGTGGACTTTTAATACAGGGTAACACCCCTGATTGACAGCGGCCATCTTTTTGTACTGCCCCGGTACACAGTACACCTCCGGTAGTTTATTTTGGGTTTGACGTCAAAACCAACAACACTTCAGACTTCAACAGTTGACCGTTATCTCCAAGGTGGATATAATCCTTCCTAAAACTTATATTTGACTGTGGTTTATCCCCTAGTGTGTATTTGTTCTGGAGATTTGGACATCCGTGATGAGCATATTATATAGCTATCACATGAACACTGCATTGTCACCATGGTGAGGGGAAAGTAAACAAACTGGACAATTGTGTGTATCATAGAGGAGTCTTGAAGCAAGATTGAATTCTCGTTTGATGTTAAAGAATCATGGAGATAAATAGAGTGAAAAGGAAATCATGAATAGGCTGCGCATCTCTTCCTCAATACTACATGTCCTACACTAATATGAAGCCGCTACTACATTTTCTTGATTATACAATGAACAATATTGTGTGAGCACGGGGACCAATGCTTGATTTTATTATTAATGAAACCAAGGATTCCTCAAAAGTACCCTATGCACTGTAGCTCGCAAGCCTGAAGAAACCTGTGGAGAGAAGACAATGAGAAGAAATTACAGTTTTAGAGGTGGGAGTAAAAACCCAGAAGAATATTCAGGGGAAAACCCACGGAATCAGGTAGGGACTGAAAACCCAATCCACATTGGCCCAGGCGGGATTCGAACCCGGGTCACAGCGGTGAAAGGCGAGGAAAGTACCGCTTCGCCAACCTGACTCCCCAAAATGACAGTATACATGTACTGTCACCCAAATTACATGAGTTTCAGGAAACATGAACGATACTTATAATAGCATTCCAACTTCCTCAACTGAAGAAATTGAAACCATTCACAACAGTCACGAAAATCTGTTCTTTGCTGCTATGAATAAACTATCACATGATGTTAATATTTATAAGATCCACGTGATGGAATAAAAAAAAAACCCAGGTAGGCATATACTATACTATTGACCGATGTGATATGTAGTGACTCACTGTGAGGCTTAACGAGCCAGGCCAGGTGTCAGTCTCTCCACTGGTAGTTTGGATAAGTGGGTTCTTATAGATCATACGATATGAAATTGAACGCAGTAATTTCTTTTTTGATGAGCAACTCAATACTGACTCACGCTTGCCGCTATTGGTTGGCATTTGAAATCCAGGGATGATAAACGCTGATGTGTCAATGCAAATAGATTCCCTCGGTCGGTTAATTTAAATTTAAAAAAAAAATCTATTTTTTCCTGCAAAGTTTTTTGAAATTGACAAAAAGGAAAAACGCGAGATGGCTAGTCTAAATAACGAAGGAACAACCGACACTCGCTATAGCAGAAATAGGCAGTGACCCACCTATAATACAATAGCACACGGACAAAGCTGCATTGTAAGGACCACAAAAATATACGGCCCCGACTGAGTCCAAAAAAGATCGCATTATAAAAAAAAATCTCCGTGTTGTTATAAACAGGATGTAATTGTAAACAACTGCGAATTCGATGAATGCCTTGAAAAAGGTCACACTGAAAAACAGGAATTAAGCACTTTAATTGTGACATAATACTGTGACTATGCAAAACATGCGGTCATGACGATCTCATATATCAGCCATTCTTTGAATAAAACCTGGAACTTAGAACAAAACATGTTCTTGATATATCACGCGACAATATTAAATCACACAGCAATCCAGGAACACTTAGCCACGGGGAAATGTTTATATTCCCATTCATTCGTGGTAAACAGACTGTACACCAGGTGTACAAAGTATCATCGTATGACACTATAATTACACAACAAAATTGTGGTTTTACATGAATGCTCTTCTGTACTTCTTTAGTGACAGGATTTCCTTGACAATACTACGAATAATGCACGCGGGAGTAATATTGCCGCTTGGGAAAAATATCATTAACTGAAACATTGCGATGAGTGTTTTCAGAAACAGGTAAATACTTCACAGCTGCATCAGTTTCTGAAGCCAGCAAGTAAAACATGCATGGCTTCATATTACATGACACTCATTGACATTTCCAAATATAAACACGGCTGAAATAGTTCCTGCTCGAAATTTGCCATAATATTGACGAGGAATTCCGGTGTGTATACGGACCTAGTCAAGTTGCACAATCATCAAACAACTTTTCAACTTCAAGGTGAGGGGTGGATAAGTCAGAAGAAAATACCAGTACAGGAAAATATAAACTACTGTGTTCGTAAAAAAAGGAAGACATTGCCGATATCCAGAACTTGTTATCGTGTTTACAGGCAAACAAAAGATAACCTGAATTGCGTGCACCCTAGACATTGACACCAATGGTACAGCCTTGCACGGGTTCTGATTTGCATATAACAGGTCAATTCAGTGGTTGTGTTTGTTATTCTCTACCTCTGCGCATTAAAGGACCTTGGGAAGGTTCCCATCAATAATGAAATGAAAAGTGAAAGAATTATTATTATTTTTTTTTACAAATATTAACAATTGTATATCAACATCAGACAATATTTTGGCCAAAAAATATGCCCCCTCAAAAAAAAATATGCTCCTCAAAAAGAATAGCCGGAAACTTAAAAAATATCAAAATATCATGGTATTTTCTGCAGCCTACATTCACTGCTTCTATTTTTCCTTGAAAAAAAAACTTTGAGTGTTCTTTGCTCTATGATTATTTCAAGAAGAGTACTATAGCCTATTCCTTTTTGGTTCACATTTATTGCCTGTAATGTAAACAGATGACTAAAATCTAACCTCGTTTGATAAGGTCAACTAATAATTAAACAGTTTCCAGTTTATCAATATCATTGAGAAATGTGCTTCACTAGATAAGGACCTACCCTATGATATAAGGTTTGAATATATAGAATAAGACAGGCGGTGAAGCCTGAAGGTGAAGTTTGTAGAAAAAAAGGAAAAGAAAAAAAGGAAAAGAGCAAACTTAATGTCTAAAATGTGTCACAGTCGACCGTAATTCGCGTGTATAAAATCCGAATTATCTTGCTTGGAATCCGGATGCAATTTGGTTCAAAGAGTTACTGGGATTAATTTTTCTGAGACGGTTTTTCCGGGGGAGAATTACACATGTCAAGTGGCAAGTCAGTAATGTTAGTGACAATACTCGAGAGAGCGGATCGAGCGCGCCACAGACCCGGTTTCGACGAAGTGCACTGTCTGCTCGCAGCGCTAGCAACTGCCGCCTGAGTCATGCCAACCAGCTCTCTTATATACCCTGCTAAAAATAGCCGCGGCTCTCCTCATCACCAAAACAAACCCGAGCGAGATGAATGTACACACACGGAAAATTTCACACGGCCGAGAGTTGCGCAGGGGTCAAACGGAGCGCGACAGCGAATAGGATGACTCGGCAGATATGTGCTGTACCCTGCAGGGGCTATTAGCACGTCCGGGATTCGCTGCAGTGACTTTTACGTCACGGCAGTTATCTGACGTCACATCGCGCAGTGAGCCGCGTGATTGCACGAAATCCTTGAACCTATTGTTGAGGACATGGTTTATTCATGAGCTGGCAGTGCTGTGCACAAAACGCCATAGCCGCAGAGATCCGTACGCTACGACAGCCCAGCTGCACTGAGCCGTCTGGCCGGCGAGCGAGCTCTGCTTATATACGGGCTAATTTTAGATATGTAAATGACCTGGCTCTCTGCTCAGCGATTGGCTGTTCACGGCTGGCATGAATGAAACAGCCGGTGGATGGGAATGTGATTATATTCCAAAGGCCGGCGGGAGAACGATCAGAACTCACTTGAGAGCTTGTCGAGAGCAGTCGCAATCTTGAGATATCTACGCTAATATTTCTCGCAAGAAAATACGGAACAATACCTGGATAATCAATGGCACTGATGCTTGGAGAGCTGTCACAACACAACGGCATGCACAGCATTGCAAATGATGTAAGTGTCTTTTTACATGCTTTTTTTCAGTCTACTTTTATTAATCCATGGCAACCACATTTACTATTTCTCATTTTTCATTCGCAGTTCCTATTTTGTACTGATGTTTACATTATGCTCCCCACGTGTTGTTGTCAACCTTGCATAATAAAATATGTCTTGTTCAATCTTATACAACCTGACAAGATTTTCCTTCAAGTAAAAACAATTTCAGTGGTTTTAGTTTTCACACGATGTAATTTGGATCATCAAAAATTAGTTTTTGACATTTAGGGGGTAGAACTTCCTCTAATCATGTATTGTGTATATTTAGATGATTTTATGATGGAGAAATATTTATAGCATAACGACTGTAATATTGATGCAACAATATTACTCAGTATCTGTTTTTCGAGTGAAGTTAAAATCTGCACATTGCACAATGTTTGTACCCACGATGTACTGTTCTCGCATTGCTAGCATCTAATTCTACCTCCATGGTTTAATGCAGCGATTGAACTATTAAAGCGTCAAGCAAACAAATTCCAATAGACTTTGCTTAGCTGATTGCATTTCACTGGCAGGCTTATGCAAATCCTTATTGCATTCCTCTTGCCGTGGCAATTCCTAGTGTAAGTTTGTTCTCAACCACTTGACAATGCATCCATTGTCAAGTGGTTGTGAAGTTTACGCAAAGGTCCATTGTGCCCCCAAATTGCCACGAACCGCAAGACCACAAAAGGCCTTAATTAAATCACTGGCGACTTCGAGGCAGTTTTCTTATGTTTCGTATCCCTTTCATCCTTCTTTGCATATCCAGATGCTGTGGGCCGAGATGGACGACATCCTCATGGAGAACTTCTCCGACTACTCGGCAGGCTTTGAGCAGCCGGGTTTCCCCCTTTTGATGCCTAGCGGTCCCCCTCGCCCAGAGACCAGTTCACCCACCGGTACCGTGTCCAGCCTCTGCAGCAGTGATGGCGGCAGTGCCTGTGTCTCGCCTCCTCCAGGCCTGCACGCACACGAGGGTTACACGGACCTCCTGGACTTGGACTTCATCCTGAACAACACAGTCTATGGCCAGGAAGAGGAGATGCCGATTGGTATCAAGATCAAGGAGGAGCCGATGAGTCCAGGCGGAAGCAGCTGCTGTGGTAGCATGGAAGCCCCATCCCCAGTGGCTCTGCCCGAGATGGACAGTTTCCTCAACTTCCCTGATATCTCCCTGGAGCGCTTCGCTGCTCCAGATGTGAAGCCCTTCCTGATGCAGATGCAGCAGCACCAGCAGCCACAACAGAACACTCTGCATCACCTGTCCCCCCATCATCCTCGCCAGCAACCTCAGCAGCAGCAGATGTCACCTCCCTGCTCGCCACAGACAGTACCCGAGCTGCCATCCTACGCCGCTCATCAGATGCAGGCCAGGCAACACATGCTGATGATATCCCTCCAGCAGCACCAACAGCAACAACATCAGCAGTCTCTGCTGACACCCCCGAACACTCCCCCTACCTCCCCACTCCTCGATCTGCTCCGCAACACACCGGCCGACACCAATATGCCGCCTCCGCAGACATCAGGAGCTCCTCAGATCGTCCGCAAGAAGGGTCGCCGTGCCTGGGGCCGTAAGCGCACCACAACCCACACCTGTACCAACCCTGGCTGTGGCAAGACCTACACCAAGAGCTCTCACCTCAAGGCCCACATGCGCACTCACACCGGAGAGAAGCCCTACCACTGCAACTGGAAGGGATGCGGCTGGAAGTTCGCCCGTTCCGATGAGCTGACCCGTCACTATCGCAAACACACCGGCGACCGACCGTTCCAGTGTCATCTGTGCGATAGGGCATTCTCCCGCTCCGACCACCTGTCGCTTCACATGAAACGCCACATGTGAACAGTCTCATCATGAACACTTGACATTTTTTAAATGTTAATGTACATGCAAAATGCGAGGGTACTTATGAAGAAACGAACTTTTTACCATCTTCATTTTTGGACATGTTTCCATAATGACACTGAAACTCGTTTACTTTGTATAAATTAAAGTGCCAGTTTGTATTTGCTGTACACTTTTTGGTGAAGTTCTCGGAGTCGATTCTTTTGGGGTTTAAAAACCAAAAGAATGGCTGATTACCGATGAGCTACCGACGAAACCAAATAGCGCCGATGGCTGGGCCCGAGGTCCAGTACGTCGGCGTGGTTGTGTCAGAGAGGCAGGTCTCTATGGCAAACTGGAGTAAGAATCGATTCTTTTACTTCCGATTTCGACACCGAGTCGATTTGCCACAAAAAAGAAAGAAAAACATCTTCATGGAGACCTGCATGCGAAGTACAGTATTTTTTTATATCTAAAAAAAGGAATATCTGCATGAAAAATTTCGATGGCAGTTTTTTGCAAAAGTTTGTCACTTGTTTTGCTATTTTGCTCATTTCGAAAAACCAGAAAATTCCTATTTAAAATACTTGGTTTTGATGACAATGTAAATAAACTGGTGTTCACGGAAAAAGTCAAATTTTCAACAAAAATCAAGTCTGCAATGTTTTTCAATCAGTGCACAGACAAAAAAAGACACGACAGTGAACACAGTACTAGTGAAATATTACTTTTCAATAATAGAAAAACAAATTGCCATTTTCTGTTTTGCTGCTTTTATCGCGCACTTTACGCTAATCATATAGTGCAATTAAACTATAAATATATTTAAAGTACTACTGTAGTATATTTTAGAGAAATTTTGTTAATGTTCAACTGAAAAAGAGTAGGCACAAAATCATAAATGCATGCCCGATTTATCACCTTATCAAAGTATCGTATCAGCTGGTCTGTGAGTTATATTAATATTCTGTATGAATAATTTTGTATGTTATCTATTCAACTCGTCAACTTAATGATTTATAACCTTTGCACCGGTGTTTAATTGACGATTATTATTGATCATTATTGATAAGAGAGAGAGACAGAGAAGAGAAGGCTGAATAAAAGACCACTGGTTGGTCGCCCGAGAAATGAAAAACATTGTGGTGTTTGGATTTTATTTTAAAGTTTTCTATTTATTTATGTTTGGATATACTTATGATTCTAAAAACAGATAACTGATATGCACATCCGCTTTTGGATATGGGATAACGGATTTAGTGGGGTTTTGGTTAGGCCAAAACAAAAATAGTTCTGTTTCCCGTTTCCCTACCTACCCTATTCTGACAGCCCCTACCCTAATTTTATTTATGGGAAAAATGAGAAAAAAAGACCCAAAATCACCAATTTCTACTTGTACCCTTGACTACACGCAGACACCTCCATGTGATCGTTCACAAAAAAAATTGGCAAAAAAAGAAAAATAAATTCCCTACCTACCTACCCTATTTTCGAATGCCATGTAATCGGAAGCAGAACTTATTATTTTTTTTTGGCTTTACCATTTTTTACTTTCCCACTCATAAGATAAATCTGAACAAAAAAGTTCCGCATTGCCTATTATCACTATTATTTTAAGCAGGTCCCAAACATCGACTCCAAATGCATAATTTTCAGGACAAAATGCATATTATTATTGCAAGGACTAAAATTCAATTATGTGAAATATGCCACCTTTTAAAAGTATGACGCACACACAATGTGCATGTACATTGTACATGTACATGTATAATCTTCCTGAATTCGCCATAATTTTGTAGCGCGATATGTGACAGAGGGACCCCCCCCCCTCCCCATTTTATGTTGGTCATTGTGTTGTTACCAGCATCGCAGGAATTCTTTTGAGATATCTAGGGGATGTGTTAGGTAACAAATAGTCTAGTGTGTATAGGGTATAGGAGATTGGGGGAGAGGGGGGGGGGGTACCCCTCTGTCCCATATCGTGCTGGGTATAGACTTCGCATCATCATTTTGCGCCTTGATCTCTCAAATTCGAAAGCTGTTATACGATTTCAGAAACATTTAATTTTCCCCCAATACTAATTAAAGCTTTGATTTGGGCTTTTTGTTTATATCATTGAGGTGTAGGCCTACACATTTCTAGCAACATGTGTTTTCCACCCGGACACGTGTGCTTCAATCAATAGGATGCTGCGCGCCCACGCAGCACTGTCGGCCTACATACATAAGGATCTGTATCTGTCTGCTCATTGTTTACTGAGGCTGTTGCTAGGTTACGGGTAAATAACTTTCACAGGCTTATGCCAGGCTGAGCGCTGGGGATCGGAGCGGGGATGCTGTAAAATGATGTAATGATGTAAAATGATGAAATCTCATGTCCGGAAAAGGCGTTTGGAAAGACAATAGGCCTATATTGATTTCACAAAGCATATTGTGTGAATTTCCCTGTTAATGTAGTCGCTACATAATGGCGCAGATTTTTTTTACTTCCCAAAACACATTACATGTACATGTATTAGGAAGGACCTTCCCATTGACACAACTGCACTTTCAGATTCATCATATTAGTTAGTTACAGGAGTGAATAAAGCCAAAAACGGCCAGGAAACTACTTAATAATTGATTTGTAAAAAAGAAAGAGAGAAAGAAAATTTCAGGCTGACTTTACGCAGTAATAAACGAGTGTAGGCCTACATTTAATTAAGGTGGTGTAATTTAGGCCTATTCTTATCTAGATTTGTTAGCGCTTGCGAGGCATAAGACTATGACAGTTTCACAATATAAATTTGTTTTATAAAGCTTACAATCAATGTCATCTCACTCAGAATTCCAAGAAGCCGGAGAAATCCATATAAAGGATTCCAGGTATACAATGGCTATTGAACTTATTAAATGGAATCGAAGGGCTATGCGCTCATACGTAACATGCAACCAACGCGCCCCGTGCAGCCGGACGGAGGACTTTCGGGCCAGTGTCCCGATCGGACGCGCCACCCCTTAATCCCACTACAAACCCTTCAGGGCATAAGTGGATCCTCTTTTGTCCAAAAACTTGAAAAGTCTTCTAATTGTGTCGCTAAGCCAAGTGCTCCCTGACGAGGCCAAGCACTCGAAGTATAGCTGCTAACAAAACACCGCTTACAAAACAGTTTCCGTAACTTCTGATTAAGCCTGATTTCCGGCGACATTCTGCCTAGCCTGTGGCGTAACTGCGATCCTATTTGAAGACGACGGCGGGGGGGGGGGGTATTTAGGAGTGGGCTTTCGTTTTCTGGAGGGCCAGGGGTGGGGGGGGGGCACTCAATGGATTTATAAAAAGCAAAATGCCATCATTTGCTTTCCCAAATGTCTGAGCGGGTGTGTGGATTGGGGGGGGGGGGGCGAAGCGGGCACAGGCCTGGGACCCTTGCTCACGGTACGTTTCGTGCATTTTGTTAATTTTCAAACTTTAGCCAAGAAAAATGCAATATTACTATAATGAACATTCTCGGAACAGAACTTCAAGGCAAAAGGTTTTGAAGACTGAATGCGTAGGTCGTAAGACAGTCCACTCAAAACCTCAGATAGACGACTCAGCAAAATCACATACTATTCGAGAGCAATTACAATGACAGAATGAACAACAAAAAAGATTGACATATAATATCAAATCCTTCGGAAATAAACTTTTTCGATATTCGCACTGCATTTTGGGTAAAGACAGATGACAACCCTGTCATTTTGTGAACAAACCTTTTTGGTGGAAATCCAGTGTACGTATTTTTCAGTTATATGCTCCTCGTTCTATTCCCGGAATTTAGTTATCATTTCACACAGTTTCACTTGTGCTTTAGAATAACAAGGCGGCGGGGGGAGGCCGCGGCTTCACCGCCTGTCGGCCGTTTCGCGGTCGAGCAACTCGTGAACACACGTTTGTTTTGGTGAAAATCGAGGATTTTCTTTTGTTCATCTTCCCTTTTCCTTTGTTTATACTCATACATTTTTGCAATAGCTCTCATTGGTTTGTACACGTTCTAATCGAGGTTGGCCTCGATTCGGTTCCTGTCCTCAATTCACCGATGATGTTGCACGTGTTTCCTCGATTAACACGCACACTCCACGCAGATACCCCTCTTCTTCTTTACAGTATGGCGGTGATTATTGTACATGTATATCAATGTAAAAAATTCTTAAAGTTTACGGGGATGGATGAATCAATACGAATCAATAAGGAATCACTGGCATCAAAGAACAATCAATAGTTTCTTCCTCAAAAAGAATTTTCCCCAAACAACTTAGTTTCCATACGAATTCGTAGCATTTGTTGTCTTCCAAGGGCTAAAGAGTGCGCCCTCATCCGGTGGTATTCTACGAGAACGGCAGCCATATGCCGCATGGTGGCGCTATGCAAGTTTTACAGTTGAACCTGCAGCTGCTGTTTTAGCGCCAGAGCCGCCGATAATTTAGAGGGCGCACTCTAGACAAGATGAAGTAGCTTCTTACCCTGTTAGTCAGTCGTAAGTTGTTTCGTGTGGCATTTCATTTTTTTTTTTCAATTTTCAGTACTCACACCATGATTTTTCATGTTAAATGTCAAAGTGTCTTCCAAAATCTTTCGTAAGCTGAGTAGGCCTCGCTGAACTCGGTGTAAGTTTTGTTTCTCCATATAGACGTATTGGTACATGTATTTATAAAAAATAAAGTAAACAAGAACTGTACGCTTGAAGGAACACGATTAAAAACTATCACTGATTGAGACCTTGGTGCGGTTTAGTATGGGTTTGTGAATGACTCTTTCATGATGTTGGCAAAACACGGTGTTACGCTATGTGCAGAGAGCCTGAAACACGAGTTTACTTAGAGCTCAGGGTAGTTAAAGTGCAGGTGAGTGATGAAACAATGATATTCTAACAACAGGAGGCGCTGTACAAGGCGGACGGGACTGTGCACGATTTGACACTAGGTGGCGCTGTTCATGGCGGGTTCTGTTGCCAACAGCGTCAGGGTGTACTGCACCAATTCAAGCCCCATTGAAAAGTGTGAATTCAACAGTCCAGGGCCATATAACATGCAAGCCGACATCACTGGGGTTTCTCAAACAAAAAAAATAATTATTGTTTTGTCCTCATCTTTCCATTTCATTAAATTTTTTGTGGGTTAGCCGATTACATTTTTAAATATTCACACCAAAAACAAACATAACCTCCCGAAAAGTGGTACTTCCCAAGCCTGCATGCAGCCATTTCACAAATGGCACCCCTCCACTTTCTCAGGTAAATATGACCCATTTTCAACCGTAATTTTATCAAGCCTGCCCTCAGACGGAAGCCCAAAAACCAGGGAGTTGATCCTCGGTTATATTTACACAATCACACCCTTTTTAAAGCCAAACGGTCTCCTTATTCAAATAAAAGTCGTGGGGCGCTTTTCATGCTAATGAGCTCGCGTAAAAATTCTCATTTAAATAGTACTGTGCACTTCACGTTTTTTTCAAACTAGGAACGACTCGAACACGAAATTTGATACGATTACAAGTTTCCACAAAACTTGTTAAAAACTTTAATTCAGCACAAGAAGAAAGTTGTTGCAGGATTCAAAGTTCTGGACACATTATTAAATGTTTAACACAATAGTGTCAATAATTAAGCCTAATTCGTGATAGAACCTCCGACGGTAACGACAAACGAAGACCTTTTCATTTGTAAGTAATTGCAGTATCGGCCGTTTCGTTTAGGGTAGGCCTACATTACTAATTATTGCCACCTGTTCAAAATGTCTTGAACTGAACTTAAGTAGCTGGAATCAATGGGCCAATTAATGGCGGACTGGTGGTACGTCCCGAGAGAGATTGCACAGTCCAAGGACTGCATCACGTGCTGGGAATGTACATTTACAATGGATGACGATTCACGTTAAAAACCCTCGGGAAAACCCGAGAAACCTGGTTTAGTCAGGTGAGAAACGAGGGTTACACACTGAAAAACAGCGATCACACATGATTTAACTCTAAAACACAGCAGGGGCAAATTTGGCATACTAGCATGGATTACCGTGGGTGGTACCCGTTTTGCGAATTTGCACAATAAAGCCGAAAACCACTGGAAATCATGATGGTATCAACAGTGTTCCAATAAAAACGATTTCTGAAAATGGATCTGCACTCCAACACGAACGCAAATGCTATGTGTACAGGCCCCTCTCTGTCTTTTCAGTTGCTTTTGTGGGTAGAGGACTTGGTCCGTTTAACTTCAGCCAAGCAGAGGTATCAAATGCTGGTAACGGAGGGAAAGAGACACTGCGTCGCTCACGGCTTCAAAGTACATGCTTTGGTGTTTACACTGATGATAGCTTTCGGCCTGTTACCAAAAAAAAAAAAAAAATGAGAAAGAACTGGTTGTTTTTGGCCTAATAATACCCCTCCTCGTTTGAAAGAGACTGATGGCACCAATAACAACACATGTATACCCTAAAACTAATGTTGCAGAACAAAACAAAATTGCGCTTATGTGGAATAGCAACAACAGAAACACGAAATTTGTGTCACAATTTGGTTCATGCAGAAATATGATAGGTGCTAGGTATAAACTTACAGCTTAACATTTGGGATACAGTTCGCGGAACAAGACAATATGGCTCCCTCTGATCCAAACTTAGCTTTTGGATAGGGCTCCAGTTTCAAGTTTGCAGACTGTACGATAAGGGTATGATCTGTAACTGTAGACAAAAGCCCAACAAACTCGGTCTCTTACCTGTTTATCATGGCGTGGCCATTCCTGTTGAACATTGCGACGAAGTCGGATGTCTTACTTGACCGTTCTCCCAACTGAAAGTGTAGCTGAGCTTTTTTCTGTTGCGCGTTTCTGTTAGAGGAAATTGTTGACGTGAATCATTAAAGGGCCCTCGATACCATGCATACAATGAGCGCTTTTTGGTAATCGCGTATTAAATGTATCATACCAAACAATTCCGAGCAACCTAACAAAAGTTACTAAATTACAACCAAGCAGAATTATGTTTATATATACACTGATCTGTACTTTTAGACATAATTTAAAGTAGTCCAACAAAAATTGGAAAAGGAACTACATGTATTTGAAGTGTTGTGAAAAAGGACACTCTGTTTTAAGTTCCCAAAGAGAATACTGAATAAGGTAATACATACACCTATTACAAATGTATAGTAACATCTTGATAACTCAAAACAACAGTCAAACACAGAATCCATTGCCTTCAGTAGTATAACAATGATATGCAACTCTGCCTAACTCAAAACGCTGCTTACTGAAGTCAAATTTTGAAGCTGTTCCCTTGAGGTTTGACTTATCAAGATGTCACTGTAGTAGGCATTATCCCAGAAGGTTAAGAGAAACAAAACGTATTCATTTCTAACACTCCATGTAATTTGGCACCACATAATACTGCATAATGTCAATGATCGCCCCAAAAACATGATACAGATATGCTGATTGAGGTCTATGAAGAATTGCGGTATGAGAACTGTAAACAAAAAACAAAAAAATACGAAATCGAGTCCCACTTTTCACTGCAAATGAGAATGGTGCGGAGAATGTGACGAAACGATCGATATGGTCAACACACATCAAATAATTTATATACAATAATTCATTGAAAATAGATGATGAAAAGATGGTGAAAAGCGGTAACTTCTGCTGATGACACACTGCACACGTGCAATCACTTTAAGAAAATACTGCGGCTCAGCGGTTCAACCAAAAATCACATTATCAACTCGTGTCTTCACACCATGCCAGGAAGGGCCATTTCTCAAACCCGGGCTTCGGATCCGTCACAGTCGGACAAATCTCAGCAAAATCTAATGCCGAAGTTTGAGAAATGCCCCATATCATCAAAGCACTAATTGACACTGTCCATTCAAACGCACACATCACAGTTAAATCACTAAACTCACGTGACGGCATGAGTGTTAGAGGTACTGACGTGGCTGACGATGATTGGTTGGTGCGAGGGTTAGTTTGTTGGTGGCTAATCCCTCCAGTGTTCGAACCGGACGGCGCAGTTCTACGTGCAGGGCAGAGGGAATTGGAATCGTACTAACATCATATTTGATTGATAGATATGTGAACGATCTTTATATCTCATTATATGAGTCACACAAAGGTCTCTCGGAAGCTAATCTTCATAATGCTTGTTTGTTTCTTTTGTGGATGTAATTGTATAATATGCATGCATCAACCGGGTGTTGTTAATACCAATGTTGATGGAATACTGCAAAATTTCAACAAGTAATACTTTTTTTTAAATATAATATTCACAAAATAATAGTTTTCTTAAAAATTATATTAGCAAACAATTATTTGTTTGGCTTTCTACAGAGCTGAAAATGCCCATGCTTTCGATCAATAATTTCTGACCCTCGGTGATATATCAAAAGACGGTTCAGACAGGCATAAACGAAGGCCAGAACACAATTTCCATTTTCTTTCGAGGCTTAACAACTCAAGAAAGCTATACAATATACACGCTGCGAAGTCCTGTTTAGGTGCAGTTAGTTTAAGCACTTTGATTGGTTTATTTTGTAATTCAGCTTACGTTGTTCGCTGCTGCTTTATCTGGCTTTCTAAATGCTCCTTCCAAACGTAGGCGTTGTTGATGCTTCGCTCTGATTGGTTGCTTCGCCCTGAGGACGCCCTCTCCCGGTGACCTCGCACAGGTTGACCCTTTGACGAGTACCTCGGAAGATTCTTAACGTCAGTGGACTACGTAATATCAAATTTCAGAATGGTAGTACATGTATCAAAATTATAATAAGTCCAAGTATTACCAAGAAAAAATAACGTCAAAGCAACTAATTACGCCTCAACTGTTGTTTGAGAAGCATTTTTCTCTGACTAACATGAATTGTAGTTGCATGTACTCTTGACTCGACGAAACGACGAGGGCCAGCTGGCTAAACGTTTGTAAAATAAAATAAACGTTACAGAAAAAACCTCTTCAGTAAAGGAAAACTAATTACGTTAACTTTTTTATGCCCTCGTAATGATTTGTTCCTCGTCATGTTTCACCAAGAGGAACGCTAGACATGTGATGGAATTTTGCGTCGAGGAGAACAATGTAAATATCAGAATTGGGTTTTAATTTCCACCGACGTTACCCTTATAAAGCAATGTACACTAAGTGCTGTCTGTGAGCTTCTGAAAAAAATCACAGGTTTACTCATGATTTAACTTTAAAAACAGGATACAGTTCACAACAAAGATGTCGATGGAGGCAAACTCCAACATCAAATCAGTGTCAATCACGATACACCACTCACTTGTGAATTGGAAGAGTGTGCGAAGAGGTAGTAATGTTGACCGTGCATTTTCTTATGGGCACTCTCGACTGCTCGCTGTAGGGGTGTCTTGCCTGCTGGACGAAAACCAGGAGAACCTCGATGCTAAAAAAGGAAAAACAGTTTAAAATAACCTAACATTTGTTTCAAACTACATGTACATGCAAAGGTTATCGAAAGTTTTAATTATCAGATTTAGATTTTATCTTTAAATAATCTTTAAATAATCTTCTTTCCGTCGTATAAACGATCATTTGACAAGTTACTTTCAAGCCAAATTGAAGCTGAAGCAGTTGAAGTCTCTGAATTTTGCGTGCCATTTACAAACCGTTTTGGTACTGCATGACATGGCACAATTTTGTACGCAGTGTAGCTATATGCGAAAATCAGAGTAGACTCAGTATCGCATATTTGCTACAATTTTACCATACAGTGACACTGATCATTAATTACCTGCTCAGATTTAAAAAAATATTTGTTGCGAAAGTAAAACTTTAGTGAGAAAGAAAGACACAAAGACATCATCTTAGAAAAGTTGGAAAGAATGGAAAACATCAAAGGGGAAAATGGAAAAGAAACTTAAGATGGGAAGAAGACTGAGTAAAGGGAAAAGACAAAATTACAATGTTTTAAAGGCAATATTATTAATATATTACGTGTATTATTACTATTATTTTTTAATTCCGAAAGACACAAAGTTATCCCTGTCGGAAAAGTGCAGAGGAAGGTATTGTTGTAAAAGACAAGGATGTGAAAACTCTAAATCCTCGTGATAACACGTGTGCTTGGTGGCTCGGTCCGCGAGCAGCGAGGACTCACCGGGGAGGGGTTGGAGTTGGCCGCTAGCTTCCTGCCCAGGACTACGGACGCGACACGCTCAACCTGCCGTGATCTCGCGGTCGGTGGCTTTGAGAAGCGAGTCCAAAGGGTGCATCGTGAAAAGAGAAATGCTTCTTTCAAATAATGGTCATTTTTATGCCTTTTGTTTTGCAGGTGAGTAGCAAGCACAAACTTGGGATTTAGTTCTCGCTGAACGGCAGTCAATATATTACGAGTTCGCCATAAAGCTAGTGCCACCGCATAAATTAGTAAATCGCATTTTGTGAAGACATGCATAAAAATACTGAGAGGAAAACACACTTCTTTCATCAACGACACTTTTTTCTTTTTTGGAGCATCTGAGATACATGAAGTAAGCCTTGAAAATGTTTGTGAAAGGCGAGATTTTGCCGTGGAAGATTAATTTTGTTGTTAGCAACAATTACAATACACTTAGTCAAGAAGTTACACACGTACGCAAGATTTTTTTTAATCATCCTTTTGGCGCAAACTGCTACAGAAAGAAAACCAGTGATCAAAAGCCATTGTGAAAAGGGTAAATTATTTGCTCATTTCTCGATCTTACTCCGCCCTATGAACAGACCATTTTACACATAGACACGGCATACGCTGTACCACGTATAGAAGGAAACGCGGAGCAGCTACTAAGTTAAGCACAGAGTTGGGTTATGGGCGTTACGACATCAAAGAAACAAGAACCACACAGCAGCAGGAATTACTACACAAAGGGAAAGATAGGTATCAAAGTCAGACTGGTTTTAAGAAGTAAGATCTATCTTCTCAGCTACAGACTACAAGGTTAGACTGCCTCGACGCCACAATGTTCATGTAACCCGTCACCTATAACCACTGCCCTACCTTGCTGGTCCGAGTTGGTCGCTGTTCACCGGAATCAACCCGTCCTTTGCTACGCTTTTCCGTCTTAAGGTAAAGCATGGGGATTAATGGTAAAGTTGACTACGGTTAAGATCAGGAGTTAAATAGTTCAACTGGTATTGATGATCACGATGGCGAATTATCTCATCTTATATATGGGATATTCACGCGACTGTGCCACAGGTGTGTCCACCTTACATGTATTTAATACATGTAACAGGAGGTGCACTTCGCTGGTACACACGTCGTTCAGTTCGCGAGTCTTGTACAAGAATCGATGGCTACCAGGAAGTGTCCCTCCTTAACTAAATGCTATTTCATCCATTGGGTCATATCATTCATTACACAGACATCTTATATTCGACTCTTTTCTGCTTATATATCTGCGATAAAGCTCAAAGAACTGTACTGTTAAGGTATGTCATTTAATTATGCACGTCTTTAACTGGCCGCAGGAAAAGGGTATTGCTGATGGTCCATTGTTTTGGTCGCATGACTCGCAAAACGCAAAATTCATTAAAGATTTACTTGTGGCGAAAATATCAATGTGGCGTAACTTAGGGTGTGATTAGTAGAGAGTGTTAGTACGTCAAGCCATGCAAGGCCCAGAATAGAGGTATACACACTACCTGTGGGATATTGGCCATAGGCAGCTCTGCCGCATCGCGATCGCACCTCGATATTGCACACTGTAGGGGTTTCTGAAAAATCCGGTCAGCAAATCGGTCAGAAAAGAATATCATTAGAATGTAGGAATACACAACCAAACCAAACAGTCCATGAAACCACTCACATAGAATTCCTCCCCCCCCCCATTAATTACGCGAAAAGTAATAAAAAATTTGGTAAGAAATAAATTTAACCCACACCAAATCACACAAGATGCAAATTCATCACATAAGATATTGTTGTCCGGAAGCACAGCCAGAAATCCCAGTTTGTAATATTGTTCGTGTATTGAGGTTTTAAAAACTTGCTTAAGAAAAGTCATCCAAGAGAAACAAATGTGTATCATTTATATACAATCTTCAAATTCGTGGATATGAACAAGCGTGAAAGGTGAAGGAGTAGAAATGACAGAGGCCGTGTTTGGAAATGTGCCAAAGTGTATTGTGTTCAAACAGAATAAGCAGTTCCAGAAAAATTACGCTGGAAAAATATTAATCCACACTTCGAAAATAATTTGAGCTTCGAAAATAATTTGAGCTTTATTGTTTAGAAGTGGACAGTGAATCGGGACCCCCTTCCCCCATGTTCTCCAAAAGCACAACCAAGAAGTTCAGTGTGATAGAAGGAGTTCCGTTCCGTGCAATATCGGAATCCGTGCAAGGGTGATGGTTTCTGAGATGCAGCCGCCACCGAACACCCAAACCTTTTTTATGGACTTACGAGGCCATCGTAGGTCCACAATGAGGTACTGTTCTTAATCAGGTCTAGAATTCGTTGCTGATGCTAACGATAAAAATCAGGGTTAATACAAAATTGATGATGACAACTTAATTGAAAATACACGAGCAGCCAGAAAGGCCAGACAGCTTAATTCCCTCGAAGCTGAATCAACATCCTTAAGGCTGTCGATATCGATAAATAGAAACTAAATTATGGCAGAGTGTTGTCTGCAGTGGATTAATGTGAACTACACACTGCCGCCAGGTGAACTTCTATTTAAAGGCAAGCTTACAACAAAAACCTGAAGAGACTATCAAATGTATGATCTTCACTTTACAAAACTAATATAAATCATTCGCCACATTCTGATCCGATTTTGTTTTGGTTTAAAAATATGTGGTTTGTTTGTACATACAGGTATTATAAACTAGTGACTCAAGTCTACAACTTCGTTTAACCTGTCAAAATGCAAAGATCAGGGTAGTTTATGCAAGAAATACAAACCTTTAGTATTTTTGCGTCATCCGTAGCAGCAGCGCTTGTTGTGCTCTGTCCGTCGCCACTCACTACAGGCGAGCCCTGCCTCATCATAACGCTATCCCCGGTAGATGTACTATCTAACGTAGGAGCGGCTGATACCACCGAGTTACCTGATGAGACTGAGGGCAGAATGGACCTGGAAGTCTCTTTAGTTCTGGCACCATTCGGGATCGTTCCCGTGAGTCCACGATGAGATTCTATTGCACTGTCGCCCTGGAACCACGGAGATATGGTGTCCTTGTGATCGCCGACGGTGATGTTGCCCGTGAGTGCCTTGTACACGTTCGGGTCTCGCTCGGTGTCACCCGCCGGGCCGAGACGGTGAACGATCCGCGGGCTGCTGGACAAGAGATCCCCCACGCTCATGGAACCTGAATTCGGTAAATCGAAGTTGAGTCTGCCGGACACGCTGGTCCGTTTCAGCCTTTCCTCGACAAGCCTTAGAACCGATGATTTGTCAGCTTCTGGTCGAGAATTAGTATTGTTTGCTTCATCTTGCGGGGGAGAACTTGGATTAGACAACCTGGCATAGTTGGGAGGAGAAGGCGGCATGTCGAACGTGAGGCGCTTCGTATCGAGTGAAGACTTGGCGGCAGAGTTTCGTATCGCTACGCGGCGCATATGCGGGGACCGCTTTGTGCTATCTCCCCTCAACTTCGCCGAGGCTATTTTCCTGCTTTTCTGCTCGGTCCTGTCTTGCACTCGCGATGCCGGTGCGCTTCGCGTGCCACCGACCGGGCGAGCTGGAGCACCGTCTCCCCCGGACAACTGGCCATCGCTGCCAGAGCCAGGTGGGCTTTCCCCGTCCAAACGCTCGGGACACTCGGACGCCGTGTACGCTGTCGAAATTGGACGTCCTACCATTGAACTACCGCTTGCTTCGCTTTTCGCATCGTACCGTCCGCTGTCATCTCCAGAACTCTTAGGTTCGCTCGCCTTGTGTTTCGCACCTGAATGGACCCCTTCGTTCTTTACCGGACTTTTAGTTTTACTTGGTACCGAGGCTTTCAATTTTGCCTTAGTCTGTTTCACAGGCGGGCTAGGAGCCTTAGGGGGCGCACTTTCGACGGGTTTAAGATTGGCTGAGAGACTATCGCTGACGAACTCTTCAAAATCGGGGATTTCTGGGCAGTGATTGCTGGTCCAACAGAGATAGACCTCCATGCCATCTGGAGTAACTTTGGCAGCGTCTGAAAAAGTAAAATGCAAATCACATGATTTATTTAATTTTTCAGAAGATAAATGCCAAAAAAGTTGACTGACTTTAATTTCAGCATTTAAAATTACAACTGCACATTAGAAAATCTTTAAATTGACACCTGCTTTCAAAAACTGCATGGCCTGCCGCTTTTGGTTTAGTGCCGGTATTTTCCGCCCTTTTGATCGACGTCCAAAACCTAACCCCTAAACGAAATCGACAAAAACTATTCAAAAACAAATTTGGCGACTCATCGGGATCATATTTGTCACATTATAAAAATACCACTCAAACGTCAATGTGCTGGAAGAAGGTACAAAGGTCGAGTCAGCCGCGCGGACAATTTATTATTTTCGAACAAGTATTTTTTTTCATTTCTATAGTGTGACGCTTTGCGTCTAGTGGCGACGGTTAGAATTATTTGTTGTCCCTTTACCACCTCGTAGTATCGAGTAGTGTATGGTGAATACTAATTACCGCAGTCGAGTTGGTACTGTAAACAATGCGTGGGGGAGTTCTCGTATGAAGACGTCCACTTCAAACATGAATACAAGCGAGGCCAAGTCCAATATAGGTATATGAATTTAATTTCCCTCAAAAAGCTAAACATATTCTCACTATATAGGTGCATGTTGTAAGACGTAAGCTGCTACGATTGTTCTTAAGGGCGTGTTGTTTTAATTTTTAGTAGTCGTCTTCTTTCTTTTCTCTTATGGAATCAATTTGCGTTGGACTCAAATGAACAAGTGTGTAGCGGCTTGGGCACATTGGATAAGATTATCACTGGATAGACGCAATGAAGAAAAACTCCTGGGATTATTTTTACCAATAGACAGAGAAAAAAATCACGCATTCTTTACTGAATATAATTTGTACGTCAGGTGCACGAAATAGCAGAATCGTAAATATTAATTGGCTGTCCACGAGGGAAGGAAGATGTTATTTGATCCTACCTTTCTTCCTCTTGTTATTCTTCTTCGACCACAAGTCAATATCTGAGAAGACAAAAATATATTTACATATTCTAGAGTAACAAACAATTCGTGAATATTGCATGATATAGGTCTACACTCATTGATTGCGGGAATGCCTTCAGAGCGCATACCATAGCAAGTGTATACGAGTGTGCTCTAATGAGACACGTATAGGCCTACTTGAAGCAAATTATGGAGGCAGGTGTCATGGTGATGCTTCTAGCACGCTCACAGTTATTGCACATCACAAAAACGAAATTGAAGTTTATACGTTCACGGCTTTAGTTTGATAAATTGCCGCGTTTGCGGTTGGGCGAGATTTGTACTTGATATTTGACCAACCGAGGGTAAACTGCAAGATGGCATTAAATACAAACCGCACGATGACACCTAACGTAAACCGAAAGATGAAATTAAATATAATTTACAAAATACGGATCCTAACATGTGGGGGTGGTTGACATATGAGAAATCACAATTTGTTGACCTTTATGTTTTAAATCTAAGTCAGAGCTTGTTTGTATACTTCCCAAGCTAGAAGGAACTGTATCGAAATCAATTTTCTGTTAAATAAAAAGTCTTAAGAGCTTTTAACTCTATGACAATTTATCTCAACGCAATGATAAACACTCGTAACTTGATCACAATAATGTATGGGTCCTGAACAATCCCCGACACCAAGTTTCTAAGAACTGAAAGACCGGGTGTATGAGGTACTAACGAAAAAACAAAAACAAAATCACCATCTATCGAAATCACGATACCATATTTCTTCAGACTTATTCTCATCTTCATTTCAGTTCCCGTTGAAAAGGTTAACTCAAATCTGGCCCCGTTTCGTCCCGAAAACATTTTTCAAAATGTCAATGGTTCTTAAGGATCTTACCGATAGTTTCAATATCTTGCTCTGCGCTAAGGTCATCCTGCCAACCTCGAAGGGGCTCCCACACCTCCACCTTTGACCTGGTGTGAACAAAAATCAGAATTATCATATTTCCTTCATCACGTCCTGCATATACGTCAACCCCTACATAAATAATCATAGAAATGAGAGTTTATGTTGAGTTTCGCGTTGCCAGAACACCTGTAGTTTTTTAGTTACCAAAATAAAGGGCCACTACTCATTTTCTGAAACCGGTACATTTCTATTCTTTAAAAAAAAAAAAAAAAAACTGCATATACTTCTCTAAAGGGAAGTAAATAGTTGCTGTCAATGTAGTGAGAGTTTGGGACAGGAAAGTGTGAATCCAGTGAAACATATTTCGAGTAGTTTGAGCAAGTTATTGTTTTTGGCGATACTATTGACTATAACGATATACCCACTGTTGAGATACATGTTTGACGTCCAACCAAGCCTGCTGACAAATGCATGTACACCAATCAATTTAAACGGTGTTACATGGACGGCCGATCGATAGCCCATTCATGCTTGTCTTTTTTATTCATCTGTATTCCATGTAACCCAGCAAGGAACCATAATGGTGGTAAGTAAGTGGAAATCCTTGAGACATTGTTGTGAGATGCATCAAATAGCATGCATCAAATAGCCCTACGCAATGCAGCAATTAACTAATATTATTCCAATTTTGCTCCATCGCTTTGTTGAATGCCTTTCCCCTGATATGCACAGTTTACTTTTTCTAAATCCAATGGATTCATTGCTAGATGGTTTGCAAGAATTGGCCACATCGTTGAGAGGTACATGTGTATATCAACAATTTTTTAATGCTATATTTACAAGAGGCCAACCATAACAGATCGGAAAGTGTTCATGCATTCAAGGTTTCAAACCGAAAGTTTGGAAACACAGAGAGGGATTTGCAGTTCGACTCCTACATTTTTTTTTAAAACATTTTTTTTGGTTTTTAGTCAACTTTATTAATTGTGCCTCTCTCCACTGTAGCCCCTCCAACTTCATGTTTGTGCCTACCCCGTTCGACTTGATCCACTTTCAATATGTTATCAGTATACATGTACATGTAGGCATACAGCAGCTGAAATACTATCTATTCGAACGAATACAGAACAAAAAGTCATACGATTTGCTATTTGTACCGGGAACCCTTCTACGTGTTTCAACTGCCGGATACAAACTATCGTTGAGGTCGAATGGCTCACTTTACATCGCTACAGGACACGGTACATGCTTCCCACAGTAACCTATGAGCTCTGGGTACACACAACTTGACCTCTATGCACACCATCAATGGTAATATAACTAGCGTTCACTGTTTTCTTTGCGATTTTTTAATGAAAAATGATCACTGTTGTGTTTATCTGTGGTAAATAGCCGTGTTTGGTCCCGTCCTAGACGTGTCACCGACACCTTGCGAACCATTCGTTGTTGCAGTGATTCGTGCATTTCACTGATGAGATCACGATAACATATAGCGGAATATATAATAGCAAAATCTTATGCTGAATTTGAACATTAAATAACAGCAAATCGTTTTTTATGAGGTTACGAATTAATTTGTAAAAAGGTAAGCTATGCTGGGCTGAACGGATTTCTCAGACACGTTAGAACATTTTAGATTCTTTAATCCGTATATATGAATTGCAATAAACAAAAGTTTCATCGCATGAACCTTAACATTCATTTTTAAATGCGAGGGCAACTTTGCATTAAGATTATCAAATGATATTGTCAGTTAAAAAATGGCCGTGGTAACACAGGTACATTCGGTGCACAAGTGGGTTTTAACATAAAGAGAAGGTATGAAAGCATCTAAGTTTTGAGGTCTTCAGTAATACATCCAGTCTGAGACTTACCTTGTTGGTGTTTTGCCTTTCTGCGAGGCCGCATTGGACGGCGGATGCCTGTGATGGGACGGTGCAGATTTACTCGGGGCATGCCACATGATGGTGGGGATCTGCAGTCTAAAGACGATGCAGTAAATACTGTTGGCCCCGCTACCACGGTACTAACATACTAGATAGACCATGGCATTTCTGCAGTCCATATGGGAGAATAAGAAGAGACCATCGTGCATACACACGCACACCTGCAGCACAGGTCTATACTGCGTAAGCTTTTCCATTCACACGAAACAGTCCTTCATCTTCCATCGTTCAGTAATCTCACTGAAGTGATTGTCAAAACCCACCACAAGCTGACGAGATCGACATTTCTATAACCAGCTTTGGCAAGTGGAACAAAAACCTGAGGCGTGACCGCTGATCTCTGGAATAATCATCGGTGATTTCGCTGTCCTTTGACGTACCGTGTTGCGACCGTCAACTCTCGACAGTGTCAACGAGCTTGAGCGGCGGTTGTTATGCGTAGCTCGGCACGCTGTGTGTCCCCGAAATGGCGTTCTATTGTCATCCAATCCATTGTAAACACTTGATTCAGACGACCTTTTGTACGCCTCAATAGCGCTGATCAGACGGAGAAATGTTGCACACATTGGACTATATACTTTCGATAACGGTTCAATGATCAGTTTAAACTTAAGTGTGGGAGCCCTTGAAAATGTGAGGGCTTTTCTTATAATACTCGCGACCAACGGGAAGCGAGTTAAGGATGGGGGGGATCCACCTTTACATGGATTCGATTTCATTAATTTTACTCCATTTGCACGAATCAGGAATTAAAATGGACCTATTTTTTAAGTATGGGGGGGGGGGGGAGATCCACCTCTACATAGATTCGATTTCATTAATTTTACTCCATTTGCACGAATCAGGAATTAAAATGGACCTATTTTTTTAAGGATGGGGGGGGGGGAGATCCACCTCTACATAGATTCGATTTCATTAATTTTACTCCATTTGCACGAATCAGGAATTAAAATGGAGGCGACAATTTTGGGGGCAAAGACTTGGGGGGGGGGGGGATATGGGGGTATGGGGGGGGGGGGGTTGCCGGATTAAGTTTGTGAGCCCAGGCAGTGTGATGGGTCCCACGCAAAACAAAAAGACATGACTTCAAGTTCGTCTCCACGTATCGTTGCCCAACTTCTTCATTAACGAGCTTGTACTTTCCGTTCTATTACCGAATCTCCGACCAAAAACTATACTTCGTTTTGGCTATAGGACCTATTATTTCTAGCAATACAACAATTACTTTGTATTTTCTTTCGAATTAAAATAAAGCCGTCAACGTTTAGTCAAATTGTTCAGTTGCAGCTAGACAATAATTTAGTTATCCTTGGAATCAAGCTACTTGCATGGCGGATCTGTTTCTACAAAGAAATCATAACAAATGCTGGCTACTGACATTTGGGGAGTCGAAATTTAAGAAAAACGGAGGACGTTTCGTCATGACGCATGACATTGTGACAGCTTATAATTAGTCCGACCCTGTGTTTTTCCTTTACTGCATATTTTCCCCTGGCAAGAGCTAAAAAAGGTCTTCTTCATACATCAGTTTAAATGCTTGATGTTATTATTACTATTATTATTTATTCGGCCAAATTACAAAAAACAACAACAAGCAATCCACAAAAATAAACAAAACTAAACAAAAACAACCCAATCCAAGCTGGCCAGGATTGACAAAAGTGTAATAAAAAACTGTGACTCGAAAGCATGTCAATTTTATTTGTTTATTTATTTAAACGTCTGTGTAAACGGTAACCCATTCAACCAAGATTATTTTTCAAGGGGCTGTGTTGTTTAAAAATCGGGCAATATAGGCTGCAAATCATAATCAGTAATTCAAGACATAAACAAAATAAGAAGAAAACTTAATCCAGGGTTCGAAATTAGCGGTAGCCCGCCAGCTATGCTAGTCAAAAAAACGGCGGGCTAGTCAAACTATTCCTTTAGTAGCCCGGCTGGCGAAACTTTATGGGATACGCCAAAGATGAAAGGACAGGAAAAAATAAATCATTAAAGTCAGAAAGCAAACCTGTATCAATTTGTGTCTATTTTTATCAACTGTTTTAAAGGGTTGTTTTGAAAACACTGACAAAATTGCCTCAACTATGACCTCAACGGATATAATAGTAGTTATACAATCACCAGAACAGTAAAAATTAATATATAAATGAGACGAGATACGTTAATTACACTTAAAGAATTATTGTCAGTTTGATTCAAGTTAAAAAAATACACAGTAATCAAAAAGTAAAAGGAAATTTTGTAAAATGAAATAAAACAATAAAAATATATTTGAAGAATAGGTAGATGTGTGACTACCTTATCAAAACGGGCCTCGGCTTATTTATTATTTTTTTTAAAGCAACCTGTACAACCTCCCAAAAGACAACAAAAAAATTCATGGGCATCAACAAATGGCAGAAAACAAAAACTCGATCAACAAAACGGTTATGTACAATTGCAGATCCAAGGAACATTAAAGCCCACTCTTCCCTGTTTTTTTTGTCTACAGGGTGAGTAAAAAAAAAAAGAAACCCAAATGTCGGGACCATTGTTTTAGTGAAGCTCTGCGTGTAACACTTTCAAACTCTAGGATATAAAAGCCCAATGCATAAGCTTTTTTTTAGTACAAGAATCATTCAAATCTCTTGTGTACTTTTCAAGTTACGGATTTTTAAACACAACCGCCGTTTAAGGTTCTGTCCACGGATCACAAAAAGTTCAGTGTTCTTTCAGCAAAACGAAAACAAATCACATAAGGATGTGTGTGAATTGTTTTTGTTTGGCTGAAAGAGCGCACACTTTTTTTTGTGAACTGTGGACAGAACTTTAAAACGGTGGTTGTATTTAAAATTCCGTAACTTCAAAAGTACATGAGTGATCTGAATGATTCTTGTACTAAAAGGAAGCTTATGAATTGGGTTTTCATATCCTAGATTTTGAAAGTGCTGCATGCAGAACTTCACTAAAACAATGGTCCCGACAGTTGGGTTTCGTTTTTTTGACTCACCCTGTATAAGCTTCCCCCCTTCCAATTAAAGAAATGTAGTCCGGGATGCTGATTCATGTCAAGATGTTTTCATAACAAACCCAACAAGGAACGGAATGAAGAGTAATTTCTAAAACGCGATAGGTATATACGCCATTTTGTTCCATTCTTAGAATCCTGCTCTCTCCTTGCCATGCTTAAACACAACACAAGATTACAATAAGGCGAAAAATACTGGATTTTTTTAATTCTTTAAAGTTTCATATCCGTCTTAAATGTTCACCTTTTTGTAAATAAACTCTTCAAATATTTGCTCCCATTTATGTGCTTAAAGTTGGTCACAATGGTGTGCCTCATCTTAGGCCTGCTGTAATTTTACGTAGAAATTATGGTCTAAGTCTCGGACGTATATCAATGTTTAAAACTCACCTTAAGCCTTTGATGTAAATTAAGACAAATATGTACACACACACTGAAATGTGTATCCTTGTGGAGACATTTCTTTGTTCTCGTGCAGTAAAGGATTCGAGTTTGAAAGAGTAGTTTCAAAATGCTCGTATTCTAACCAGAATTAATTTCCTTGGCTGAAATTCGGACTTAATATCTCTTTTTTAAAACTCTTCCATTTGCGACTGATCAACCCACCTTTGAAATTCCTAGTTTTTAAAATCTATTTCTATATCTATTTCTTGAAAACCTTGTGGATACGTATTCATCTATAGAAATTGACATGTGGAGACATATACAATCTTTTTTTCCCTATTGTGTGCATGTCTCCAGAAGGGAACGGTGTATCAGATCAAAAATAGGAATACATAACACGTATACATGTATAGGCCCTTTATATGGGTTAGAATATGAGTATGCGTTTGTAGATATTGGTAAAAACATATTTGAAAAAAATAGTAAGACTCTATAATAATCACAATTCATTATATAAAGATATGATTATATAATGCATTTGTACAAACAAATGTGTAAAAGGTAGAAATTACTAACAAACAGTCCCAAATAGTAGCCCAGGAAGATAATAATGTAATGAAAAACACTGAGTATATATAGCAAGCTTGATTTGACTCTTGTACACAAATATAATTTCAAAGCCTGCGTCTTCCACTTACATTGTATTTGAAAATGTAAAAAGGTCTCTTTTGCCTTGGTTCCCCACTATCCATCCATTCATCTTTAGCCTCGATGCTACCTTCTTTATGGTCAGTTGCCATCCAGCTCTGGGCGAATCTTCATGTTCATGTATCGCTCAGTTTGCGGTAGCATTAGCATGTATGCCTGTTGGAGAACGAACATTTTGTGAAGTTGAAATAACAGCAAAGGGCATTTGCACACAGATGACACCCATTTTAGCGCGGCTTATTGTATATAGTCAGGCAGCTAAGTGAGTGGATGTTGACATTCCAGACAAAAGCACCAATTTTTTCATACATGCTCCTCATAACCTTAGCTTTGAATTTTTGATAAGAACCACCTTATCCAATTGCATTATGGCGGTCATCTTGGGTTTTGAAAGATGGCGGCCATTGAAAAACTATATTCAGCTATATCTCATCTTCTAAGCCATTTGACACTATCCCAAATGGTAGAGTGGCATTTCTTGGCCCTGAAAATGTATGTTTAGACACCAAATTTGAATCCTTACTGGCTTAGAAGATGAGATAAAGGTAGGAATAGTTTTTTCAATGGCCACCATCTTTAAAAATCCAAGTTGGCCGCTATAATGTAATTGGATAAGATGGGTGCTATCAGATGAATGCAAAATTTGGTGCTTTTGTCCGGAATGTCCAAATCCATTCCAAAACCTGGCCTAAGCTGCCTGACTAATATCGCAATTGCGAAGCAAACCGGACGCCATTACATACAGTCATGAGCCATTAGCCGCGAAATGCAAAACGCTACAAAATACCGTTTATAAAAAGTTACGTCCACAATCAGTCAAGTTCAGAAATGTCCACTTAGACACTCACATTTTCATTTTGGCTGTCAGCCATACTTGTCAGGCGAGTCACTAGTTTCTTGAAATCAGGTCGGTTGGCCGGGTCTTCCTGCCAGCACGTCAACATCAGCCTGTACCTGCAAAACAACATTTTGGATACCGATTACATCACTATATCCGAGTATTTCAATTTTTTTTTGTTCTTTAGAAATATCACGAAAGTACCGACTATCGTGCCACCATTAATTATGGAGTGTCATGGCCTAGCGGTTAAGAGCACCGGACGCATGCTCTGGTGTTTCAGAGGCAACAGTGAGGTGGGTTCGAGCCCGCCGGGTGGACACTTATGCCCTTAAGCAAGACACTTAACCATTATTGCTTCGTCCTTCGGATGGGACGTCAAGCCGTAGGTCCCGTGTGTTGTGTAATCCAATGCACGTAAAAGAACCCAGTGACACTTGTCGCCAAGAGAGAAGAGGTTTGCCCAGGTGTTTCTGGCCTCCTGTTAAAACTCCCCTGCGGAGTATTTAGGAGAAAAACCAACCAAGATATACTCTGTATCCTTAAACCATGAAACGACAATGTGAGATAATAAAGAGACTTGGTGAAAAATGTTGATCTGTTGTACGTCTTACATTTCATCATCACAGTTGCTGGGTTTGGGCATCCGGTATCGATTCTTCAACTTCGACACTATGTGTTTAGCTTTGGTGTCCTCGTGATAAGGAGTGGCTCCTATATAGATAGATTGGAAAACAAACATAAAACGAGAGCCCTACCTCACGATAGAGTCAAAGATATGTAATGTTCGTAAACCTGTGATTAAATTTAAATGTAGTTTTGACAATTTTGTTGATAACTTCTGATATGGAAATTATTGACGAAGCCACTGAAGCAAAATACTTACCGTGACCCCATCATCCCCAATACCTTTAACAACAGTATACGCACAATTGAACATAGAAAATAAACTTCATTTAACGAAATTAATATTCATAGCCTACCTAGTGTCGCGATTTCCCACAAGACGATTCCGAAGGACCACCTGGCAATTAAGAACAAAATATGCAACTGGCTATCATCACGGGGTCTCAGGACGAGAGAGATGTATTTATAGTATTTAGGCCCTAAATTAACAATGAAGCTGTTGAAGATTTTCTTTTATTTGGTGATTCCTTTTTTGTGCCAGTAGATAGCAGTAAGCCAATGAGCAAACTTTTCTCAAAGATGCTTTCGATGAGCACATTTTTGGGTTCACGATTTGAATAGAAAATCCCTACACTGAACAGTGTCTTCCTGAAATGACATCACAGCAACAGTGCCCTCAGTTGTCCGGAAAAGCATGGACATTTAAAAATGTTTAAAGATGTGCACTTCTCAAAAAAATCAACAAAAAGGGATGTCAAAAAGTTTTTAAAAATTTTAAGAGGAGTAGAAAGTTGCACAAAATGTGTTCCTAAGAAAAATTCATTCCACGGACCCTTTTAAACCGGTACAACCAGTCAACGGGTTTCCATGAGTAAAAACAATTCATTTCTTATCACAGTCGTCTTAATCCATGATCTTTAAGCCAAAGCTTTTAAGGGCAACTTTCAACAACAACAAAATGCCCAGAGAAAAAAAAAACCGGCCGTCTTAAAAAAAAACCACTCAGTGTCAATAACGTCACTGAACATACCAGGCAGCGAATTTCCATTAAAACGAACCCCTTTTCCTCAGTTGTCCTGGTCCTTTACCTTTTTACCAATTAACCAATAAAACGGGTTTTTTTTCCTTTAACAAGTTTTATCATAAAATAGGCTACTACAGAGAATGGGCCATCCTCAAAAATTAGTAAGCGAAGCCCACGTGGTCGATGGGTATACTACAGGGTGAGTAAAACAACACGAAACCCAAATGTCGGGACTATTGTTTCAGTGAAGTTCTTCATGTAGCACTTTCAAAATCTAGGATATGAAAGCCCAATTTATAAACTTTCTTTTAGTACAAAAATCCTTCAAATCACTAATGTACTTTTCAAGTTACGGATTTTAAACACAACCACTTTTTTAAAGTTCTGTCCACGGATCACAAAAAGGTGTGCGTTCTTTCAGCCAAACGAAAACAATTAACACACATCCCTATGTGATTTGTTTTCGTTTTGCCGAAAGAACACTGCACTTTTTTGTAATCCGTGGACAGAACCTTAAAACGATGGTTGTGTTTAACTTGAAAAGTACATAAGTGATTTGAATGATTCTTGTACTGCAACAAAGTTTATGAATTGGGCTTTCATATCATATATTTTGAGAGTGCTACATGCAGAACTTCACTAAAACAATAGTCCCGACATTTGGGTTTCGGGTTTTTTTTTACTCACCCTGTATAAGTACTATTCCATTTGATAGGGACAAAAACCGAGCTGTGCAAGACTGAGTTGTGCAAGTAGCGGTATCGACATTCTACCTTTGTGTTCTATATAACTCATCAGATTCTACAGTGTCAAACCAACCAACCCTTGCAGAATACACATCCGTTTGGTGAAATACTTACACGCTACTCTGTGATGTGTATGTCTTGGACGTGAGCGATTCAGGAGACAGCCAGCGAGTAGCGACACGGCTCTATCAAAAGGAACAATAAGTTCGGAGAAATCATAACAAACTGCAGGCTAGGCCTACTTATTTTTGGAATAAAGCTCCACTTTAGAGTCAACATTAAACACACAAAAAAACTGAGGACCTTGGGTCATGACATGCACACCATGTGACAGCTTGTAACTGATATGTTGACAAATTGCACGACTCATTTAAATGATTTAAGTCTACCTCTGGCAGCGGGATGTAAGCGTCTTCTTTTCGCGCCAAACCACAATCGGAAATCTTGGCAACCAGGTCCGTACTGAGGAGGATGTTTCTAGCTGCTAAAGCGCGGTGAATCACCTGCAAAAAAGAGAGTTGTATAGGGAACACAACCCAACCAAATTGACATTTTACATATCATAATTAATGCATTAACAATGAGGTCTTAGGTTTTTTCTCAGCTTGTGGAGGGCAGCCGCATTAGGCAAATGCGATTGGAAGAGATCGATAGCATCGTAGTTAAAAACTTGCATAAGCTTGCATCTGTTGAAGTTCACTCAACCAAAAAAGAAAGTCCCCCTTAATACTTTTTTGTCTAACTCAAAACTACTGGGCACATCTTGCTCAAATCATACGACTGATCGGTACAGAAAATCCTTAGCAATCCAGCCATACTCTTTGTTTGGCCCAAAACAGTGATATTGATAAAGAAATTATGACAAATGGTACCGAAAAAAAGTTCCACTTTCGTATGCGTGCAAGGTGAGTGTGAACCACAACTTGCTCGTATATACAAAAGTGCAACTGTTTTCGGTATTTGCCATAAAGTGCATAAATTCATACACTTTATCACTGTTTTGGGCCAAATAAAGAGTATGGCTGGATTGCTAAGGAATTTCTGTACTGATTAGTTGTTATTTGAGCGAGAGGTGCTCAGTAGTTTTTGAGTTAGACAAAAAAGTATTGGAAGGGGAGACTTTCTTTTCTGGTTGAGTGTATAGTTGTTGCTAAGAGAGCTTAATACGCCCCTTTTAACTTTTTAAGTGCTCCATATCCATTTCGCTTATTTGTTTGATGAATCTTACTTACCCCACATGCAGTAATGTGTTGCATTCCTTTGGCAACATCCAAAGCAAACTGGAGAAGCTCCTGCGGCGAGAGAGGTAGCTGGGTGTTGCCAGTGGATCTGGCCGCTCGCAGATACGAACGGAGATCGCCTTTTGGTAGGTACTTCGTGGCCACGTACATAATTTCTACCAAGATATGAAATAATCACTTAACATAAATGGATCAACTGAATTTTACTGGAAACTGGAGTGTACACTGAATAGACAAGATTCTGCCGTTTTCTTGAGTATTTCATGACAAATACATGACAGTTTGAGGGACACGCGTCTGTTGCAATCAAGTCCTTTAATTTATGTTTGACATCTTGGACAAGAGGTAACAAACACGTTAATCTTAAAAAAACAAAGGTGTTGTTTATTCCTAACAGTCTTGAATACATTAATAGCACACAGCCTATGATTTATAACAGTACATTGAGAAAAAAGGGCTCGTTTCATTAAGAATTGTCGACCACTGTGATGTGGGCTATGACGTTTTGAACACCCGAGGGGCGCATAGCCCCGAGGGTGTTTTGTTATACCTCTGTCTTGGATTCTTTGGATTTCGATGTAAAAATCACGAAAACAAACGGCAGTTAACACAGCAATCATGACAATCTAACAGCAACTCACACATGTTGCCTGCTCGAAACAGCCGATCGTCTGCTAGTTCGCTGCTACCACTCATGTGTGAAACATGCTGAAAATATCGTGGGTACCAACGATACAGCGTTTCACACCATCCGAACAAAGTCATAGCACACTCCCTGTGGGATATCACGTACGTGATATCCCATATGGAGTGTGCCATGACTTTTTATAAACTTAACACGTGATCGTTCTAGGCCAATGAGATTATAGTATGCAAGACAGAAGTATAACAATTCAATTTAATTACTGTAACATGTCATGTTTATGTTGAAAGAATATCAAATCGTTTCCAGTATTACAACAAGTCAATAATTGAATTCAAACATTCAAGATGATTGTTGTGTTAAAATGTTTACCGGCATGTTGGCATGCACCGAGAAGGTTCACAACATTCGGGTGCCTTCCAATTTGAGTCAGAGCTCGAAATTCCACCATGAAGGTTTTTCGTTCGTTTGTTGGGGCATTATCTGGTGGAAAGATAGAATATGAATATTTGTTAGATTTTTAATCATTTATGGGTTCAATGCTGTTTTGGAACATTTAAACTGTCGAACTGTCCAGCGATTTGCGGACTGAAATGTTTGGTATCCTGACTTTTACTTTGCATAACACAACGAAATAATTTCAAACACAATTTTAAGAATATATGGACATGCCAAAGTTTATGTCCTCTGAGCGGACGAAGTGGTTGACAAAAGGACATTTCAAAACACCACTGCGTTTTATTCAAAAGAGTAGTAAAAAGTAGAGTTAAGTCTGTTACGAGCCAATGTGGCCCATCAGGCCGGCGTTTATCCCCGGTTTCAGTAGCATGAAACGACTGAGAACATTTCTAGTCCATCGCAGGTAACTCTCCAGCTTATGCCGGTACCCGTTTATACTATGGGTGGAGAGAGGCAAGTGGGGTGAAGTGGCTTTCCCAAGGACACAACATATGGCCAGCAGCTGGATTCGAACCCCTGACCCTCCGATCATGGGTCACGAACCCTAACCACCAGGCTACACTCCCCACCAAAATAGTAATATCATAATAAATTATGTACTTAGACCGTACCTTCAAGTTTCTTGATGGCGGCATTAGAAAACTCTCCCTCTATCTTCACCACACCGTCGAGAACTTCACCAAAGGCAAAGTATCCATCACCCAAGACCTTATCACCGATCATCATATTCGGCCATGGAATGGTCCAGTCTTTAGCCCAAGATGGCAGGCCAATATCCTCGTATGTTGACACCGAGCCGTCACCAACCGCTGTGTTGGGTGCTGGCCGGTCATCACCTGAGGAATGGGCCTCGTCCTCTTGTGCTACTCTATTTTCGTAGGCATTCTGCAAAACATGAAATATGATATATCACGAAATGATGGAATTATGATATTTCAAGATGGGCAGAATGGAAAAAAAGATATACATGTAGAAAGTAGAAAACATATAATGTGCTACACAAAGTGCTTTTTCGGGGGTGTCAACTCTTGCCCCCCCCCCTCCTCGCTACGCCCAAGGTCAATTGGTCGGGCTTGTCATTGCAATATACAATATGAAATGCTTGCAGTGTAAATTTAGGTAAAGGGACGAACCTGAGTTCACAGGAACTGAGTGCCAATCTCTCTTTCGTTTAGCGATTGGGCCAGCTAGACTCATATGCTGCTGTGGGGGGGATCGCCACACCTCCTCCACAGCGAGTCTGTAACCTTCCCAGCATTGAATAATGCTGGTACCCATTTAACACCTGGGTTGAGAGGAGTAATTGAGGTAAAACGCCTTACTCAAGGGCACGAAACGCCTGGCCCCGGCGGGGCTCGAACCCACAATCTTACGTTCATGAATCCTGTGCTCCACCGCTAGACCACACGTGCCCACAACTGTGGTAAACATGATCGACTATTACTTTCAGAAAAAAAACCTTAGTGGATTTTTTAAAATATGTGACGCACAAGATGGTATCGTATGTATGTCCACAATGGCTTACCAACTGGAGTCTTTCAGCGGGTGTCTTAGGCTTTGGGGTCCGATGCCTTCTTCGCTTGCAGAAGCAGAATGCGACGATAGCAACAATTGCTACAATCACACAGACAGACGCCCCACAGGCAGCTATCACAACAGTGTTTGATATACCTGCAATGTTCACAGTTGGAAAGGGAGACGGAAAATTATCATAAATAACTGAAATTGAAATGCCTGGTGAGCTTATAGCACAAACGCCTGACGATAGGCCTATACAACAACGAACTAATCAACTCAAGACTGTTACACGCATCAAAAAATATAAGACTTCAATCGAACAATATGCACATAAAATACACGTAAAAACAGTTTCAACGACAAACCAATCATAAAAACTTTGAAATAATATAGCGTTTAGGCTAGGACCAAGACGGATTTTGTTTGTAGCCGAAACGAGGCATTTCATGTTTGTTTTTATAGAGGAAACACATATTATGATAGGGCTATATACTGTGACAAAATGGACCAATAAAAAAGCTTAATCGAAATATTTATCAGGTGTATCAAAAATATCTGCAGTTTCATGTGTATTTTTGGGGGGGATTTTGAAACATTTCCTAACGACCTTACCTGTATTCGATGGCTTCTCTGTTACTTTAGGTTCCTTCGTGGCAAAATCTGCTTCAGCGGTTGTTGACGACCTCGTGACAAAATCTGCCTCAGTTGGCGGCTCATCGTCGCGAGTTACTCCTATAATATCACAGATAATGAACATAATATGAACTTTTTAGGGCATCGCTCAACCCCCCCCCCTTCTCCAAAGATATTAGGCTAATGTGACCTAAACCGAATGCACTTGTCTGATGGATGTTTTCTTACACAAAGATGAAAAACTGATACTTAAAAAAAAATCAACGGAATATTTGCCCGAACCTTGCACTCTTGTGGTCAGTGCTGGTACAGTAGGCCTAGTTACCGATGATGTAGGCACCAACGTTGAAGATGGTATTGACACTGTTGTTGAAGATTCTGTGGTGGTAGGACCTTCAGTAGTTGGAGGAGGTGTTGTTAGAGGATAAATCAACTGTGATACAGGACTGAAAGACCCGGAACCTCCTGGTCCATCTCTTACAGCTTGCACACTAAACTGGTATTGAGTGCTTGGTTCCAGTGGTTGGACTACAAAGCTATATGCGGCCTGTGACTGGTCTGTGACTGATATCTCACCAGCCAATGTCCATGATGCACTAGTTGAAATCATGGTGTAAATGATGTATTTGATGATTGGTCCATCTCCAGAGTCATCCACGTGTGAGTCCCATGCCTGCCAGCTGACAGTCACCGATCCTGGCCCAGCAACGACTGCAGGAGTCTGGCTTAGATATGGGGGACCTGTAATACAATCATATTCATACCTGTCACTGTACTGCATTTGGTCATGCTTGTATAAGGCAATTTTTTAGCCGATCAAATAAAGCACAAATTAAGAAATCACCGTTAGGGAAATGTTGAGTTTGTTTGTATAGTTCAAGGCTGTATAAGGGTGTTTAAAAAGAAGACAAGCAATAGAAATGTGCAGACAATACACAGTGGCAATATGAATGTTCAATCTGGATAAGTCAAACCTCAAGGGAACAAGTTCAAAATTTCAAAGCAGAGTTTTGAGTTAAGCAGGGTTGTATATCATTGTTATACTGCTGAAGGGAATGGATTCTTTGTTTGACTTATCAGTTGTTTTGAGTTATCAGAGTTTGACTGAGCGAGATTTCACTGTAAAACTCTTTACCAAAAAAAGATGCACTCAGAGTTGTGAATACAGCTTGACTGTTATGAGTTAGATAGCAGGTGGCCAACTGGTTGTTAATCAGTCCAGATACTGTGAACGTGTTGTTGAGCACCATGCCTTCAGTCACAGTCCCTGTTCGTGGGAACGATGAGCTTCCGGCTACCACGGAAATTGAGTCTGCCGAAAGAACGTCTCCTGACGTAGCTGCACAACTGAATGTCGCATCCTTGCCTTGGTTGGACATCGTCAACATTTGAAATTCAATGATACCTGTTGATCGTGAAAAGAACCATGTCATGATCACTACCAATAACACCATTCAGTCTTTTTGAACACCAATCATTGACAGTTTATAATTCCGGCCTTCTGTGGGAAACAAAGGACACAGACTTTCAGAATTTTTGTTTTGGAATTTTACTTTGGAAATAACACAGAGATTTTAAAGAACACTTTTATTATTATTTCGTTCTTATTTATATTTACATTGAAAATAAATGAAGACGATTCCGATTTGGGACTGGGTCAAAACATATTTGACATCGTGCCTACATTTTAAATCCCTGCTCTTGCTCTTAGTTCTGTAGACGGATATCAGTGAAAAACAGCCTCCCCCCTCCAGGAAAAGGAGAGAAAAAAAGAGGTGTGAAGACATATTTGCTATTAATTTAACACGCATTTAACGAAATGGGCGTCTGCAGGGGTATTAATGGGGGGGGGGGGCAAATGTCCCCATCCACCCTCGAAAAAACATGATAAGTCGAGAATATGCTAGAGAAAGTATACAAGGATTTGGTGGGGGATGTGATCCCCCCCCCCAAGAAAAAAATCCTGGCGACACCCATGTATATGCTTCTTACAAAATTCTTTAAAAAAAATGTACGTGTATAACTTTCCATTGATATATTTATGGCCTTCACTGACGGTTAAATTTCTGCTGCTGACACCAGTAAAACCGGTTAAATCTGGGGATTTATCAATTTTGTCACAGCTGGATCGAACAACGGACGGGCTTTCCCGGTTGCCCAGAAAGAGATAGGTATACATGTATATAGGCCTACTTACCTGTCTGACAGTTGTTGGCGTTCATATCTGACTTGAATCCATCAGCACAGACTCCATTCGATCCACTGCAGTAACCACTGTCTCTCACGCAGGCAGCGTTGGTAGCACAGTGACAATCAAGCAGACAATCTAGTCCATAGAAGCCAATCGGACATGTGCCTGAAATACAAATTTTGAAAGAAGACAGAGATTCATTGGTTGACGAAGCTGAACAAAATGCAGGACGTGCGGTAGACGATCTAACGTGTTGACTGTGATGTCGCCATTCCTCATTTTGACTTAGCAAAGTTGCTGAAATTTCCAAGTGCCTGGCAAGATGTTCTTTCTGGACCACCCCCCCCCCCCCCAATTGCTAAACACAGCCTGCATACAATTGTTGATTAAAGTATCCCCCCTGAAAAAAAACTACCACATTCGGAATGATTGATGAAATGAAAAGATTGAGATGTCCATCTCCAAAACAGATTGGTGACCCTAGCTCCTTTCTTCGTCAAATCCCGAGCATACTTGTTTGTAATACAATTTCCATTCACTATTTTTATGTTATTGTTTCCCAGTTTCACAATACAAACATTAATTAATAAGGCATTCTCAGCCGAGAGCACTGTGACTACGATACAAATTAAGGATGTGATTTCGAGGTAAGTGAAAAAAAGTTACTGGTTTAGTATAAGTCAAAGGTTATCTTTGTAAATTTCATTCGCACTTATTTGCTCATATACTGCGAGACTTCATGATCCTCATACCGACCATACCTAGGACAGGAGTAGTGAGTGCTGCGGTTGAAGATTCTGCAAGTGTAGGGCCTTCAGTAGCTGGAGGAGATGTTGTTAGAGGATAAATCGACTGTGATGCAGGACTGAAAGATCCCTGGCCTCCTGGTCCATCTCTTACAGCAGCCACGCTGAACTGGTATTGAGTGCTTGGATCCAGCGGTTGGACTACAAAACTGTAAGCAGTCTGTGACTGGTCTGTGACTGGTATCTCATCAGCCATTGTCCATGATGCACTAGTTGAACTCATGTAGTACACGATGTATCTGATGATTGGTCCATCTCCAGAGTCATCCACGTGTGATCCCCATGCCTGCCAGCTGACAGTCACTGATCCTGGCCCAGCAACTACTACAGGAGGCTGGCTTAGATATGGGGGAACTGTTAATACAATCGAATATAAAACATGATTGGTAACTGACGTTGCATTTGGTCATATGAAAAGCCATGTCGCAAAGTTGGCTAAAATATGTGGGGCATTTTGGGGCCTAATTAATCCCAGGCGCACTCTAACTTATTGGCTTTTAAAAAAAGGAAAATATCATTTCTATTGTGACACCAAATTCCAGGCAGCTTCAACTTTAAATGATTAAAATACAATACATCCGATAATTAGGCGACTAAATGTGAGGTTGAACATTTGCTCACTTCTGCAGTGTAAATTTGTACTAAGTTAGGCATTGAACATTATACATAGTTAAAAAATAAATCAGAAAGACTAAAGACTAAATAAGAAAGATCACTCTTACCAAAAAGGGACACAGTTAGATAGGTCCACACGGGATTACTGTTATGTAGAAGATAGCAGTAGACGTTTTGACCGTCAAGCAGTCCAGACGCGGTGAATGTGTTGTTGAGCACCATCCCTTCCGTCACGGTTGCTATCCGTGAGAATTCTGCTGAGCTATTGCTTGCTTCTGCTGCTAGGACAAGTGTATTTACTGGAAGAGCGTCGCCCGACGTAGCTGCACAACTGAATGTCACATCTTGGCCTTGGTTGGGCATCGTCAACATTTGGAATTCAATGACACCTTTTTGATAACCAAAATACCATAACTGCATCAGTAGGTTTCGTCGACCTCAGAGTGTCCAACTTGCACGACTTTTTAAACGTAAATTGGTCTGTATTCCACCTCCACTAGGCCTACTGTAAGTAATTATGCTCAAAGAGGATTTATTCATTTTTTCATGACTTATGTTCGACGTGCATCGAATGTATTATAAATATGATAGTAAAAGTTAAGACAACTGATTTTTATAACCGACTTCAGGTATTGCAAACGTCTTTTCAGATTTCAATGCAGAGCAATGGCCAGAACCAGAGCTGGGAAAGAAAGAAAATCAAAAACATGAAATGCCAGAATTGCTTCGAAATATGAAATACTTCTTTATAAAATGTGGCACGGTACACAAATTGTTATTGCCCATGAGTGCAATGGTAAGAATAATTTCATGAGGTGCCAGATGGAATGTTCCATAATGGGACATCCAATCTGTCACCTCATGAAATTATTCTTTCCATTGCACGAATGCGAAACAAACATTATTTGTTTTATATACAACACCTGAATTAATCATCATCTAATTGGTCAGAGCCACAGACAGTGTGACCGTGAAATGGAACTTCTATGTACCGTGGAATAAAACTTATATTTCTGCAGTGCCGCCGGCCGTGGCTTGGGACGAATAATTCAATGACACGTGATGACTGAACGGCCAATCAGAGGACGGGGATTTATTCAGGATTTGTATAATAAATCACAATTCATCGTTCATTAATTTGGTTCACTTCTTTCAGATTTTCGGTACCTGTCTGACAGTTGTTTGCATTTTTATCGGACTGGAATGCATGAGCAGCACATGTTCCATTCGATCCACTGCAGTAGCCGCTGTCTTTCTCGCAGGCAGCGTTGTTGTCACAGTGACAATCAATCAGACAATCTGGTCCAAATTTCCCAGTCGGGCACGTGCCTGCAACAACATGGAATTTTTGACAGTAAGACAATGATTAATGTAACACAAGCCAATTATGGCAGGCCTAGTAAAGCTGGGCCATAAGCGCGCAAAATTCTATGTCATCGATTCAGCATGGCGGTTCACTTGAAGTCTTTTCACGCGCCTGGCTTACACAATTTGCCGGGTTATTTAGCCCATTCATTGGTGTTGTACGGGGTAATCCTTTTTCAAACTTTTGGACCAAGGTGGGATTTTCTCCAGTGACAGTCGGCGGGGGAGAGTGCCAGTGAGTCAGTCACATGGGCGTCGTGAGGGGGGGGGGGGGGGCATGGGGAGTGGTGCTTGCCCCCCCCCCCCCCTCCCTGGAAAAGCAATCCCCCACCCCACCCCCCCCACCCCCCCCAAAAAAAAGAGGAGGGAAAAAAAGGAAAAGAAAAAAAGAAGGAAAAGAAGTGCGAAGTCATATTGCTGTTAATTTAATGGGTGGGGGGGGGGGGGCAAATGTCCCTACCCACCGTCCTCGAAATATGATAAATCGAGAATATGCTGGAAAAGTACAGGGATTTCAGGGGGAAAATGTGCTTTGCCCCCTCTAGAAAAACTCCTGGCGACGCCCATGGAGGCTCAGTGTGTCAGTGACTCAATGTGTAATTAAATCAGCTCAGGTGCAAAAACTGACCCCTTTGGAACCAGTAGAAAAAGTATAGCTCACTGGCTTAGAACCCTAACCCCATACGGTGTTATACTATACAGTACGTCCCAAAATACCAGCAACTTTGTTTTGCGAGGCTCTGGCGTCGGCGCGGAAACACGTACCGCCATTATTGTTATACCATTTTAAAGCTTGGAATCTCAACTTTTATCCCTGGCGAGTATATTGGTTTGATGTTATTGATGTTGGTTTGTATATTGGTTTGAATCAACAATGCTGTTGAAATAACAAACAAAAAAAACACCGTTGATTTATAATTAAAACACATTGAACCTGAAACGAAACGAAGAACAATATTGTGAAGTTATTGAAGGTGTAATCTACGTGTATCGAAAAGAAAAGGAAACACAGAAAGTAAAAGGTAACTTCGTCACATCATGAACATGATGAATCATTCCCGTCCCACATTGATTTTCCTTGAAATCGGTTGAGCTTGTTTTTGACTTGCCTCTTTATTTGAACACGAATAATTTCAAAACCCGTTTTAAAATCGAACAAATACTTACCAGGAATAAAGTTAAGATTTCAAGCATTAAAACGATTTAGATATAATGGTGCTACGTGTTTCCGCGGCGACGCTAGAGCCTCGCAAAAAAAAATTGCAGGACGCGCTGTTGGCACTACTGTAAGATGCACCGTGTAAACATAGACCTTTCTGCGTTTTTACATTTGAATGCACTGGTATATGAATACGATATTCAGTTTTATATTACAAGTGCAATAAGTTTGAAGTCAATATCGAATATTTTTGCTGCTCATTTTAAATATTGTTCAATAGATAACAAGCTGCGACTGCTTTAACTTGCCCGAAACGTTGGAAAATCTCGACAGTATTAGTAGAAAAATCACAAAATACGTCATGGAAGGACCACCGTGAACCCGGAAGTTTGCAGTCAAACTTTGCAAAATGCTTGTCTTCGGAGCCACGGAATCATTTGACGGACTCTCCATACTGATGTCTCGTGGAATCTCTCACTCAGTGCGTTTCCGACTACTTTACTAGGCAGTCACAATGCATGCATGGGTGTACGATCCCCTTCAAGAGATTGAACGGACAGCTCCGTGATCTTCCTGCTAGAAACACTGAGAAGTTACAATACCAAAACAGCACTTAAACTGAAAAGTTGAAAGTCAGTGGTACCATGGTAGGCTTGTACATTATCATGCGCTTTTGCATTACTGTATTTCTGGAACTAGCCTGCACTTTTGTACGTGTAGGCCTATAGGCACTGACGCGTGACTGCCTCGAATAAAAGTCACTATTTTGGACACAAAGGGCTAAGATTAGCAAGTCATACGATTGAAGTTAATAATGTTTGGGCTTTCCCCGGAAAATTTTGGAAAATGTATACATTTGAAAACGACGTATATCCTGGTTTCATTTTCGATTTCATTTTGCATCATTCAAATAAATGAATGTACATGACGTTTCATTTAAAGGATTACAAATACGTGATTAGGCTTTCGGAAATTCGGTTTGACGGATGCGTTAAAGGGAATATACAACATATGCAAACATCAAAAAATAAAACTACCAAGTTTTTACGAAAAACCTTAATAGGATGTTGGTAAATGACAGTCTAAAGCATCCTGTAAAATTATGGCACCTGGCATTTTTTTTCAGTCCAATTTTTGTTTGCTATTGGTTACATGTTCATGAACGGGTGCAGGCCAGCTAGACTGGTACCATTACCTTACAATTTTCCGGCATCTGTAAATTGATCCATTTTATATTTAGTGGAGTCAGGGAACCAGACTACTTGATCAGTTTTGTTTTTCTTGGTTTTTTTCAGCATTTTCGAACACAAAACTTCAAACATGTCAGTGTAACAATATTTGATCTATTATATAACCCCTCAAATAGTTAATTTTCGTAGGCCCTCCCCCAAGTTCGTAATCCCCCAAATTTTTCGTAGGCCCCCAATTTTTTCCCGAAGGCCCTATGCACAGTGCCTACTGTGCCTATTGGGTAATCCAGGCCTGGATGTGCCTTCGATTTCGCACTAAAATGAACTTTATGTCAATTTACGAAATTCAGTGCACATTCGAGAAAGCGTATGGGGCCTAGGCCCTACGCTGATTTTTTTGTTACGACTGAATGCACCTCTGGCTTCATGGAAATATAATTACCATTTGTTAAATAGAAACAGTGATTTGGAACGTCCATTCTATTTCGCACTAAATAAAAACGAATGCTCATGTAGGCCTACATCAAGCCCACGGGAACGGGGGGTGCTGTGGGCGCTGCAGCACCCCCAACTTTTTGGATTGGGGTGCTGGAATATGCTTCAACACCCCCTACTACTGGGCAAAAATGTGTTCCAGGTTCGTGGGTGATATTGGTTGGTCGTGATAGCGCCCTTTCGCGGTGGCCGGTTATCGCGGTGGCGGGTTATCGCGTAGCAAACAAGAACAGCGTCGAGCCCCTAGACTACTAGTTTGCCGCGGCCAAGCGCGGCGCTTCGAAAGTCTAGCACAAACACTATAAAACATCAAGAAGAGGTATTTTCTAAATCTTCAGACAGTGCAGAATCGATATTTCTCTCAAGGTATCTAAAATCATGACATGTCTATGATATTTCCGCCATGAAAGCCCATGCTGGAAACTTTGACCGGAAAGCAATAACCTCGGCCATGACAATGGTGGCAAAGTTGTCTACGCTTGCCAGGATTTTTTTATTCGATCTTTCAATAGGGGCAAATGCTCATACCTCTCCCCTGAAGGTTTTTCTTTTCATTTAAAAGTTCCATTGACGTTGCTAGCATTCTGTACTCAAACATTAAGGTTCACACACACATCCCCAACCTAATAGGAGTGGGACGGGCCGGCTTTCATTGAAACTAGTCATACTTTATGCCAATTCCAGTGTAGTTTCGTTTTAATAAAAAAGCTATTATATGTTTTACCCTCTGCAAGGTTTTCCTCATAAAAACTCAGTAGACCGACACTAATCCTTGCCTAGCCCCAAACTTGCCATCTACCGATCATAAACATAAAGATGCATTTGGTCTTTTAGTCTTTTATATTTGCCATTTCCTGTAACAAACAAATAACACTGCAAATATATCGAGAGCTACATCGTTTGGTGAGTCAGAACTATGTGAATATTTTTATGAAAAGAAATTCATCCGCTTCCAGTGGAACCATTTGTTTTAACTTGAACCAAAAAACATCCTTTCAGGTTTTATAAGTTTCAGTATACATGTACTTCAGTATATTTCATCACAGTGCATCCAGAATCCAACATTTTCCGGGGCCTTAAAAGCCGTAAGGGCTCGGAAAAACCCCAAAACATACACGAAGGAATTTACTAAATGTAAGAAAGCAGCCTTGCAACAATAATATTTACATGCGATGTCATGCATACTGATACAATTCTTTTCCCAGAATTAAATGGAACCAAAAATGGAGAAAAAAATACAGGGTTTTCCACTTCTTAGTACAGTTAAACGTTTTAAGAGCAACAGTATATTCTAAACAAAATAATGAAATAAATTGTCTTTATAATCTCAAAAATGATTTTGCTAAAAAAGTCAAATGAAGTGGCCAGGAATCGCCTCAGATTGCACCACAGAGCATCCATATTCCAAATTAAGCCACGACGTATAAGGGCTTTGCGCTCCGCTTTGGCATTTATTTTGTCCGTCCTTTAGAAATTCCAGCACCCCCTGGCAAAATTTGTTCCAGCGGCAGTGGCCTACATCACATTTTCCAAATTTGCCTGGGAAAACCTATTTGTCTTTAAAATATTTCGGATTATTGGCCGCCCGCATTAATTCTGTTCTCGCGGGGTTCCCGCCCCACAATCAGTATAGTAGCGGTAACGTACGGACCGGCAGCCAGCCTGTTCGCAAAACTGATCAGGCTGGTTTTGTCATACAAGGGGTTGAAAAAAACATGGCAAAAAACTCGGATCAAAGAAAAAAATAATACAGTTTGAAAATGTATGGGGGGGGGGGGGGGGCCCTAAGGGCAGCGCGTCAGCTGCATTAACAAAAATAAACAACTTGATAACAAACATGACACAGGCAACCTCATCCCCACGGCTTGAATCCTTACACTACCAGCTATACTACGAGAACGAGGTTAAAATTAATCGAGGACGTAGCTCACGTTATGACGGATGTGGTAGGCCGACCGTTTCCATTTTTCTACTTTCAGTTTAAGTAATTACAATGGCTTTGTGGCTTCGCATATTGTTGGCAAAGCATTGACATTTGTTGTTTTGGGGGTACGGTAAGCATCGCTTCCTATTTTTTTCCCTGTGAATGTGACTTTCAAACTTGGTTGGCGATTACGATACGGATCGTTGAATCAGTTTCGTGATAATCAAATCCTACACAGTACTCTAGATTGATTGACCGGTTCCGCAATTTAGAAAAATTGAATCAAGGGAAAGAATGTTGCATCCTGACGCAAAAAAAGATAGTATCTCAATGAAGGTCAGTCTGCGCAAAATTGTAAAAAAGACATTGGGACTGAGAAATAGGCCTATTCCAATTTTGTTAGAAAATATGTTGAAAATGCACTAAACTCTTCATCAACAATTGTGTACACAAAGTAGCCTATGTTTATAAAACCTGGAACTCAGTGGAAGTACATGTAGGAAAAACACTCACATGATTAAGCATTCTCCATGTAATCAAATGGGGGAAAGATTCCCATATCTGGCCATCACTAATTTTTCCTTCAGTGACATATCACTCAGCCATCAGAAAGCGATAATATGTCCTAAAATTAAAGTAAGTCAAAATTAGCAGGGAAAATATTGAAGTATTTACTGAGAAAACACTTAGACATTTTCAGACCAGCCTCGTACTCGTAGGGTTTGTGCACAGGGTGACAAGTGATGGCCAGATATGGGAATCTTTCTAAAATGGGTATTTACCTGTTCAAGCGATACGCGGAAAATGCTTAATTTTACAAAATGATAGTACAGGCTCTATTTGTTATGGTGTGCATTTATTAATTTTGGTACTTTCACAACCTGCTAAAGACAAATTCCTCACTTTTCACTCTTGTTTCTACTTTTAAATGGTGTGGTTTGTTACACCATGGAGGATGTGTTCCTTCCTCCATAGTAACAGACACATGCAAGGCTCAAGTGTTGGAACCATGATGCAAGAGCTTTCATGGCAGACTCTGGCTGAGAGACGCAGGCTTGCAAGGCTGACTATGCTATACAAGATAAACAACCAACAAGCTGCAATTGACATCTGAAAATATTTGTCTTCCAAGAACCATACCATTCACATGTCAGTTTCTCATGTTTTGTGAATTGCATTTGACCTGTGTGTATTTTCACATCTGCCGACAGAGCTTAAACAATGGCCTCAAGAAGTGAGAAAACTCCGTTGCTTGGTCAGCATGGCAACCAAGGGCCAGCCGCTACTAAGCTGAAACCTGCAGTTGCCGGGTTCCAGTCGGAGGAGGACGACCTTTCGTCGCTATGCGACGTCGACATCACTGAAGCTCAGAAAAAAGATAAACAACTGTAATTATGAAGCTGATCGCACTCTGTGTGATTGATTTCTTGTGTACTTATTGCCCTACCCAATGACAACCGTGGTGGCTAATCTCTTTCACAGAAATATATTTCAGGAAACTCAAGTTATGCATACATTTTGCAATATGCTGAAGCGTTTACTGTCTATAGACTGTAACGTGCATCATCATTTTGGGAGTCAAGTTTTCGTGACGCGCATCGGCCGTGCCAAATTTCAAATAAATTTCGAGCAAATTGCGTGCATGTTTAACACACATTTTGCACACTGCGCGGACACATACCTGATGGCATTGAATATGCAGTTGTAATTTTCCTACGAAGATAGCGTCCTATGAGAGTCATCTATACTTAGTCTACAGTATGCATTTTGGGAAGAATTCCCTACACGGGCATCACTGAGTTTTCCCTGCAGTGATATAACAGCCATCAGATAGTAATAACGTGTCCTAAAAAGTCAAATTTAGCATGGAAAATCTTGAAACATTTACTGAGAAAACACTTGGAATTTTTCAGACCAGTCTCGTGGGGTTTGTGCACAGGGTGTCCAGGGGCCAGTTTCACGGCGCTGCTAAGCACAAAAATTTGCTTAGCACAAAAAAGTCGGGCTTATAAAAAGCAGGTTACCAACCAAAACTCCATGTGATATATATTGCTTATGATTAGTATTCAGTTGTCGTTTGTTCAGCGTGAAAATCACATGGAGTTATGGCTGATAACCTGCTTTTATAAGCCAAACTTGTTTGCGCTAAGCAATTTTTTGTGCTTAGCAGCGTCGTAAAATTGGGCCCTGCAGGTATGAAACTCTTTCAACCTATGAATTCATTTATTATGTTGATAACCTTTTTTCACACTTCGTGCAAATTATCCATGAAAATCAAAAGAAAAAACGTGCAAATTTTAGTGATGTTTGATGATAGCCACCTGCTTTCTTTTTAGATATGCTAAGTTTGAAGGACCGAGTTCTGGGAGTCACTTATCTGGTGCGTTGGGGACGAGCAGCGGTAGCACCACGGCAGTTGATAGCAAACGCAGGTAACATTAACCCTAACTCCCTAGGCATTTTTGCTAGGATGCAACCTCAATTCTGCAAAATCCTCCAACTGCCTCCATGTAAAACTTGCACACAGCCTCAATCCTCCAAAATCCTCTGTTATTTCTTGAATGTGGTCCTTGGAGGGTGACCACTGCCTCAATCCTGCAAAATCCTCCAGCAATCACTGTCAATATGTTGAGCCAGTGACATCCTGCAACAGTGCGGAGTATTTCAAGTATAATCTAGGCCTAAATTTATGCACGGCTGAGCATAAACAACACAAGGTCTGGCCTAAAACCTTGACAAAGTGCATCCTCCAAAATCAGCCACACATTTTTGCAATATAGCCTCAATCCTGCAAATCCTCCATTTTGCCAAAAGGATTTTGGAGGATTTGGGAAGGTTTATGTTAAAATATATATTTTACAGTATTTTTTTTTATACTGTTTCGTATGTTTCTTTGTTAGAAAACCATTCCATTATTCCTCCGTGCCCACCTACCTGACCGATGATGGCAAGATTGAGCACGCTGTGGATGAGAAGACGGCAGCCACATTTAACCGTTATCGCTACTACAGCAGGCTGGCTGGTAGCCCCGGCCAACGCAACAACACACTGGTAGGATTTCATTAGTCCGAAAATTTTGGACTCTCAATACTGTGTATGAGAGTCCCAAAACTTAAGGTATTGAAAACATGCAAAACAAGAAAATAGACTGGCACCTAAAACAACCAGTCCAAGACAGCTTCAGTACAATCAACCAAAGAATTTAAGAAACATGTGGCATGAAGCGGGAACTAGTCTCAATTTACTACACATTTCTCCATAGTAAAGCCACCAGACTGTTGACACTGAATGAAGAGCTAGAGGTCAATCTTTCCAAATACAAAAATGTAGTTGGACCATGGTTGGACATGTACCAGTCTAGTCTTTAGCTCCACTTTGGAATCACTTGACTTCTCTCTCATGTGCAAAATACTGAAGAAAAGTCTCCTTTAAAAATTGAATTGAGTCTGCAAACTTGGTAGGTGAAATACTGAGGACATGTTCTTTGCCCCAGTGGAATTTTTGGAGATATTTGCTGGCTAAACGGTGAGTAAAGTGGGCCTGATTTAGTTTTGCACATTTCAGAGCACTCCAGAGCCCTGTCTGGGATTTCATTAGCCTTATTGGACACAATATGAGGGCGCTGTTTGGTTTTGTTAAACATGGCTACATGAGCCCATCAACTGATTTCACAGTCACAGGTCGTACTTCGAAATTGTACTTTGATTTTTGTTTTGGTGTATCCTACAGGAAATCCCAGACCATGTTCTTCCTCCGTTTCTTCTGTCTGTCGAGTTGCCGTTCAAAGACAAGGAAGGAAAGCAGGGTAGCATTGTAACAATGTAAGCTAACTCATCAGTTCCTCTCCTGCCCTAAACCACCTTCCTTGCTACTCCCTAATGTCTTACTAGCTTCCAAGTTTCCAATTGAGTAGTTCACGCCATGTGAGCGGGTCAGACCACCCTCTGGGTTATTCTGTGAATCTGGGGTCCACTTTTTTCCTGTCCCTGTTACATCTGACATCTATGATTTTTAAATTCTGGATGCACTCATTAATGCAGTCTTGTCTTGAATGCTGCACCAACACCCCTTCTCAGGGGTCACACGGGCAGGGTATCCTTCCTGCCAGAAACACCGGGGCCAACCCCTTCTCTTAGCGATAAGCGTTGCTGGGTCCTTTTACGTGCGTTAGGCCTTATACAACACACGGGACCTACGGCTTAACGTCCCATCTGAAGGACGAAGCAATAATGGTTAAGTGCCTTGCTCAAGGGCACAATGTCACCGTGCCCGGGGCTCGAACACACGTCACTGTTGCCTCTGAAACACCAGAGTATGAGTCCGGTGCTCTTAACGGCTAGGCCATGACACTCCACAGGGACAGGAAAAATGTCACAATTATTTGGCTAAAATGACCCCTCTACATTTTATGTGATCTTAGGCTGCACCTTACGTACTTGACCAGCAGTAATTCACCCATCACTGGATTCAGATTTGGCTGCCTGTGATAGCCGAATAATTAGACCCAGCCTGAGTTTTAGACTTTGTCCATTCAGTTGCATCCATGACCCTGACTCTTTTGGATTTCAAAATGAACCAGGTTTTGAAAGGTTTTCAGGATAATCGAAGGTAGTGCTTAGCTACTTGTGGACGAATCCTGGCACGTAATCACTGTACTCTAACGAGGCCCCCTTTGATGGCGAGGCATTATGCAAGCAACTGTATAAAGCATCTGCCCCGTGACGGATTATCTGAACAATAGCTAGCACAATGCTTCTCCATTGAAGGGGGCCACCGTGATAGAATTGATAATGTGCCCGAATTGGTCTATGAGCTCTGTGCGCCAACAAAAGAGGGTGCCCTTTTACCTAGCAACGACGTCCCATGGGCGGGACATTTAGCTGGTTAACGCGCACCGTTCCTTGTGTGTGACGCACGTACACCAGGGGATTTGTACTATGTACACGCAGTGGTACGGCCGTGCGCCGCGGCAAAATTGCAGTCGGGCAAGATGGCGTCGGTCGGTCACCCCAACTGTACTTCCTTTGCCGGTGAGGGGGCACTTGTGAACTGAGATATTTAGACGTGATAAACATTTATAACAAAGTGCATGCCATTTTAGAGGCTTCAAGAAGGTTGACAGTAAAACTGACATACATGTAGGAGTTATCGTTTATTGTTTGAGTCAGGTTTTGTTTTGTTTTCATTCCACCAATGGCAGTTTTTCCATCTGGAACACCATGATGGGTACGTCCCTACTCAGCATGCCCTGGGCCATCCAGCAGGCTGGTTTCCTGATGGGTCTGTTTCTATTGGTCGCAATGGCAGGGCTGACTCTGTATACTTGCTACAGGGTGGTGAAGTCTGTACAGAGATTGGGTAAGTCCGGGTACTAGATTGGGTTAGCCTTGGTACAAGCGTAATTCTTTTTGGGTGGTAACATTCATAGCTGTCTGTCTTTGAACGGATATTTTCTTTGACTTTTCTGATTTTCATCGGAAAACCAAACCTTTGACTTTTCCAACGAAATTGAAGATTTTTTTTACGAGTTGTCCCACAAAATTTGATTTTTTTAAATGATTTTTCCACAATATGTGATTTTATTTTAACAAAATAATAGTTTTGAAGAAAAGACGATGAAAAGTCGATGAAAACGCCGAGTCCATCGCAAGTCCAACACAAGTAACAGGGGATGAGCAGTAGAACAAGGAATGCCTTTTCCACAGTTCTTTTGAATAGCTTGTGACTGGACTTGTGTCTGGATGACTAGGTGGTGGACTTGTGATGGAGTTGTGATGGACCTGACTACAGCGTTGCTACTGGTGTATCGGAAAAACAGGATTTTGTCAATGTTCTTGTTTGACATTACAGGCTAATGTTTCCTTTGTTGCATATCAGAGAGTGGAGGCAAGATGTTAGAGTTCTCAGACGTCTGTCGGGAGTACCTTGGAAGGCCAGGGGAGTACGCGGCAATTTTCTTCTCCCTGGCTGCCCTGCTAGGGGCCATGGTTGTCTACTGGGTCCTGATGTCTAACTTCATGTACAGCTCTGTCAGCTTTATCTATGGTAGTTGCCTCTTACAATTTTTTTGTCTGTTTTATGTGGTTGGAAAAGCAACATATTCATCAGAAATTTTACTTTGCGCACGGTGATCTTAGGCAAGTGCCTAAATATTTTAATGAATATATAATTTTAAGTGTCTAAATGTGCAGGAAGTATTTAAAACAGCGCTGGTGATTGTACCACACATCCTCGTACCTGTGTGCCAAAAATTCTCAACCTTTTCCCTCTTTTTTATAAATGGATTCCTGATTTATATCTCCAGTTTTATTAAAAGTGGACTGTACTTAATTTACAAATGTATTCTCTAAAGTACAATTTACCAGTGAGATGTGTGATTTGTGAGAATGATGTTGGATCTTGTTCTCCCTGCTTTATGACTTGCCAGTGATTGACAGTTGACTACAATTGAATGAATTGATGAATATTTTCCCTGATCCAGGGCGTGTGTTAGGACTGGAGTCGACTGAGAATGATACAATTTGTGCAGTAGATCTCCCTGGCGGTAACGGCGAAGCTTGGCAGAATGTCAATAGTAAGTGGCCATCTGGTTTGGCTTCTCTATTGTCTTTTATTCATTTTGTGGACCCCTCCACACACACAGTCAAGTTTAGACTTGCAGTCAAATGTGAATATAAATTAGCGTCAATTGGTTTTGTGTTTTAAAAACACTTGGGCTTATCATCCGTTTAACCCTAACAGTCCTCAATCCTCCAACAGGTGAAGGATTGAGGACTGTAAGGGTTAAGAAATAGTTTGTACGATTTAAAGCTTTGCTTTGTTGGCATCAAGATTTGTGGATAACACTTAGTGATAAAAATTAATCCCTTTGAAGAAATAGTGGTTGTGAAAAACCTAGCCATGAGAATGATTCTTTTTGCCTTCGAGAAGACCTGCGAGGATAGAAATATCATACCCTCTAACTCTTTGATTGGAATATTATACACATGAGGTCACTAGTGAACGTCTATGCGCCCCGAGGGACTGTGAGTGACCAAAGCAATTCGCTCTTTGTACGCTCCGCCATAAGCAAGCAGAGCCTCAATCTGGCAACTTTACACAATAAAATAGCCAGTTCAGTGATTCCCGTGTATACACGGGAATCACTGAACTGGCTATTTTATTGTGTAAAGTTGCCAGATTGAGGCTCTGCTTGCTTATGGCAAAAGCGTGCAAAGAGCGAATATGACCTCTTTCCAGTCACTCGCGGGCCGAGGGGGGCATAGACGTGCACTAGTGATCGAATTATGCCAGTCCATATGTGTTTGTAACTCACCTCTGTCCAAAATATAAAATAAGAAAAGAATTTTTTTTCAGGCTTTTATAATTGAGCTGTTTTAATTCAACAATTAACTCATAAGCAATTCAACTGTAAGCAATTCAACTATTAAAAGGAACGCTTCAGTTTCCCTAGATTCAGTTTTTGAGTTTTTTAGAGGGCGCTGTAACCAGAAAAAAAGATGTACACATGCAATCCTTCATTTCTCCACAGTGACAATCATTGATCGTGATGATGCCACCGAGACGATGTTTGCCAAGGTCTGGAGTAAGACTCACACAGTGCCTCTGTTTCTATGCATCCTGGTCTTCCCGCTCATGAACTTCAAGTCCCCAACGTTCTTCACTAAATTCAATGCTCTCGGTGAGTAACACACTTCAGTTTTAACTACAATTACTTTTTTTCATACAAATAGTGTGCCTGTGTATCGCTGTTGCTGAAATTGCTAAGCGTAACCACACATGCCCGTAACCGGCCCCTATCCACTGCACAGTGCCCGGACAATCCACGGGTAATTCAATTCGCGTGCTCACATGCATGCAAGCACTGTGCGATCGGTATTCCTGCCGTTCGTCTCGGGCAGTGTGACATTGTCACGCAGCAATTTCCACTCCCGTACTCTTTAAATTTGCAACTTTTTAAACTGCATCATTTTTGATAAACTGTTGTCGATGTTGGACCAGTTACAGTCTTTGGTAGCAAACGGGGTATCAAAATGTAGCCATCAACATTCCCCAAAGGTCTGTATAAATGACGTTATCGTAAGACGATCAGATTCAAAATTATGACCCCTCTAATAAGTGTGGATTTTCTTTTTTTCGCGGCGTTTATGACTACCTTGCAATTTTTATCTCCACCCCAGGAACCCTATCGGTGCTGTATCTCATCATTTTCATAAGCGTTCAGGCCTTCAGATTCGGCGGATTCCATTTGGACTTCAACAATCCCAGATCTAAGCATTACGCAGCCTGTGAGTAATCCAGCAGAAATGAAACTAAGGACTCCGTGTACAATCTAAAGATAACATGTTTTGACCACTTTCAATAGCCCAGTGGACAGGACACACACACTCTTGTTTTACTATACTCCCGAGGACAATGCTTTGGGTTTCCTTTGTCCCTGTAATATAACACTCTCCCGTAGACTAAGCACACGAACCTACTACAGAGGACCGTTTCCAACATAAGACCCAACTCCCGAGGACTGAAAGGATCTGTTGTTCTCCCTTTGTGTGTCTGTCCTCGGGGGTTATGTAGAACACGTACACCGTGTGCGTGTACTTGTTCGGACGTGTTTGGCGCAAAGTACGCAAATGCACATTCATTTCACACACATCCCTATGTGATTTGTTTTGGTTTTGCTGAAAGAAAGCACACCTTTTTATGATCTGTGGACAGAACTTTAAAACGGTGGTTGTGTTTAAAATTCCATAACTTGAAAATCACATGAGTGATATGAATGATTCCTGTACTAAAAGAAAGCTCATGAATTGGGCTTTCATATCCTAGATTTTCAAAGTGCTACACGCAAAACTTCACTTAAGCATTGGTCCCGACATTTGGGTTTTCGTTTTTTATTTATTCACCCTGTACATGCAAAGCTGCCTTGCTAACTCTCTTCAAAGTGCATGATATTTAAAAATGGATTTCGTTCCAGAAGCACTTTTTTTGTTTGTTCTCAGCACCCCCAATTGCCTAAAGATTTTAATAAATGTGTTTCTGCCTTCTGCTCAGAATACAGCCTTTTTAATATTTTACTCTGTTTTGACCAACCGTGTTGCACAAGTTCTTTATTTAATGTGCAAAACAGCCTTTAAACTGTTCACGTTCCCGCACAGATTGTTTGAATTTTTTTATGTTCATTGGGAGATGGTTTATATATTGAAAGTGATATTGGCCAACATACGTATAATGGATTTGTTTGTCTTGCATCAGTGACATATGTTGATAACACATGAACATTTCACCACGGAAGCAGGGTTTTGCCTAACAAAAACATCTAAGTTGGTTCCCTGAACCCCATTTTACTGTAGGCTTGAAAGGCCGTGCTAGGAACCAGTCTAGCAATCAGAATTAGCTTGTTCCTGCATGCTACAGAAGGCCTTTTCACACTGGAGCCTCTTAACCCTGGTTGAACTCGACCCTGGGCGAACCCAGTGTTGCCCCGGGTTGATTTTTCAATTTTCGAATCCCCCGATCAACCCTGTGTCGTTTCACAATGGTCTCATGCATGCCGAGCTTATTTTGCTCCGTGACTACCATTTTGAACCCTGGCGAGAGTTTCAACCCGGGTTGAAAATCTCAACCCTGGTCTGGAGCAGGGTTGAGTTCAACCCGGGGCAAAATGTATCTCAGGGTTTACACAGGGTTGGCGCAGAGTTGTAAATTTTCTAGTGTGAAATGCTGTGTCAACCCCGAGATTTGTCTACTGTGAAAAGGTCTATAGAGTACCAACGAAATGGGTCTTGCATTGAAAGCTGTGTTTCCCTCCTTCTTTGTGCATGGAATTTACAAATTCATTTCTGCACTTAAAGTAGTGTTTTTTGTGTAAATGCAAATATAACAGTGCATGGGATGGACCAAAACACAGTCAAAATTTTCCTTTAGAAAGCACATTTCTGTCTCAAAAAAGCAGTGATGAAAACTTATGCTTTGCCATTGTTTTTTGTTGCTTCGTTAACAAATCTGTTTTCACTTTTGTCTATTTTCTCTTCTTGCTACCGAAATCATGGCATTCTATATATATATTTTGGCATTCTAATGCTTCCCATAATGCTCCGGACTGGCTTGCTGTTTCCACGGCAACCAGTCTTCAGTGGCCGTTTCCCAGCGTTCAGTGGGCTGTTGTCGCTAGGCTTCTTCATCCATAACGCCATCTCTTCCATCCTCCGAGCTCAGAGTCATCCGGAGCACAACGTAAGACACTCATCACATACCACCGGATCTGCTGGGAACTCACTGCAGAGCTCCGAGATGTGATTTTTCTTTGTCAAATTGAGGAGCAAGGATATGAGGCAGATTTGAATTAAACAACAAATGTCCGAAATTGAAATTCTGATAATTGGAGACCTGCAATGTTGAGCAAGTTCGGGCGAGGATCGTTAGTCAACTAGTAGTTGATTTGTGATGTACATGTAACTAACGTCTGCGCACAAATAGCAACGTGCAAACGCCTACAGTCAAACGATGGTCAAAAGCCTGGATCCCGTTGTGCAGTTTGGCGTGCATATCGGTAACCATTGCACTGTTCCCTTAGCTTGGGAAACCCCACCTCAAATGCTTATCGGGAATTCGACATGTAGAGCTGGGGAAACAACTAGTTTTTTTTTCAGAGGTCGGAAAATGGCGGAGGCCGTGAAAACTGGCCTCAACTAAAATGGTCCTTTCCTCTTATTATCTCAACCCACATGAGATTAAAACTGACCTCATACTATGCAGCAAACATTCACAAAGCAAATGATCAACTTGAAACAGAACTATCCGGTTCGTTAGTGTGACGTCACCTCCAGCACTTTCTGCACGATTGAAACCGGAAGTTAACGCAGCTCGAGCGTTTGTAGCCAATAGGCGCTAGCAATCAATGGTGGGCGCGCGTAAATGACATTCTTACTAACGAGCCAGATACCGACTAAAATATGAAAAAAAAACAAGATGATTTTGGTGGCTTAGAGGCCATTTTTTTACGGCCTTGGCCATTTTCTGACCGCTGGAAAAAACTAGTTGCTCCGCCAGGTCTATATGTCAAATTCCCGATGAGCATTGGGGCTGGGGTTTCCCAGGCTACCATACCCTATGCTCTGGTTCCAAATAGCTGACTAGAGAAGTCCAACCAATCTTTTTATCAAGCAAAGTTAGTCGAAATATGGTTCACTATAATTTGCCCCTAAACTTGCTCTCAGTTGTCCATCCTGGACGTTGTCACAGAATGGTTTCTGTTTTCTGTTGGAAGTTGGAAATTTCAACGATCTCATTTGGGATTCTGTAGGTTGATTTTTGGACACTCACAATCAAATTCAAGTCCTCCATATCTCCTTGTCGATTGTAACTAGGAAACTCACATCTCAGAGTGGCTGAGTGACTACTGCAGAATTTTGGACCATCTTGGGCTGCCTCCCCCAAAAACGAATTTTTTTTTGGCTGCCTGAGCTTCAAACTTTGCACTTCATTGCATCATCCAAAAAACCCCATAGCACATACCAAGCCGCCGCACTAACACCCGTGGTATTGCCATACGTAGACAGTTTCATATTTTGACAAAATCAGCTTTCAAATTTTGTTGTTTCAATTCTGTGTTTTTGGTTTGACCGGCTGACCAGTCTTCAGTCCCACGTTCCCAAAACTCAGCGGCATCCTAGCGCTCGGCTATTTCATACACATGTGCATCTCCTCCATTCTGCGGACGCAGATAAACCCCAAGAACAACGTGAGTTGGCTCAGGAACTTTTCATGGGGGTTTGGATGTCAGAATGAATGGTTTCTCAAACTCGACTTATTAAAAAATGAAGTTAGTCATTTGGAAAGTAGTGAACCCGCCCCCAATGTTGCACGACACTCATACAACATACAACTTATGAAAGTGAAGGATTTTGGGTATTTTAACAATTGTGATGCGATCAAGCTACATCAGTCGTTTGTCGACCCTGGTCAAAATGTTTTTTTTTATTACAGATTTGAAAAGAGCACAATCTCAGCATAACTGCTGTGAAAACCGCATGCTGGTACCATCTTTAGTTAAAAAATTATGGAAGTCGGAACACCAAGAGATGTGATGAACTGATGTCATGACGTGGCCCTATTTTGGCCTGTTTCTCCAAATAAAAATTCCCTACAAACGACTCATTTAGCTTTGATCGCATCACAATTGATTATTTATGCTTTCAGCCTGTGCCTTCAACAGCTGATACGTGGGATTGGCTTTACTTAAAAGAATAGAATGTAGTGTTGTAGTACAGTGTAAAGAAACATGTAGCTGAAGTGGATTTTTGAGGCCTATAAATAGAATTGTTATACCTCTGTCTTGAATACTGAGTTTTCATTGGCCTGGAACGATCACGTGTTAAGTTTATAAAAAGTCATGGCACACTCCCCGTGGGATATCACGTACAAGAGGCAGGAGTGTGCTATGACTTTGTACGCACGGTACGTATACGGTGTGAAACGCTTGTATCGTTGGTACCCATGCTATTTTCACCATGTTTTCACACATGAGTGGGAGCAGGGAGCTAGCTGACAATCAGCTGTTTCGAGCACGCGGCACGCATGTGAGTTGCCGTTTGATGGTCATGATTGTTGTGTTTTTACCGCTATTTGTTTTCGTTATTTTTACATCAAAATCCAAAGAATCCAAGACAGAGGTATAACAAAACAATTGTTGACTGCAGTGATGTGGGATATGATGTTTTAAACCCCTCGGGTGCATAGCACCCTCGGCTTTTTGGCCTTGGGTGCTATGCGCCCCTCGGGTGTTCAAAACGTCATATCCCACATCACAGCAGTCAACAACTGTTAAATGAAATATACCACAAAGTTTTAAAAATCCTTACTTGGATTAAACTAGAATTGGGACATTGTTGCAAGGACCTAAGGGTTCCTTCACGAAAGCACCAAAAAAAAAAAAAAAACCTAGAAATTTTAAATGAAAAAGTTACGATTAATAGAACCAAATTGTAAAAACCTATGGATTGCAAAATCTCAATTCCTCCTGTTACCCTCCTTAAAAAGCACACAAAAATGTTAAACAATGCTCGGTTAAAGCAGCTTTTGTCCAAAACTGCATTAGTTTGAACAGGTTGTCCAAATGTTGACAACTTTTGTGTTGCTTGTATGACAGGGCCGTGACATGACCATTGCGTACGTCCTGGTGGCAGTGACGTACACGTTTGTGGGTGTGATGTTCTACAGCACCTTCCCGCTCAGAAAGGATTGCCTTGCTGATGTGAGTAGTTAATTAAACTGTGTCAAGCATGTCCAACATTCTATCTGCATTACTGGGTACTACTTCTAAGTTTCCATAAATGTTAGGTGTTCTTGCAAAATGCGACAGATCTGGGCACAGGCTGTAGTGAAGACAAAATGTTGACTTATATTTGTAATCTTTGACATGTCTACTACACACATATTAAAGAAAAAAGTATAAACTTAAAATAACAGTCTTTAAAGGAAAAAACAATTAGCGTCTTTCATTTTCTTGACTACAAAACTCAAAACTTTAAAGGCCTTTTTCTCAGTATGTACATTTTTTGTGACGTGGCGATAAATGTGAACTTTAAACAGCCATAACTTGTCAACTGATTGTCCCATTAAAGTACAGCAAACAGTATTGTCAGAAGAATTTTATTCTCTTTCCTAATACCCACAAAAACTTATTTCGACCTTTGCCCATTTCTGTCTCATTTTGCCAGAACGCCTCACAAATCTTTTTGCCCAGAACTTCTGAAATGCATTCTAAATTGCAACAGCCTTGATCACAACCGTACATGCCTGTGGACCAATTTTTTCTCTTTCTCATTTCGTCAGAATCTACTGGATAACTTCTCCCACAGCGATGTACTAGCCTTCACTGCCAGGCTGTTCTTGCTCTTCCAAATGGTGACGCTCTTCCCTCTGCTAGTCTTCATCTTCAGGATCCAGTGTCTGGACCCTCTGTTTAAGAGTGCTTATCCCAGGTTGGAGTATATCCTTTTTTTTCTTTTTGATTGTGGTTGTGTTTAAAATTCCGTAACTTGAAATGTACACGAGTGATTTGAATGATTCTTGTACTAAAAGAAGGCCTATGAATTGGGCTTTCGTATCTTTGATTTTGAAAGGACTGCATGCAGAACTTCACTAAAACAATGGTCCCGACATTTGGGTTTCGCTTTTTTGACTCGCCCTGTTTATCTCTTGTTTCTCCAACATTTCAGCTGGAAGCACGTCCTTGTTCTCAACCTCATACTGATGACCGTTGCAGTACTCTTTGCAGTCTTCCTACCTCAGATTGGGACCATTATCAGGTATGTGAATTCAACAAAAACCGAAGTCATTTGAGTGAAGCTCGAGGCTTCTCTCCTATGGATTGAATTCAGGGATTGTAGATGGGCCAAGAAAGTCTTCCCAAGTCACCAAAATTTGCATAATCAATTTTTAAAGTAATTTGCTTGATGGTACAGAACACATTTAAAAATGGAAACGTGTGAAATATGCTTGGACCAGCGGAACTAAGGCCAAAAAAAATAAGTCTCCGGTTTCTGGTATGGAGCTTGTCCAAAAAGTGGTGCGGCGACGCGGCTTTTTTTTTTTTACCTGACTTTTTTGCTTCAAATGTCGGCTGATGACTGCAAATGGTGCCCGACTAAACTTAGTGCAAATGTATGGGAGTCCAGAGAGGCCACATAAAGCTTATTCTCGATCATAACCCCATCTAAAAACACGTTAAAATTGTGCAGCAGCAGGATTCCAGTCAAATTCCAGGATTCCAGTGAGTTTGGCGGTTTTGAGACATCATCTTTCTTTGAAAAAAAAACTTTTTCATTTTGCCGACGCGCATGGCTACGGTGACGCGCGCGCATACCAGAAACCAGAGACTTTTTTTTTTTGGCCTAACACAAACAATTTTGTGCTGTAACCAGTGTTGTACAGTGTTGTACTGAGTCAATATAATAGCTTAAATTGAGCATTTCGGGATATTTATCTGTGTTTGCTAGGTTTTCGGGAGCCTTCTGTGGCCTAGCCTACATCTTCACTCTACCCTGCGTGGTGTACCTGCTGGAGCTGAGGCAGCAGGGTCGCCTGACGTGGTACATCGTAGCCATCCACGCCTGCATCATTGCCATTGGGCTGGCCAACTTCATCGCACAGTTCTTCCTCCTATGATTGATTGGTATGGTCCGGTTAGGAGTTCATTCACACAGAATCTGATTAATGAGATTCGGCATGGGAAGAGAATAGAATGTACTAGTTCCGATGGGCCAGTTTACACATCTTAAATGCATATCTTGGACGACAGGTACCACGTCACTCCATTACAAAGAGAATGTTAAGAGCATTGGTGGATCTAAAGGGGGGGGGGGGGATGGGTTGGGGAGTGGGTTGGTTGGGGAGGGGGTTGCAATCCTTCATTCAGCCACTGACTAATGTTATAAAACTAGTAAAATGGGGCCCGAAATAATAAATGGAATGCCCAAGTTTTTCTAAATTTATTCTCAAATTGCCTTAGAATGCAGGAAAAAGCATCGTAAATTTTGCAATTTTGTGGGGGGGGGGAGGGTTGGACATGCCCCCGGACCCTCTAACAGGGCATGTCTTTTGGCATGCTTTCACTCAACTTAAGCTAATTTGATTAAACTGGAGACCATTGCTTGGAGAGAAGATGGTGTTTGTGGTGGGGGTGGGGCTGATGAGATCTAAGGGGGGGGGGGGGTGCTTTGCATCAAACTGCAACATCTTTGCTGTTTATAGTGCCCCCTAATACCAAAATGCATTTTTAAATTTGTCTTCTTTAACAAAAATCTTGCTTTTCAAAGAAGTTTTGTAGTGTGTGACTGCTGTAGTCCGTGTAGCGATCTGGGGCACATTTCGTGTAACAAGCACAGTTTAGCGTGCAAACTGCCAAGCGATATTCAGTACTCATGTCTGGTTCCAAGTTTATGTTGCTGCCAAGCCAGAATATATAGGGTCATTCTGTGTTGGGGTTCACTTCTTTTCCTGTCCCTGTTCGATCTTTAATTCCGATGTGGCGCTCCTTAATGCAGTCATCCTCCAAGAGTAATTATGAATAGCAAACTACCTACCCAACATATAAAACATTGTTTGAAGTCATTCTTAATGATACTTGAACAACAAATTACAAATCACCATGGTATAAAGGAACAGAAAAAAATGTCGCACTTTGGACCTTGAATTTAGAGAATGACCAATAAAGCAATGTCTTCTGTGTGGCAGCTCTAAGACATTTTGCCCTGATTAATTGTAACATGATAAATCCAGCTAGTATAGCACAAAATGGTTTCATTTTCAGTAGACAATAATACGGGTTAGGTTGACTTTGTAATATCGCACTTTTTGGTCTTTGTAATGTTCATCTTTTTTGAGACTTGCTTAGTTTAGTTTTTTTCTTTTTCTTTGTAAAACAGGGGAACATGTTTATGTACATGTACAAAAACTTAAACATGTACATGTTTATGATCCGGATTCTTGCCCCCCAAAATAGTAAAAAAAATCTAGAATAAAAGTCCCAAATAAAAATTTTGGACATAAAGCAACTCAGTTTTGGTCAGCAGTAAATATTTAATTTGAGTTCTTAGAGTTTATTGAAAGGGGAAAAATATAGATTTCTATTTTTGATTGATTGTGACATGGTTTCAGGGTCAGTTATCATATGTCAAATGACTGTCGTGTCGGTAGTGGCTTGTATTGAAACAAGTCAAGGCGTAGAATAATCCAGGGTTCATAAAATGGATCTAGGCATTTTATCACATAAATTAAAAGTGTGTGACAGATTTATTTTGATTACAGTGCAATCATTGAAAGGCATTGTTACTTGTTTAACATTAAACTGATAACATTACATGTACCTTGATATTCGTATACAGCATGTCCAGTGATTTTGAAAGGTACGGCTTTCCCTCCTTTGTCATGTTTGTGGTGCAGGGTATATTTACTTCTTCATTGATCATGGTTACTGCCACTTTTTTATTGTTCGTTTTCAAGGACCTTTTTTGAAGATCTTCCCTTTACTTTTTAAATTTATTTAGTCATTCTCTTTTGTTTCTCTGGTTGTGCATAAATGTTGAACTCTCTACATGTACTAATAAACAAGATGTCAGCAAGTAAAAAAAAAAGTAAAAAAAAAAAATTCAGGGTTTGTGGTAAAAAATGTTGCTCGGACTTTGGAGTTTTTTAGTCTGCCTTTTCAAATTATATGTCTTTCCAATATTTTTTCTTCAAATCTTCAAAGTTTCATCCATAGTTTATAAACTTCTTAGCCACTTAGATTTTGCCATATTCTTTTTTCCTTTTTTGGTTTTAAACTTTTTTTTTCCTTTTAAAATATGGATGTCTTGTCTGTTTCGTAAACTTAGAACTGAGGCAAGGTTAAACTCAGGGTTCAATCTATGGCATTTAGGGTAGTTTTTCCTGTATCAGTTGTTTTTGTTGTTTAAAACTGCTAACCTGTGGATCATATTTAATTTTGTGAAACCCCAATTGTGTAATTAATTTTACAAAGGTAATCAAATACACGAAACAATCCGAGTGATACATTTATTGTACTAAGGCCAGCTGGACGTATCTGTTAGTGTCACTAACATTCACAAAAATGAAGTGCGACTGTGAATTGGCATGCTTAGAGTTGGCATATGTACTCAATAGTGTTAATTAATTATATTTAAAAGAATGTAAATTGCATTAAATTGTATATGATCAATAAATAAAATTGTTTATTTTCATGACTCCAATTGGAACTTTGTTATACTTTTTCTGTATTTGTCTTGGGATGAGATTTTTGAAGTAATCACATCATTTGAACTTGAAACTATCATGAATATTTATGAGAAATCAACAAGCATGAAATATTCAAAGAATGTTTTTGCAATTTCCATATCTTTCAGTGTTTCTTGATTATTTGAAGGAATGATAGGGTTCCCTAAAAAAACTAAAAAGAATCACTCAGTCGAGAACTCGCAATATTTTAATATAAAATATCTTTTTAATAATAGCCTGCAGCCATTTTGTAAGGTACATCCTTACTTCTGTACAGAAAATACAAGGGTTGGGTGTAGAATGCTTCCACTAAAATGACAAAAAAAGGATTAAAGCGATCCATCAAAAATGTCTGATTTGTAAATTTAGAAAAATAAGATGTTTTCACCATTGAGGAGGAGGGTGTGGGCTCGAATCTCACCTGTAGAAACTTGTGATTATTTTTTGCAAGCTTGTAGAATTGAATGAGTATACAGTGCTTACAGAATTTCGTAATTAGAGGGCAGAACCAACTAATTTGAGAAATACGTAGTGTCTGAACAAAGACCATGACAAACCGGGGAACTGTCAACATAGGGCTGCATAGCTCAGTTGGTAGAGCATCGGTGAGGTACCGGGTTCAAACCCCGCTCCAAACAATTTCTTTCTTCAACTTTAAAATTATTAGAAAAATAATTTTCAGAACCAGAAAGGCACTGATCTGAAGCTGTGTTGTTTTAATTTTTCTTTTTCAAATTATGACAAACGCTTTCATCACATCTAAGATTTTGTCACGACAAATCTACATGACAGAGTACAAAAACATGCATAAAGAAAAAGGAACGTTAAAAAGATAACTAAAACCACACAGAGTGATATTTGCATTACACAATTTGGGTTGAAAACCAAATGAGCCATTAATAGAGAAACACAATAATACACACAAAAATACTGACTAGTCGCACAATAAGATAAAACGTCAGCTGAATTAAAAAAGAAATGATTTCACAGGATTTTTGAGACTATTATTCATTTGCAAATGCCTCTCAATTGAAACTGGCTCATGAAGTACCCGCATTCTAAAATAATAAAACCTTTGGGCACATTATTACTTGCAAACAGTCAATTTACGTAAAACCTCAGAAATCAAGTGGTCATAAAATAAAGTAGTGCATTGCATTTCTCTGCAAACTTTGCACAGAATTTGAACAATGTGCCAAAGTGAGCCGCTGTACACCAACTTTGACACATTTGTGCATGCATACCTTCATTAAAGATATAGTCCGTCATTTGTAATTTGTGCATTTTGTTCGTTTGAAGCAACATAAGTGTTCAAAATCTAATGAAGGATACTGAACAATTAACCTGATGAAGTTTCAGCTCAGCTTCAGCTGTATATTCCGAGAAAAACAGCATTCTAGGATCTCAATTTCAAATCAAAAGTTGCTGAATCATGTTTTGAATTGTATTGAATTGCAGCTATACGCGATGTCGCGCACTGATCCGACGAATTATAGCAACCGCGCACGCCTGTGCGTCGTGCCAATGCTTGCGCGCGCTGCGCCGAATAACAAAACGAACTACTTATTTAAATTTTCCTACGGTGCGTTTTAAGACGCACTGCTGGAACGGCCTTCTTTCATTGATTACTTCAAAATGATAGCTTGCCAGAAAGATTAATTTCACAGGGAGTTTAGTCCACTTACTATCTTTCAACCAAGTATGTTTTTCAACAATAATACGCCAGTTTAAAACTTTTTCGGATGGCTGCAAATGATGGACTATAGCTTTGAGACCACCACAGGTTAATTATTTGGAAAAAAAAGATGATTTTGTTCAGTTTTGAACTTCAACTGTTACTTTGTACTTGTGAGCCACATTGTCTCAATACAGCTCCTCTTGTCAGGAAATTGTTGAAAATAACCTTCCTTTGTGAATTATGTACAAGTCACTTTTTTTTTTTACATTTGATCTTAAAATTAAATCCAATGCTATATGAATAGTGACCACATAAAATGTCTTTCTTGACAATGATACAAAACGTTTCTGTATTATAATGGGAACGTACATATACATCAACGCAAATACTCATCAACAAATCAAGCATAGACAGGCATGATATTTGACCATTAGACAAAAATTGGGAAAAAAGTTTCCCGCGGACCCCAAAAGTGTAACGTCTACAAGTACAGAATGCTGAAATAATTGGAAATAAAAGGAGAAAAACAAATTATGAAATCCTATTAAAATAGGAAAAGCATCACGCCTGATGTGAAGTTAGCTTTCATTTACATTTCAAGGAAGATATATTAATTTATTTTAGTTTGCACTAACACCCTCGTCTCTCTGTCTTATTTTACAATAAAAATTCAAGATGTGATTATTGTCTCTTAAAAATGACACCGATTTGTTAAAAAAAATTCCACAATTTTTTTTCTTCAGATTTAAAAACCATATTTACAAAAAAAAAAAATAATGGAAGATCAAGATTTTCGATTTGGTTATTGGATCGGGAAGCTTTTGTTAAAAAACATATTAAATTTCTGCCAACTGTTTTGCCACATGGATTTCTTTACTTTCAATATCATTTTCGATATGGTAATAACTTTTTTTTTTTTTTACAATGTACACAAGAATATTTATAATTCCAAGCACTATAACGTTTTATGGAGTCACCAGGGAATAAATGCAATGCAATGCAATGCAATTCATATATGCCAATGGTTTAAAAACCTCTGTATTCACATTTTGATTTGGTTTGATTAATAATTTGATTGGGATTTTTTTTTTTTTTTTACAAACTCCCACTTTATGCTTATTTAGTGGTGACATGTCACCTATCTTCAAAATGGAACAAATAACTTGGGACGGTCTCAAATGTGTGTCGAAGTTGGTCAGAACAAAAAATGGTCTTTGGTTAATACTGTGGAAGCCATTACGATTAAAACCCTCAAAATACCCCCAATTAAAACATTACAAAATAAAAGGTGTGCTTTTGAGTATTCTACAAAACCGGATTAAAAGTTCTCAAATTTGTACACTTATTGCAAATAGGGTATTTACTAGATACAAAATGTAAAATAATCCACTGTAGGACGTAAACGTAAAATACGATAGTTAGCTGAATGATTCCTTGACCTCTACATGAACATCTCCAGGTTATTTGAAATGCAACAAAATATGACAAAATTCCTTTAAAAAATTTAGAAGGCCAGACTATGGACTTTTGTACACAATCATGAGTAGCCAATAGCGCCCTCATGTGTCCATGAACAGCAACGACAAAAAGAACCCCATTGAAGTAGCTATTTTTAAGGAAGCCGTATCACAGTTTTTTTCAAAGGCTATGTACACGTGTAGCTTTGGAATTGACATAATACTGCAAAACCATGAGTTTTTAAACTCATGTAGTGAGTGAAGCGCTTCCGTAGCTCAATAGGATAAATATAAGTGTTTGAGTGATAATGATGCGGGGTTTGAATCTCCATGATAACTTTTTGTTTAGGTTTCCCACAATATATATTTTCTTACTTTTATTGCTTGAAATCAAATCCAACTTTTTCTTGAAGCAGCTCTTACTTTTTTCTGATTCTTGGCTCTGGATGATTTTTTTGTTTTTAAGGGAAGTACAATCCGAATACCATTCCGTTGACAGGTTACGCATGTGCAACAGTCGACTCCTGTAAATATAGCAACAGTGTAAATATATGTGACCTACTGAGGCAAAATGAGGAATGTTTCCCAAAACCTTGTTTTGAGTAATCGACGCCTGAGGTCGAATATACTAAAAAGCGACATTGAATTTTTTTTTTTTGAGTAGCCAAGGTATCCAACATTCATACTATGCATTTTTGTTGGGAAAAAAATACCCACAAAAGTGGAAAAACTAAGGAACGATTTTCACTGCCGTTGGCAGCGCAATGCGTGCCTTTTTTTCAAAGCCGTTTTTTTCGAAACGAGGGTAGCGAAACTTGGCAGGTTACTGTTGAAGTTCCTGCATCATATCTTTGGAATAAGAGCTACAGAAATAAATTTGATATCATTGGAAAGCCAATGATTTGCACTTTAATATGATGTACATAATGTGAAAAGTCAAAGGTGGGGGTTATTCCTCATTATGCTATGGCAGGTCACATATTGCAATGCCAAGGAATGGGCAACATTAAAAAAATTTATTTGCTATACACACATGTGGCAAAGCACGTACATGTAAAAGTTGCCCAGTCTGCCTTTTTTGTTTCAAACATCTGCAAAAGAAAACACATATATTTTGTACAATCTTCGCCAAGTTAGTGACAACTTAAACATGACAGCTGTAGAACAGTGGGCTGCCATGCCCTATCCTTGCATTAGCCGCGTCATCCGATGCATTAGCTTGTCTGGAGTCCAGATGCCTTTTTCGCGGGTCCTTCAGTCGTGGTAGCCCCATCAGCGGGTTCTCAGCGTGCCAGCCCGCAGCCCTCTGATAATGCTCGTCATGGTCTCCACAATATTGTCAAAGCTCGGTCTGTCCCTCGCCCTGTAGACGGAAAATAAAAATGACGTTTGGGTCTTTCAAGAAAATTTGGGTTTGCTGAGATTTGAGATGTTTGTTCTGACAGCTCATATGGGCTCAATGGGTCTAGTGGTTACGGTGTTTGTCTCATGTGCGATGGTACGTGGTTTCGAACCCTACTAGGAACATGGTGCTTGTGTTCTTGGGCAAGACACTTAACTACAATTGCCTCTCTCCACCCAGGGAGTATGAATGGGTACTTGTGAGGGTAGAGGACAGAATCTGCGCTGATATCGTCCGCCGCGTGGTCTCTTGGCCTGATGAACGGGTTAATACTTTAAAGCACTCTGTGGTTGTTGATATGATGGCAAGCGCCATATAAGCATTACAATTTATTATTATTTATTAATGCATAAATTTGGGAACCAGTCCATGGCCTCCACTCGCCCTCTTTGTTCATGTGCAGGGCCATATGCAGTCTTGCAGCTTTGATACAGTCGCATTTCTAGTAATTTCACTACAAATTTCATTTGCATCAGCAGTACAATATATCTTGATGCATTGTTGAATAAATCTAAATTGGCAAACTAGGAGGTGTCCAAATTCTGATCAGGGTCTTAACATAATGGGGTAGGGAAGGGTCGGTGGGATAAGTGCCACTTTTTAAAGTAAGTGGGTTCATAGTGTCTGTATAGGCGACAGTGCTATAGTCAAATTCCGGTCACAAAGGAATAACTTTGTCACAGGTTCATTCGAATAGCATGCGACTTGATTTGGGACTGAATGATACGCAGCTGACTTGCAAGGACTTGCGATGAACTGACTATCAAGCTGATATACGAGTCCAGCCTGTGACTGTGGTGCGTGTGCCCTTGGGCAAGGTACTTTGTTACTCATTGCTTCTCCCCACCCAGGAGTAATTGGGTACCTGTGAGGGCAGAGATGGTTATTGTGGTTGATTTTGGCTTCCTTGTGCCTAACAGGCAGCATCGAGCTGTATACTCCCCAGGGAGCTGAGATGGTATTTGGAATGTTTCATGGGCCCAATAAGCAGCAGGGTAATAATAATGTAGCGCCTTGAGCACCAATAATGGTGGGTACGTGCGCTTTATAAATACCCATTACTATTATTATTATAATGTAACTCCCCATGTGTTGAAACTAAACAGTTTCATCAACCTGTTGTAATGTCAGAGCACATTGTCTACCGGCGTCCAAAACCTTGGTGGCACTACAGAATGGGAGAGGGGTAGAACAAGGACATGGGAGGGGACGATGTGATGGAGATGGGGGGGGGGGGGGGGGGGGGGAGTCAGGGGGAGGGGAGGGGCTAGCTTACTCATCCTCCCAGCATTGCCTCATCAGAGCGTAGGCTTCGTGGGGACACCTGTCAGGCTGGGCTAGCCTGGATCCACTCTCAATGAACGCCATCAACTCTTGTCCCTTCATGTTCTGCACATAGCAAAAAAAAAAAGGTTTCGTTAAAAACAGTTCAGAGAGAATCTTCCTTCATCCTTTAAACTACTCACTCCTGTGAATCCTGTCAAACATACTACTAAGCACCACACAGATTCATGAGCAGAGAACAATTGCAAAACCTGTATCCCTACATCACCGCCACCAACTTCATTATCTGCCTTACTATACTGCACAAGTGCGAAATAATATTCCAAAGGCGGAGATTTCTAGAGATGAGATTTAGATCCAGTGGAAAGCTTATCAGCCCAAATGCAGACTTGCTCAATGCAGGAAACAACAGTCTCCTTTAAATGGTCTCAGCCATAAATCTGCTCCTTAAGCAATATCAAAGTGTGGGAAAATTAAATTTTCATTTTTCCCCCCATTTCCCCCCCCCCCATTTTTTTAAAGAGTTTAATCAATATTTTTGGAGTCTTATCCTAACCCTTGCAATCAAGGCAACTTACCGCATATGGTTTCTTGCCATACGATAACGCCTCCCACAGCGTGACACCGTAACTCCACACGTCACTCTTACTGCTGAATTTAAACCTGTAGATGCACTCTGGAGCGTACCACTTCAGGGGCCACCTGCCAGCAGTCTCCGCCTACAGGACAAACATGAATATTCATTAGATTTAAATAAACACAATCATAATAGATGCACTCTGGAGCGTACCACTTCAGGGGCCACCTGCCAGCAGTCTCCGCCTACAGGACAAACATGAATATTCATTAGATTTAAATAAACACAATCATAATAGATGCACTCTGGAGCGTACCACTTCAGGGGCCACCTGCCAGCAGTCTCCGCCTACAGGACAAACATGAATATTCATTAGAATAAAAAAAAAAACACAATCATAATAGATGCACTCTGGAACGTACCACTTCAGGGGCCACCTGCCAGCAGTGTCGGACTACAGGACAAACATGAATATTCATTAGAATTAAATAAACACGATCATAATAGATGCACTCTGGAGCGTACCACTTCAGGGGCCACCTGCCAGCAGTCTCCACCTACAGGACAAACATGACTATTCATTATATTTAAATATACACTATCACAATAGATGCACTATGGAGCGTACCACTTCAGGGGCCACCTGCCAGCAGTCTCCGCCTACAGGACAAACATGAATATTCATTAGAATTCAATAAACACAATCATAATAGATGCACTCTGGAGTGTACCACTTCAGGGGCCACCTGCCAGCAGTCTCCGCCTACAGGACAAACATGAATATTCATTAGAATTCAATATTCAACATCATACTAGATGCACTCTGGAGCATAAAATGTGCCACTTCAGGGGCCATCTGCCAGCAGTCTCCACCAAAAAACTATTATTTTTTTTAAATTGTACTTAAATGTACACTATCATAATAGATGCACTCTTGAGCATAAAATGTGCCTCTTCAGGGGCCACCTGCAAGCAGTCTCCGCCTACAGGACAAACATGAATATTCATTATAATTCAATATTCAACATCATACTAGATGCACTCTGGAGCATAAAATGTGCCTCTTCAGGGGCAACCTGCAAGCAGTCTCCATCTACAGGAGAAACATGAGTATTTATTATATTTAAATATACACTTTCATAATAGATACATTCTGGAGCATAAAATGTACCACTTCAGGGGCCATCTGCCAGCAGTCTCCACCCACAGGAGAAACATGATTATTCAGTATATTTAAATTTAGGCCTACACTGTCATAAGAGATGAAGCATAAAATGTAAAACTAAAACAGAAAAATAAATTCCGCCAACTCTCCACACTTTTGGCAATGAAATAATCCCTCAATGGCCAACATCAATAGTTGAGTAATAAACTTAAATGCATTAAATCAACGGGTTCTGCCCTTTTGTTGGTACTTTTTTTTTTAAATTACAGATCATAAAATGTACGGTCCGTAAAGTAAATTCATCATGGCCTTCATGAACCTTTTGCATCTGTACTGGCAAATACGGAGTCGGAGAATTGAAAAGTTCACACAAAGGTCACAAGGTACATGAATCCGTATGAAAGCTATCGGCGAAAACACACAGGCAAAGACGTCATCACTTCAAAATTACATCAGCTAAAAACGTCCAGTGGGAAATCAGCTGGTTGGACACAGATATTTCCATCCTAAAAATTAGTACCGCCTGTGAAGCAGGGCCTTACACTATCACGGGGCAAATATGAATTTGCGAGTCCTTCAATAAAAATAAAGATCAATGTTACAGGGTTCAAGGATGCATGTTGCTATCACTAACTGAGCAGACCATGAACATAATCAAAGTAGCAAGGAAAGTGGAAATGGTGATTACCTGTGGAAGGGGGGAGGTGGGTCTGGAAGGGGGGTGGGTTCAGGGGAGTAGGGGAGACTTTGGGGTTTGGTGTGGAGTTCAGTACAACACACGGCCAGGAAAGCCAATTACTTTGCGGGTGTGGTAAGGGGGAAATTAAGGAAATTGATGTGGAAAGGGGGACGGTGGGGGTAGGGGTGGGGGGGGGGTGGGTTGGGGGAGGGGGTTAGAGGGGTTTATGGAGGGAAAGTAACAAATCCTACCAATTTATTCATGCCTTGCCCATGATGGTAAGGAATTTGGCGACCCAACGTGAAATGTTACATTTTAACTGTATTGTACATTCAAGCATGTTTAACCTAACTGTGACAGATTTTCTCAGGAAAACAAAACTTTGTTTTTCTCCTCTCAAACGAGAACTTTGAAAATTTGCCTCTTAAAGAGGTTGTTGATTGCTGGAAGACATACATCATTTAGTTGTAAGTACACGTTGTAAGTACACGTACCTTAAGTCATAAAAATGCAACAATTCTACCATAAACTAATAAAAACCAAAGTCATGCTGATGTTGTGGTGAATGTTTTGACTTTCCTGAGTTGGCCTCAAGGAACCGATGACTGTTGTTTGTTCAGTTTTGTGGGTGTTGGATAAAAATATCCTGGACAAAAATTTACATACTGAAGCGCATTACAAAAAATGGGATTATGTTTTTGTTTTAACTACTTGTCTACTCCAACATTTGAAATAAAAACCATAAAAATATAGTTCAATTATCAATAACCTCTTTCAAGTCTGCTTTATAATCTGAAACTCACCACGTAGTACTGGCTGTCGAGGCCCAGTGCCTTGGACATCCCAAAGTCGCTGATCTTAGCAAACGTCTCGTCCACAAGGAGCACGTTCCTGGCCGCCAGGTCCCGATGGACAAACTTCTGGCTCTCTAGGTACTGCATCCCCTTGGCAACCTGCAACATCAGCTCCAGGACGTTGCGAATGCTCATGTTGCTATGGAAACAACGATAAAAATATGAAGACAAAGATGTCATTCGCATGGCAGGAGATGGATCCAATCCGTAACAAAAGCTTCTAATGACACATGTCAAGAACTGACTTCCCAGTTCCCAAGGTAATTGGCTGTTTTTATCAAAAGTTTGGTTTCAATATGGGTTTACCCTTCATCAACACATTACGCACTGTACACTGTGTGTACATGATCTGATACACTGTGCCCTCTGGAGACATGCACACAAAAGGGAACAAAAGATTGTATACGTCTCCACAGGGCAATTTCTATAGATAAATACGTCTCCACAAGGTTTTCACGAAATAGATATATGGATTTTACTCAAAAACTAGAAATTTCCAAGGTATGTTGATCTGTCGCAAATGGTAGAGTTTTAGAAAAGGGATATTAAGTCCGAATTTCAGCCAAGGACATTAGTTCTGGTTAAAATAAGAGCATTTTGAAACTGTACTTTCAAACTCGAAAACTTTAGTACACAAGAACAAAGAAATGTCTCCACAAGGATACAAATTTCAGTATGAGTGTACTTGGTGATGTTTAAAGGGAATGTACATCATTGGCTTTTGCTGTAATTTTCAAAAATGAAATATTTGAGGTGTTACTATAATAGATCAAATATTGTTACACGGACATGTTTGAAGTTTTGTGTTCGAAACTGCTGGAAAAGCCAAGAAAAACAAAAATGTTCAAGTAGTCTGGTTCCCTGACTCCACTAAAGATGAAATGGATCAATTTCTAGATGCCGGAAAATTGTAACGTAAGGGAACCAGTCTAGCTGGCATGCACCCGTTCATGAACATGGATAACCAATAGCAAACAAAATGTTGACTAAAACAAATGGTAAATTTGGAGCAGTAGTTGAAAAATAGTTAGGTTTTTCCAACGGTGGTCGGCCGACCACCGTTGGAAATTTATACAAAAATACCATTTTCTTGAAAATGACTTCACACCAAGTGCCATAATTTTACAGGATGCTTTAGACTGTCATTAACCAACATCCTAGTAAGGTATTTTGTAAAAACTTGGTAGTTTTATTTGTTGATGTTTGCAAATGTTGTATATTCCCTTTAAGGGCTTATTTGAAAAATTCACGAGTTGACTCAAGTGGGACTTGAACCTACAACCTTCAGTTTACAAAACTGTGAAGAATTCATTTGCCAACTTCATTTGATGCAAAATAATTTAAGGCTGATTAGCTGAGGATATTTTTTAATATGCCAAACTTTGGAAAACAACCAACTCTGAATATTGTTGCTAGAATTCTCACTCTTTTTATGCCAATTATAAAACTGGAAACAAATGTAAATGTTTTTTTCCTTACATGTCGAGTGTATACTGTAAGTCCAGTTTAAAAGAATAGATTGTTGGCTCGATGGAATCATTTTACACTTGTGGCTTTTTGAGAAACACTCTGCAAGGATCATCACATCAGGCTTTTGTACAAGGATATTTTTGGTAGCAGTGCAAACTGGTTGACTTACGTGTGCCTCTTGAGGTACTTGTGGAGTGGGCCCAGCTCGGCCAGCTCAAGAACTAACATCATCTCAAAACCCTCACAGATACCTGAATAATACATGGGGTGAAGAAAATTGGGTATCACTGACAAGATTCTGTTCAGCATATGTACGCATCCCAAACACATTTCAGACTTGCATTCCAGAGTTGCACCGAAACCAAAATAGTCAAAAATAGTTGAAGTGCATGGAAAGTTCTGTGTATGAAACAGCTACAATGTAAGAGTGGCTACAGGGTAAGTAAAAAGAAAAGGAAACCCAAATGTTGTCGCCAATTTTTTTTAGCGAAGTTCTGCGTGTAGCGCTTTCCGGATCTAGGATGTGAAAGCCCAATTAATAACCTTTTTTTGGTAAAAGAATTGTTCCAATCTCTCATGTACTTTTCCAGTTACAGAATTTTGAAATCAAACACTGTTTTAAACTTTTGTCCAAGAATCACATTTAAGTTACGTGATATTGAAGTAAAAATGAAACCATGTGTCATCACGAAAACGATATCAAAATAATCCCATAGGTCTCCGGGGTAGCCATGTAGAAGGCAGAAAATAGTCGAAAACTGTAAACTCTTGACATTATAAAGCATCTTGTTGTAACATTGGAAGCAGGTGTTTAAATGAAGGTTATGATAAGAGCCAGTTATCATGGTTATCAGGTTATGTGGGTGTTCTGATGTAATTTTGTTTTATGTGAATTGTCTTCATTTTGCTGAAATATCACTTATCTTTATTGTGATCCGTGGACAAAATTATAAAAATTTTTGAGGGTCTGTGATCTTACCTATCATCCTGACGATGTGCTGGTGGTCCAGATCAGCCATGATTTCTGCCTCCTTGACAATCTCAGGCTGAAAAGAACAATAAAAAAAAAGGGTCTTATCAATAAGATCACAATTTTTCTATGGGAATGTTTGCTGAAGAATAGAATGAATTTTGATCGATATAAAACTTCATGAATCAAAGTGCTTGAGGACAAAACAACTTTTCAAGGACTACTGTATAGGGCTCGTTCAATGACGACCATTTCTGTAGGAGAAGTGCAACTGCATATTTTACGCAATCAAGCACGCATTGCGCAGTGTTGAAAATGTTCCAAACACGCACGTTTGATGCTCGAAACGTGTTCGAAACACGACGCAGCTGATGCGCGTTTTGCAAGTTCACGCTCAAAATGCCGATGCACGTGGATGGTCTGTAGGAAATGACGTCATTTGAACAAGACCTATTGTCCAGCACTTATGGAATGAAAGCTGTAATAGTCCACAATGTTTTGTTTATAAATGCAAATGCAATTGTTCTAATCAAGAATATCCCATTTCTATGCCGTTCTGGCATTAATTACACAACGTAGCTCCATACTTTCTTTCATTTTCCATCATAGTCTTGCAGTCCAAAAGGTCAACAGTTTATCGCAAAGGGAAATTCCCGGAAAAGGTTCGGAATTGTGCCAGGTTGCTTTAGGAATAAATACAAAAAGGGCCTAAAAATTGTCTGCAAACTATGGTGACCCAATTTCATATTCAACATATACTTCCACTTTCGCTTCAATTGAACGTATAATGTGGGACAACTTTTTCAACTTGTTTTATTTGCATCACAGGAAAGCTTATTCTTCACGTAAGATTTTAATCATACCAAGCACTCAATTTTGACTTTTTTTTCCTGTTTACAAATAGTGTCTATTAGGCTACAGTCAGTCTCACCTCATCACTGATCCTCAGAATTGACAAATAATTCTGGCAAAAAAAACCAGGCTAGATTGTCTCTATATGAATGAGGGGTATCGGCATATGTACCTTTGAGTTGGGGATTCCATTTTCTGTTTTTAACGTCTTGATAGCCACGGGGATGTGCGTTCCGTGCATGTTGTAGCTGCCTTTTAGGACGGAGCCAAAGTTTCCTTTACCTGCAAAACATTAACCGTTACCACAAAATAAGTCAACAAGTTTCGGCGGGACTAAAACTCTGAAATACTTTCTAGTAAGATAACTTTAATGAGTTCACAGCACTTTTTAGCTGTTGGTAGCAGCTTCAACTCATCAAGTTTTCCATGGCCGAGTGGTTAAGAGCACCGATCTCAAGCTCTGGTATTTCTGACCAGCAGAGTGTGGGTTCGAGTCCCGGTCTTGACACTTAAGTCCTTAAGCAAGACACTTAACCATTATTGCTTCGTCTTTCGGATGGGATGTAAAGCCGTCGGTCCTGTGTGTTGTAAAAGGAACATAAAAGAACCCAGTATAAACACTAATCGCTAAGGGAAGGGGTTCGCCCTGGTGATTTTAGCGGTGCGTTTATCCTCATAATATATGAGGCTGCACTTTCAAGGAAGGAAGGAAGGAAGGAATGTCTGGCCACATGAATTTTTGACCTTTATTTACGGAAGACTTACCGATGGGTTCTCCGCAGTACAGATACTTGACTTCCAGTATCTTGGTGTTTCTCATCTTAGCCACTCGGCCGTAGATCATCTCTCTATCGTTAGGGATGCCGTAGGTCTTGTCATCCACGATGGGCGGCTCTTGGCTGGATGCTCTCTGAGGAGATGGCTCATCTGCTAAGATAAAAAATAAAAAATAAGGATAATTTTTTTTTAAAGATTAAGGAAAAACATTGCATTAATTTAAAGAGAGCCAGGTTTTTTAAGCCATCTTTCCGAAATACAATGACTGCTTTTAATGAATTCGGTTTGCTAGTAACGACATTCATGCTTAAAACAAATTAAGCATTTTAGCTCAATTAGACACAAAGCATTTGGCAATCATGGTTTTCGCTATTCGACTCTTCTGTCTGTGAATGAGTGCATTTTCCTATGGAATAAAAAAAATTATTCGTTACTCAGCGCCTAAAATTTGATATTTTGCAGAAACACTAAATCCAATTTTCATGAATTTTTGATTTTGAAGATTTTTTTTTAAGTTGTGGCCCCATGTGTCAAGGAATCTCTTTTGTGAGTTGGTGTGGTTCTAAAAAGTAAAACTCATTGTTCAGCATCCTCAGCCCATCATTAGGAGACTGATTACTGGCAAAGCAAGGTTACACTACTTAAAGGGAAAATACAACATTTGCAAACATCAAAAAATAAAACTACCAAATCATTTTGAAATACCTTGCTGGACTGTTAGTGAATGACAGTGTAAAGCATCCTGTAAAATCATGGCACCTGGTATACTGTCATTTTCAAGAAAAGTGGTATTTTTGTATCAATTTCCAACGCTGCTCGGCCGACCAGCGTTGGAAACAACTGGCTTTTTTTCCAAATACTGGCCCCAATTGACCATCGCACTTGTTTGCAATCGATTACACACCTATGAACGGGTACAAGCCAGCTAGACTGGTTCCCTGACCTTACAATTCCCCAATGTATGTAAACTGCTGTTTCTTCTTATATGGAGTCAGGGAACCAGACTACAGGAAAATGATTGTTTTTCTTGGTTTTTATAGCATTTTCGAACCCAAAACCTAAAAAAAGTCAGTGTAACTATATTTGCTATATATTTCCAACCCCCAATTCCATCCATTTCTGAAAATTACAGCAAAAGCAAATGATGTATATTCCCTTTAAGGTCAATACAATTTTGATTGAAAAAAAATGAGGTCTACAGAGAGACTTTTGTTTTTGGTTACCATGGTGATCTGGCTCCTCCCACTTGCCGTTGACAATCTGTTCAATCATGGGTCGTTGGCGTGGTGGGTGGGGCTGGGGTACGAGCGGGTGGGAGACATGGTAAGGGGCGGGGTGATGCATAGGGTGAGGGGGAGGCATGAACGGCCCCAGGGTGGCCTCATCAGCTGACTGGGTGTTGACCTGCAAACAAAGCACCAGCAAATATATTGATTTCAAAACTTGTTGACCTTATTATGCTATTAAAGTTAAACAATTTGGGCTAAAACTTGGAATGAGTTATGCTACAGACATCACAGCAAGTGTTCGTGCTTTGAATCCACACAAGTTGAATACAGGTAACGCGGGCAAATTGTACCACCAATATTTTATAGCATCAAATTCTTTCAAACACGTTTTATTCTGGGGCCAATTTCATAGAGCTGCTTAAGCACAAAATTTGCTTCAGCACAAAAACGTCTTGCTTAATAAAATCAGGTTACCGGCCAAAACTCCATGCGATTGTTATGCTAAGTAAACAACAGCTAAATACCAGTCACAAGCAATGTACATCACATGGAGTTTTGGCCGGTAACCTAATTTTACTAAGCAATGTTTTTTCGTGCTTAAGCAAATTTTCTGCTTAAGCAGCTCTATGAAATTGGGCCCAGCTGGCCTTAATGCAGACAAAGCTTCCGTTTAAGGTCAGTACGTCTACTGAAAATTACCCCCCCCAAAAAAAATAGACCTATACAACTTGGGAACAAAACTATTTTTAAGCTACAAACCCACTTACAGGATAAAAATAAACTTGTTGGAATTGCCTGGATTGGTACATTGATCTTACCCTTCTGGGCTGCGGTGGGGCCGGTGGGGTTCGGACGGGCATAGGCTCATCTTCAGCTGACTGGGCTCGTCTGTACCCTGGCGATGGTGTAGCTGCGGGCCCCGCTGTCAAACCAAAATCAAAACCAAAATAACTTTCCTTCGAGAGAATTACGTTCCTAGGACGGCTGATTTTCTGTTTAGCTGCGGGATAACAGCTCAACCCGTGTCTCTCCATTAGTCCGTTAGTTGTTTAGTTAGTCAGTAACAAACGTTGACATTGTCTATTGCTCCTACATATTCTGACCGATTTCAACCAAACTTTGTCAAAAGTATCAGTAGCCCAGCCCCAACATGTCACATGACCAAACTGGGGTCAAAGGTCATCATGGGGTCACTGGGTCAAAAACCTGATTTTTTTTAACACGAATCCCTTGGCCCGCAGCTTCTGAGATTGTTTCTTCATCAACGTAATTTCTGTAAGCACTCTATCCTCACTGCTCTCTGGTACGTTTTCAAAGAAAAACAAAAGCTTGCTCGGGTGGGACGTTGACCCCTGACCTCCAACTCCCAAGTGCAGATGACTGTACCGCCCCCTGAAGTCTGCATTTGGGTAGCAATGTGAACTGATGTGACTGTAACAGAAGGGGTGCAGGATCATGCAACTCACCGGAATGCCTTCTTTTCTGTGGGTCGATACAGGGCACCATCAAGCAGCACAGCAGACCGTCTTTCTTCAGTGTGTAGTGATCGACCATCTACAAAACAACCACAGATTATCCTGTCATTAAATAATCTTTTGTAATCAAAATACACTTTTTAGGTACGCGTAAAAAGAAGCCAAAATTCTTTGCCCAACGCATGAAATAATAACGGAGTCTTAAATAGCGCACGTATCTACCAACAATTAGGTACTCAAGGCGCTGGAGATATGTCTATTATTAAAGACAGGTAAATAAAGTATATGAGAAATATGAGACCCATTATGTAGCACCTTATAAGGGTTGACAAGGTGCTGAGGCGCATATTGCACAGAAACACCGGGGCAAACCTCTTCTCCTTAGCGATAAGTGTTACTGGGTTCTTTAACGTGCATTACACAACACACGGGACCTACGGCTTTACGTCCCATCTGAAGGACGAAGCAATAATGGTAAAGTGCCTTGCTTAAGAGCACGAGCACCATGTTCCCACGGTCAGGATACCCTTACCGTAAGCAGTAAACACGGATTTATTTTGCTAAAGGTTAGCAGAGCCATAAAAATTGGGCCCAAGTGTCCAATGAGAGTCAAAATGGATAGATTTCAGAGGTCCTAAACCAAAACATTTTTTTAGTTTTTCTACAAAACTTTTGAACAATTTAATGCAAAACTTGTGTACGCTACAAAATACACGTAACACAAGCCAGTAGCAATGCATTAACAAATTTAAAACAACATATTCAAATGTATATCGGGCATTTACATAGTGAATTAACTTTCCTAAAAAGAAATAGTTGTAAACTCCCACCTGGTTTAAAGAAAAAGACCAACCTAAACAAACACTCTTTGAAGTGTCAAGAACCCTGTATTCCCGTCTGTGCTTTTACCTGTAAGAGGCTGTCAAATTTGGGCCCATCTTTGATAGAGAGCATCCCCGTGCAATCCTTGTCAATCTTGTAGTGGTAGACAGAGCTGTTGTAGCACAGTGACAGGGCAAAGCTGCCTGGCTCGCTTCTCTCTCTAGCCCTGCTCAAAATAAGACGGAGAAAAAAAAACATAAATAAAGGAAGGAAAATCCAAATGAAGGACATATTTGTTGTACAATTCATTTGGTTCTTGGTTGGTTCACCTCCTAAATACTCCGCGTGGGAGTTTATACAGGAGACCAGGAACACTGGGGCAAACCCTTCTCTTAGCGATAAGTGTTACTGTGTTCTTTTACGTGCATTGGATTACACATTTCACACACGGGACCAACGGCTTTACGTCCCATCCGAAAGGACGAAGCAATAATGGTTAAGTGCGTTGCTTAAGGGCACAAGTGTCCACCCGGCGGGCTAGAACCCACGCCACTGTTGCTTCTGAAACACCAGAGCATGAGTCCGCTGTTCTTAACCGCTAGGCCATGCCACTCCACATTTACAAGCAAACAAATATGTGAGGGATTCTGGCAAAATGAGACACAACTCGGCAGAGGTCAAAATCAGAGTTTGTGGGCATTAGGAAAGAGAATAAAACTCTCCATGTAATGCTGTTTGTTGCACTGTAATCGGACAATCCATTAACAAGCTATTAACAAGTTTGCATTTACACGTATCAACAAGTCAAAAACTAAATTACTGGAAAAAAAAAGCCTTTAGCATTTCATCTGTTTTGTAGTGTTGAATATGAAAGATGACTAATGTTTTCCTTAAAAACACTTTTGTTTCACACTTGTTATAGTACATGTATTTCAATAAAATATACATGTCAAGCAAAATATACATTGTGGCTGTATCAAGCTACTCAAACAATCCAAGCCAGTCAATCCTGCTTTATGTCGGCTGGGAATTCTGAACTGTTGAAAACAGTCACTTGTTTGATTTGATTGAAAGGACTACTTGGCATAGAATGTCCGGCGTACGACAGGAGGGTCAATTCTCAATAAAGAATCATTAGGCCAAAAAAAAAGTCTCCAGTTTCTGGTATGCGCGCGCATCACCGTAGCCATGCGCGTCGGCAAAATGAAGAAGTTAATTTTTTCAATGCAAGATGATGTTTCAAAACCGCCAAACTCACTGGTTTGACTGGAATCCTGCTGCTGCACAATGTTAATGTGTTTTTAGATGAGGTTACGAACGAGTATAAGCTTTATGTGGCTTCTCTGGGCTCCCATATATTTTGCACTAAATTTAGTCGGGCACCATTTGCAGTCATCAGCCGACATTTGAGGGAAAAAAAGTTTTAAAAAAAAAGCCGTGTCACTGCACCACTTTTAGGGCAAGCTCCATACCAGAAACCGGAGACTTATTTTGTTGGCCTTAATGATAGTTGCATGTATGCAATTTTTTTGCTGACTTTTTTTTTTTTGGGGGGGGGGGGATGATAACACGCTCAGATGAAAACTGTGTCGCAACGGTGTACTGCTACATGTAATTGATGTAATGCGGGGGTCGTATGACCCTTGCGGTCAAACTCAGGATAAATAGGGAAATGCTTATTTCCTGGAAACAAGTCAGGGTTATCAGTCTATCAAGGGAAGCTTTACTATCCTGTACAGTACTAGTGTGCATGTACTGTACAATGGACAATGGACAAGTACGTAGTTCAAGAAACTTTATCGTTCCAAAGGGCATAACTATGTACACTGTAAACTGTATTAACGTATTCCTGATTATTTCAATTTGTTTCTAATGCGTTTACATAAGCCCCTTTCACACTTTGGACAGCGTATATTTATACCTGTAAAGGTACCATAAAGCCCGATTCATACTTCACGCGAAAGCATGTGCGAAGCAAAATTCATGTCGTCAACAATGGTGGACGCGCTTCGAATGTATTGTTGACGTCATGAATTTCGCTTCGCTTTCGCTTTCGCTTTCGCGTGAAGTATGGGAGACATGCAGCCCCCCTTTAGAGGCAAAATTTCACCGTCACAATTAGATTATATTTGTTGCTTGTGGTCTAATTAGAAAACTACCGAAATTCGTGGAAAAAGGACAAGAGAATATTGGGTTAGGGCACATTTAAGTTTGAAAATTTTTGTGCACAAGTCTATGGGGATGTCTCCCAAATGTCCAATCCAGGGTAATTATTATTCCCCTATCATAAAGATGGTCATATACATGTAAATGATGTTATACCAAGAAGCACTAATGTGGTGGCTCAAGCACCAGCACTGACGGATGTGTTTTAATAAATACATGTCAGTACATGAACTGGTATATTGGACCATCAATTTTTTAAAAATTATACATGTACACGTATGAGTTTGTCTTACAGTCACTATGTGGACTTGTGAACAAAAGATGTCCACATAATGCAGGTTGTGTTGACGTTATATGGACTAAGCCGTGTCCACATAACGTTTCGCCCTCTCTGGAAAACAGGTTTAGAGGCATTTGGGGTTAGGTTTATCTGTGGCAAAATGAAGAGAAATACTAAAGGGAATCATAGAAAAAAAAATTTGGTTGATAGATTTTTCACAGTTCGAGAAAAATGATTTTTTTTAACTGGTTTTTCTTAACTACACAAAAACAAAGGAATGTCCACACAAGGTATGTAAAACAAACATGCTTGGGTGTACGTGTGCATGTTCCTGTAGTCTGTGACAAACATGACCTTACATGTAGGCTGTGATACCTATAATTGTATTACATGTACATACAAATAATAACAGGCTTCAAAACTAGAAACAGAAACATGGTTATGCACCGGTAATGCAATATGTCATGTCACAGTAATCAATAATTGAAGTGCCTGAGGTTTTCACTGCATGTTCTGTGATTACTTGTTTGCTTAGAAGACTTTATTACATACATGTACATGGTACAGCAGGGTACAGACATCAGTGTCTGTGCATGATGTAACCCTCTAGCAATAAAGATGTAAAATTGGAGACCCAACCTACAGACTGAGACCTGTCTCCATACATGTACATGTACGTCAAATGAGAACAGGCTACATATATGTTCCCTTGGTTCTTACATGTAGATTTCATTCATTGCTTCATCCCATGACAAATCGTTTGGCCTACAATGTACATGTACATGTCGCTGCCAAAATGTGGAACACCCCGACCTGTGATGTGCAGAGATTGTAGATATATTGTGGGGAGAGCAGTTTTAAAGAGGTTGTGGAATGCTCGAAGACATTACCGTCATTTTTCGGGTATATGTAGCCTAAGGCTAAAAAAAAAAAAATGTCGGTCTCTGGACAGCGCGCGTCGATTTTAATCATGCGCATCAATCTTTTTTTTTTCCAAAATGTTCCGCGGTAGCTCCAACAGCGCCCTCTATTGCCGCACCTCCTCAAATTTTTTTAACAAAGAGCACCAAGGAATGGGAAATTGCACCAAGGCAAATGATTGAGAGCACCAAGGCAAATTATGGAGGCCACCAATGTACATGAGGACACCAAAAAAAGCAAAATAGTACCCCACTTTGTCTGTATAATCCAAGCTTGAAGAAAAAAAAGAAGGCGCGTCCCCGCGTCAATTTCGGAACTTTGGTCTGACCAGAGACCGAATTTTTTTTTTTTTTTGGCCCAAGGTGTGATGAAATAAAAACGACTATTGTGTCTGTCATGAAATGAGTACAAAAGGTACTTTTGAGAGCTGTTTAGTTTAGGTCCTGTTTCGACCCGAACGTGCAATTTGTGTAAAAGTCGTAGTTGGGGGCAGCAAACAAAACGTAGTAAATCGTGACGTAAAAAACAGGACTCCCGATGCAGCGTAGTATAAACGAGTCCTGTTTATTACGTCGTCACAATTTTTCTCATTTTACGAAGAACCCGACGACTGTTGATTTCAATTATGCGCTCGCCGACCAACAAATTACTCGATGAATTTCAGTTTTATAAACATATACATGTAAACGCACATTACAAAAGAATGGGACTTTGTCATTTTGATATATATGGGTCTAACTCTACAATAAAAAAAATATAAAAAAACAAAACGACTTTCAGCATTCCACAACTTCTTTAAACATCTGGTTTAAAACCAGTAAGGGGTCTGTTTGCCGCTAATGACCCAAGCTGAAGGGGAGGGCCATTATTGGTGACCTGGCCCCTAACCGGTTTTAAACAAGACGTTTAACACCCATGCCAAAGACTTCAGAAACATCCAAAAAATTGACAAAATTCTGACAATGTTTTGTTCATGAAATTTACTCTGTGTTCAGGCCGCTTCTATTGAACCTGGTTTGCTTAACATCATTTTCCTTATACTGGAGATCGCTACATCAGTGATTTTGAAGCAGCTGGCAGTATGTGTAGCTGATACGCATAGCGCGTACTTCGGGCATGTGGCGTGGAGCGCAGTTTTAAACACCTGTCTTAAACATCACTGGCCGATGTTTAAACAGCGGTTTTACACAACTTACATGTACGTGACAGGCTCTCGACTAATAAGAATGGGTAAACTGTCTCAGGCATTTAAGAATTTCAGAGGTCAAAGGGCAACACCTCTCTGGCTATGCTCTATAGACCCCTCTCATAGACGGCCATCTTCATAGGAAAATTACAACTGCATATTCAACGCATCAGGTACGTGTGCGTGCAGTGTGTGAATTGTTCTAAAGGCGCGCATGCTGCTCGAAATTTCTTCGAAATACGGCGCAGCACAGCTGAAGTGGGTCACGAAAATGCCGATGCACACGACAATCTGTAGGCAGTGACGTCATTTGAGAGAGACCCACTACTCTCAAGCGGAGAGTTTGAACATTACTCACAGGAATTTGCCTTCTTGTAGTCCTGACGTGACGATGCGTTGCTCGGCTTCTGTCCTGGTCAGCTGACCATGGAACCACGGCCTCTCCTGGTGGAGTATGCTCTTGACCAGTCTGTCAAACTGGGAGCGATTAGAAGCTATGGCTTTCTGAATAGTGTCTCTCTGTCATAAGGAATAACCAAAGGGGGAAAAAAAGAGATGAACATTCGCTTTTTAATTGTTTCAATAATTTGTTTAGCTTACATTTTGTAACTCTCCTGTAGTTAGACCATTCAAAACACCTCAAAATCTGGGTGCTGGCAAATTGGAGGAAAAAAATGCTGGACCTTTTAAAATCCTCCAGAATTCATTGTTACTGCACTACCACACCTTTCAATTCCTTTCGAAAGGTATTGAAATGCAACTTACTGAATTTGCCCACAGAGTTGCTTCACCTTTCGAAACCTTTCGAAAAGTCCCAAAGTTCCAGCACTATTTCACCTTTCAAAACCCTTTTAGTCAGGCAAATTTAAAATGTTTTGAATGGTCTGATAATTCTCTTTGCCAACTGCACTGGGCATAGCAGGGTTAAGAACATATCTTTGGCACTGTTCCACACGTAGCAATCACAAGGCACTGCCACTGTGAAAAACAATACTTTCAAACAAAATAAATGTAACACTTAAAAAATAGTCCATTTTCATGCCAATTAGCATCCATTTTCTTGCCAAGCACCAAATTTACATACACTAGTGTTTTGACGAGTTGGACTAGTGCGTACTATTGGTTAGAGAAATCAGAGATCTCTAAATCTTGTTATCCTATTTATCTCAAACTGAATAACAGTTATCCGATTTCACCGGAATTTCCCATTCAGCTCACAGTTATGCCAACAAAAAGTGACGAGTAAGGTGCTGCATGCAATGCCCTCCAAAATGACTGGGTACAGTTCTTGGGTTTCAATGACCAATGGGCCTTTACAAAAACACCCCAGACTTGATTTGATGAAAATTGGATGGGTATTCTCTGATCAGTCACATGGGCAGGCAATTCATACACCAAGAAGACCACTAGCGAGTGAATGCAGCACCAGAGACCCCAGAGCAAATTGGGGCATGTTCCAGTTTTTTTTTTAAGCTTGATGTCACCAAAAAAGAAAGATTTATTTTTAATTTATTTTTTTAAGGTTGGTTTCAAATATTTCCCAAATCAAAACAGAAAAGTGAATTTTAAACCCAATTTCAAAACTAGAACATTGTCATTCCACCATTAGTGCTTCATAGATCTACAAATGTGAAAGGGTGTCGACAGGCATGTTTGACTCCAACCCACTGCTTTTGTACATGTAGGTCATCGTGGCAGTTAAGCAATTAAGGTATGCCAATAGATTTATAGTAACAATAAGCAAATGTATTGGACATGTGGAAAGTGAGACCAATGATACATGCATGTGTACAGTGTATACAGTTTGATCCAAACATGTTCCAAGTTGTTCAGCTTGTTTTGAGTCATTCACATGAACATGACTCACAGCAATCTACTTGAGGATGAAATGTCAGCGCGTTGATACATGTATGTGTGCATGCAAAAAATGTCACCATGTTGGACATTCTCAGTTACAAATTTGATTTTTCTACTAAGTAACATACATGTACAGTATGTACATGTATGTAGCATCTATATTTTTTCAACAGACACAATTTCTGATGTAATTGTTTAATTCTTCCTCAAATTTGAACATACGGCATGCAATCACCTGTATGGTGTTATTCAGCATATGAACAGATTGTACATGTAAAAATTGTAAAATACATGTAGGACCAAGGTACATGTATGTACCTGTAGATCACATTTTTAAGTCTGGTTAACATTTTCCTGATTCATTTTCAAACAGCAAGCTTAGTTACGTATGTATGTATTGAGTGGGAAGATGTCTAATATTCTTACAGTAAACAAACGGTGAAGTTTCATACTTTTGCTAATTAGTAAGGGGGCAGAATATGATGATTTTTTTTTTTTAAAGATGACCTACCGAGAGTCCTTGGTTCTGTGCCACAAGGGCAATCTCATCTTCCATCTCTTCATGTGAGGTCCCCATAAGCTCTAGGCTTCTGTTACTTTGTTACTTAGCAGAGGTCCAAATCAAATATTAAATACAATCAAGATAACCTACCGAGAGTCCTTGGTTCTGTGCCACAAGGGCAATCTCATCTTCCATCTCTTCATGTGAGGTCCCCATAAGCTCTAGGCTTCTGTTAATGTTACTTAGCAGAGGTCCAAATCAAATATTAAATACAATCAAGATAACCTACCGAGAGTCCTTGGTTCTGTGCCACAAGCGCAATCTCATCTTCCATCTCTTCATGAGAGAGGTCCCCGTACGCTCTAGACTTCTGATACTTTGTTACTTAGCAGAGGTCCAAATCAAATATTAAATACAATCAAGATAACCTACCGAGAGTCCTTGGTTCTGTGCCACAAGTGCAATCTCATCTTCCATCTCTTCATGAGAGAGGTCCCCGTACGCTCTAGACTTCTGATACTTTGTTACTTAGCAGAGGTCCAAATCAAATATTAAATACAATCAAGATAACCTACCGAGAGTCCTTGGTTCTGTGCCACAAGTGCAATCTCATCTTCCATCTCTTCATGAGAGAGGTCCCCGTACGCTCTAGGCTTCTGTCCATCGGTCAGGCAGCAGGGCCGCTCCAGCAGGCACAGCAGGCCGTCCAGTTTCTTCTCATGATGCTGGACCAGCTCCACGGGTCCGGCAAACTTGTTGCCGTCTTTGATGGCCACGCCGCCGTCGTGCTGCCGCTCGATGGCGTAGTGGTAGATGTTCCCGTCGAAGCAGAGCGAGATGGCGTAGTGGCCCTCCTTGCCTAGACTGTCCCGCAGGAGGTAGTCGCCCTGCATGCAGCCGCTATTGCGCAGCCTGGTCTCCGCCTCTTCTCTGGTAATCCGGCCGTGGTAGTAGCGCACCGTGATGGGGTCCTGGGGGTTGCTCTCCCCGAACCTCTTGGAGGCTCCATGAGCTCCGTTCATCATGGTCAAAAATGTTTCTCTTTAACTCACAGTCCTGAACTTAAAAACTCACAAAAAATACCCCGACATGTAGAGGTCTTTAAGTACCAGCAAGCGTTCTCAATCCACATACATCAAAATCACAATTGTTTTTCCAAACTTACTCTTCACTTATATTCCAGTACTTTCAACTACGGTGCCATGGTTTTTTTTATCATCAGAAACTCTCAGCATCCATATCAGTATGAAACTGCATCCCTTCAGTTAACCTAGCGCGTCTCTCCGCTGACAGTTTTTTTTTCTCCAGCAGGACTTCTCTTTTTTAAGCCCTTCTTTCCGAATCCTGTTTACGGGAGTCCCTGACCCAGTTGATAATGAGAATTAATTGAAATTGTCGGGAGGTACCAGAAGAAGGACTTCTCAAAATGGTGACCTGCTTCCCAACCGAGTAGGACGTGGACTTAAACCATCCAATCATGGGGCGGTCCGGAGTTGCCTCTCAAAGCAAGACTTCTACTTCCATCCTACTGCGCACCGGACAAACGGCGGTTCCGTCGCTGCTAATAAGAGGCATCCACTGTCAAGAGTTCACGTCCAACGCACGGGGATGGTAGGGGTTGACTGGCAAATATACCAGCTTGTAGTTGTTGTTCCTCGGCCAACTGATGCGAGAAAACTCGGCAGTTATGCTCTCCTCCCCGGCTGTTGAGATAATTGCTCTCTTCGGTGTGTCTATGCTGGTTTCTTCAGTGTCTGTTCAAGAAAAAAGGAGAAGCCACTTAGGCTAATTAAATCATTTATGGTTATTGAATTTTGTCAGGGACCAAGACACTCATTCAGGTACATGTACATGTAACAGTATTATTATAAAGTAGTAACAACCGTTCCATTCAACTGAACATTTTCTGTTGCATTTTTTCCATCAAAGCAATGCATGGACAGTATGCATGGTAGAATTAAGTGCTCAATTTTGATGAAGGCATGAAATGCCAAAACCAAAGCCCATGAGTTGGTTTGACCATGGAGCTACCGGTATAAACACTGTGTTTATAGCTCCATGGTTTGACATACGTACATGTACATGTACATGCATGTACTTTTCAAACAAGGACAGATTAACCAAACAGACATTAAACCTGTTTGTGTACTGTGTACAAATATAGAGCAATTAGCATGACCAAAAGTCTGGAAACGTAAGGGTGGACTGATAAAACAGGTCAACGGTACATCAGGGTTCATCGATTAAATGAAATTAAATGACTAGATAAGGAAGAAAGTTCAAAGATATAGTCCATCATTTGTAATTTTGTGCATTTTGGTCGTTTGAAGCAACAAAACTGTTCAAAATCTAATGAAGGATACTGAACAACTAACCTGATGAAGTTTCAGCTAAGCTTCAGCTGTATATTCCGAGAAAAACAGCATTCTAGGATCTCAATTTCAAATCAAAAGTTACTGAATCATGTTTTGAATTGTTTTGAATTGCAGCTATACGCGATGTCGCGCACTGATCCGACGAATTATAGCAACTGCGTGCGCGTGTGCGTCATGCAAATGCTTGCGCGCGCTTCGCCGAATAACAAAACGAACTACTAATTTAAATTTTCCTACGGTGCGTCTTATAAGACGCACCGTTGGAAAGGCCTTCTTTCGTTGATTACTTCAAAATAACAGCTTCCCAGAAAGAATAATTTCACAGGGAGTTTAGTTCCCTCACTATCTTTCAACCAAGTTTGTTTTTCAACAATAATTACGCCAGTTACTTTTCGGATGGCTGCAAATGATGGACTATAGCTTTAAACAAAGTGCATTTCAAACATACAACACATGCTCTGCTTACCTACAATACCTACATTCAAACGCAAGACGTCAATACATACAACTATGACTGTAGGCCTATACTACAAAATGTACGTGTACGTACTGATACAAGGACATGTATACCGGTATGTATATGTGCATGTACATGTACATGTATGTTGCAACAATTACAGTAGGCATGGTACATGTAGGTATTTTAAAACAAGCAAAACATACACATTGTACACGTATACATGTTTGATGCATGTACTACCAGCAGGTGCCCAATTTCATGGAATTGGTAAGCAGTAAATTATACCGCATACTATTACTAAATTTCAAGTATATCTCAGCAGGGAACCACCAGTCACAATCAGTATGCGTGGAATTTTGGCTAATATTCACCAGATTTTTGCTAAGCAATGTTTTGTGCTCCAACATTTCTGCATCTTCACAATATTGACCTGCCTGCCTCAGGTGACAGCCAGCTACCTGTGGTGAATACAAGTACGCATCCCTCTAATCTAAATATAAACCAGGTTGACCCTTTGACCCCAGCCTCCCCACTGACAGGTGTGCCAGACAGCCCCCCACATATGGAGGGAGTTTTCGAAACATCGGCTTCATTTTCAGCTTCAGCTGCAGGAGATATTTTCAAGCTCATCACTTTGTAGACTCTAGCTCATGAATATGAGTCGCGATGAACGTCACGATGTATGTCACGATTTAAATCAAACGATTTTTAAAAATTGATTTAAGTCACTTTTTACATTAATTTTGCCCCCAGTTAATCAATTTATTGAGTTTATAAGACTAAATCCTTGTTAATTAAAATGTTTAATAAAATCAACACATTTAAGTCCAATTTAATCATGATAATGGCAGCATTGATTTTGTCTCAGCTACTGATAACAAAAGCCCCTTAATTAAATCATAAGATACACACATGTACAGGAAATTTTTCCAACATGTCATTTAGTTTGAAGTTTTGTTCCAGTTCATTTCTTACTCAAATTTAATATTTTTTTTTTGCAAATGTACACACACAGAGTTGTCCCATGGTACTACTGGGGACCAAAGACGCTGTGGGGACAGCAGAAAGTCCCCATAGCTCGGTCCAAATTTGCCTTAAAAAACATCCCCATAACGGGGTGACGGCCCGCCCACTTATCTTGACGTAAACTAAGAACCACAAGAGGCAATTTTTCGCCCAGATTCATCCATATGCACTGTTGACTAAGGGGAAAATGAAGGACTCAGCACATTATCCTTTCAGTATGTAAATCCCTCAGGAAATGTTGCAGAGAATTAAAATTAGGCTGACCTTTTCTTATTGGAGAAATTGCTTGCTGTGACAAAGCAATTAAGGCCAAGCTTGAAAAGATTGGATGTAGACTGCAATGTTTGGCCTTTCGGCAGACTATTTCGTCTTCCTAGAACTTCAACTCAGGCAATCAATGCATCTAGGTCTGCAGACTAAGCCCATCATAAATTCAATCCGATGAAATCCGATACGGAGGTTTATAGAGTTGTCTTTCGGTATTGGCTTCCAGTAGTGCTAACGTCACTTCCTGTCCAGGTCACAAGTGCTTCCTTAGCTGTGCTCCATCACGGCAACTCGATCGCCGCTGAGTTGACAAGCAGCACAAAATGGTCAATATTTGATGATAAAAAATTCACCGTTCCGACTCAAAAATGGCATGAAACATGCAAGGCTGCCTGCTGCACACTAACTGCTGGATCAGATAAAGTAATTCAATTCAAAAAAATATTTTGATTTTTGAAACAAACGACAAACAAAACAAAACATAAACAAAAAAGAACATGAAATAAAAATCAACAAAAAAAAAACACTGCCACCCTAAAAAAAATAAAAAGAACAAAGAAATGTCTCCACAAGGATACAAATTTCAGTATGTGTGTTTAAATAACTTTGTTTATCTCAAACGCAGTGTGGCACTGGCAGCCGGAAATTAAATTGCTTTTAAAAGTGCAAGAAATAGAAAGGACAACAACTTTAGGAATTTGTTAGGTACATAACATATTTCAGGCTTACTACCAGTGCGTAAAATGCACAAGGAAGTCGCACAGCCATACAAATGCACCAATTGCCAACATTTCCAACACACAGCACTTTTCAGGATTTGCTTTACAAAAGGGTATTCCAACTCAACACAATGCAGTGGTGGGATTAGGGGATTTATTGAGTGATTCTCAACAGAGGTATTTTGTGGTCTAATTGTTGTGGCGGTGATTTCCTTGACTTCTGGCGCAGTGAACTGCTTTTGAATATGACACCACGATGACAAACGGACGTTGAAGGAGAATAATTTGTATAGTCATGAGGTCTGGTCAGATCTCAGCAACAGGAAGAAAACAAAACTCTGAAGGCATTCAGAGAATGGTTGGTATTTTGGGGTCTGCTGAAGTGGTTTCAATGTGTATCTTTACTGGTTTCTATTATAACATGTTACTTGTATATAATTAAAACATTTGCTAGGACACACATTATTTTGTGGTTATGTTGTGGGTTTTTTGGTGCGGTTTTTTTTTTTTTGTGTGGTTTTGGGGTGCTTTTTTTTGCCTTTAGTTATTTTTCTTCCCCCCCCCCCCCCAAAGAAAACAATTCTACATGTTTTGTTTACAAAAACATGTACAACATCTGCATATAGGCCCTATAATGCATTTAAAAACAAAAATTGTCACAATTTTTAGAATAGGCCCTATTTAAATACTTTTTTATATTATTCTCTGCACGGTCACTTCTCATACCACCCACTCGCTGTACATCTATGTACATGTAATTTGGTTGAATGGCCAATTTTTTTCAGAACATATTTTTAGCTAAATACGGTACATGTAATTAAGTTTAAAGCATTTCATACAGCAATTATTTTACATACACATACAGTTCATGTACATGTACACACTGTACAAGCATATGGTACGTGTATATGATTATGAGATTGTTTCCGCATTTTCCCGTAACGGTGACCCACACAGCAAGTGCCTTTTCATTGTGTGACAATTGCACTTCAAAAGATCTTATAAAAATGTATTCTGCCAACTTCCCTGTAGGTGGCTTAATTATGCAACATGTCCCAACAATTGCCATGTTTTGTGCTGTGAAGTCATGATGCTGACTGTACACGCACAATTTACAAAATACTATAAATACCAATTCATGTTTATTCAAGGTTACCACAATACATGTAGGAGGAAGTTAAAAAGGCACGATGTAATTCAACCTCTAATATATTACACTTGAACAGTTTTTTTTTTCTGCTACCGGTTTATATTAAACCTTTTGACAAGAGCAGTGTATATGTTGTACACTTGTATACATTTTTAAAAAATGACTAAAAATTACAGACTTAAATTTGAACGGCCCGAGTCAAATAAGTAAATTAAATGAATAATATCATTTTCAAATTTTACAATTCACCTTAAACTATTTGAGGATACTTTGTTATCATTTCAATGCAAAAGTACTATAAATGTATACACTCTGATTGAATATCAGTCCCTGATCTAGAAAAAGCCAATCCATAAACAAGGAAATACAATTCGTACTGTGATAAGTACTCAACTGCTCAATGGATTCTACTAACATTCTTCAGCTCCCACATCTCAAGACTAAACACCAGTTTGCAACTGGTGTTCTAGCGTCACTTCCGATCTCATACCTGTAGGGTGAGTAAAAAAAAAAGAAACCCAAATGTCCGGACCATTGTTTTAGTGAAGTTCTGCACGTAGCACTTTCAAAATCTAGGATATGAAAGCTCAATTCATAGGCTTTCTTTTAATACAAGAATCATTCAAATCTCTCATGTACTTTTCAAGTTACGAACTTTTAAACACAACCACCGTTTGAAAGTTCTGCCCACGGATCATTAAGGTAAGTTCTTTCAGCAAAACGAAAACAAATCACATTAGGGACCTTTGTAAATTGTTTTCGGCTTGCTGAAAGAACGCACACCTTTTGTGTGATCCGTGGACAGAACTTTAAAACGGTGGTTGTGTTTAAAATTCCGTAACTTGAAAAGTACGTAAATGATTCGAGTGATTCTTGTACTATAAAAAGAAAGCTTATGAATTGGGCTTTCATATCCTAGATTTTAAAAGTGCTACATGCAGAACTTCAATAAAACAATGGTCCCGACATTTGGGTTTCGTTTTTTTTACTCACCCTGTAGTGTGGACCTGCACGTTAATAAGAGAGGGCGCTTTTGACCACTATCGAGAGCCTACTGGATGGGATCACACTGCGTGCAGGTACTGGTTCACACGGGCATGGCGCAAAGAATGCACGACTCAGTTTATTCTCGTGCGAAGTACGCACGACTAATTGTATCTGTGCACAAAGCCGTTGCGTCTTTGCGTTATCATGGGCGTCATCGCCAATAGGTTCGAGTGTCCCTCCCAGTTGTCTTCCCAACTATCCCTTTTCTACCATTGAGGGGGCCCTTGTGAATGGAGCCCACAAGGAGTAACACAAGTTGACTAAAGTAAAACAGAGTATAGTTTCAGAAAGGCAAACTTTAAATTGTATTATTTTTCCCATGGTTTATAGACCTCCTCACGAGTTGTTTCAACATACGTCGTCATTCCTAACTGTTTCAAACATTAACCCTAACTCCCTAGAGGCATTTTTGCTAGGATGTAACCTCAATGCTGAAAAATCCTCCAACTGCCTCCATGCAAAAAAAAGCATACAGCCTCAATCCTGCAAAATTCTCCGTTGTTTCTTGAATGTGGTCCTTGGAGGGGTGACCACTGCCTCAAGCCTGCAAAATCCTCCAGCAATCACTGTTGAGGCAGAGGCAGTGACATCCTGGAGCAGTGCGGAGGATTTCAAGTATAATCTAGGCCTAAATTTATGCACAGCTGAACATAAACAAGTTAACAGCACATGGTCCGGCCTAAGACCTTGACACAGTGCATCCTCCGAAAACAGCCACACATTTTCGCCATGCAGCCTCAATCCTGCAAAATCCTCCATTTTGAAAAGAGAATTTTGGAGGATTTGGGAAAGGTTTTAGGTTTAACCTTGAACACTCAAATCTTGGATAGCTTGATTTGGCAAATCTCTAGAAGTCCAGTCTAAAAACAAGTAAGATTTAGCTTCGCCAAAAATTAGCATATTCTGGCCTTAGGGGCATCTTGCTCTGAACAACCCTACTTCCATGACATTGCTGGGTTAAAAATAAAAGAAAACTCTAAACAGGAAAAATGAATTACCGAGAATCCTTTGAACAAGGCCTGACTTCCTTTCTATTGGTAGGGCCAGTTCTGTGATACGGGCTGCTTGGCCAGGGTCCTGGATGGATCATTTCTGGAGAAAAAATAATCATAAGGATAACAGGTTGTGCATATATCTTTTTTTAAATACTTGTTGGAAATTTTTTTTCCTAATTTTTTTTTCGAAAAACAATTTTTGGAGAAAACTTTCAAAAATGGAGGCCAAAAGGGCACTAAATAATCTAAATCCTGTGTGAACATTTTCCCTAGATGTTCCTATTATTTTTTTCAAAGTATGTAATAAGTTCACCCACTATACACATGACATCAAATCAGACAATGTACATAAAGCCTAACCAACTACACACAAAGAATGTGACATTTACACGTTTAAACAAAATAAAATCTAAATCCGCTTACTAATTTTCCAAATGTTTAAACGACACCCAATTGATAAAAAAGGGACCCACAGAACGTTCACGCGATCTTCCTAGAGTGAAGCATACACAGCACAAATAATTAACCATGTTTATCTATTTACTTTAGAAAACCTTAGAAGCACGGCAGTAGTGACTACTGGATTACATTCAGGGTAGTTAGTTCTTACTTTTTCAATGACTGCCCCCTATTTATTATGTCAATCACGGTTCATTGATCACGTCAATCACGCCGACTTCTGCAGACATAATTGGCAGGTGTCAGCCTTTGTGAAATGGCTAAACATTTAAACGTTTAAACGGTTCTCAAAATATTTGCTAAACGTTTACAAAATTGAACGCAAAGTCACATCCTTACTACAAAATTCCTTATTACACATGCACAGCCAAATCCATCAGAATTTAGCAGCTGCAGCATATGTTTACTGTCCTTCCAGTTTGTGGTTGTGCTATATGTACGTATGTTTCAACAATGAGAACAATGTTGGAAAATCCATTACTACGTGATTATGTGTAATGCATACGAGGGTCACACGTCAGCTTTTCTGTAAAAACATTTTGTAACAGAATTTCCTCTTTTCATTTACATGTTATCAGCAAAAGCTGTGGTTTACATGTACGTTTGGAAATGATAACCTCAACAAAGAAACTGAGGATTTGCAACTCTTTAGTAAAATGATATACTTTGTTTCCAAAGTTGACTTTCATTTTAACATGTTTAAGGGGGAAGTTAAACAATTTCTGACCGTTTCTTTGCTAATATGTGAAAGTGTCTCTTATTTATATTGGCGCGAGTAGAACACAAGCAGGTGCTCGCAAATGGGCAATTCCACACTAATGGGCCAATTAGATAACTTTATGGATGTTGCATATTGAGGGTAAAAAATGAGCTAGTGTTTTCGTTAGTTGCTTTCTATACCTTGCTAAGTTGAAAGTGACTAGGACAAGACGAGACAAAAGATATCTTTTTTAGTTGAGAAAATAACAGGCATCTTTTCTATGTGATACGCATGTAACATGGACAGACACACTGCAAGGAAAAGGGTGCTTAGGACAAATTCAGTTTCTAATAGGCACTTCCAGTGACATTATTAAGCCATTTTACATTGTTATCGATCGAAAATATAACAGTTTTCACACTGGCTTCAAAGTTATGATGTGATTAGGGTTGCGTACGAACAGGGACAGACATTTTGTGACACATGTCCAGTCTGTTCGTACGTACATGACTACATGTATAAATCCTGATTATAAAATATCAAATAATTCTTCACAGTGACTCTGAGTTTTCTAGGTTTTGACTGAATAGCATTCCTCCAGGGTACATCTTCTAAAATAAGTCAACATTAGGGGATCATTAAATTTTATACTTTATACTTTGTGACTTTATCTAAAATGTCTGTCCTTCGTTACGTACGTAACACTTTTAAAACAATATCCACTATATTTTCTAAAATACAAAACCAGTTATATCATTTGCAGGTGAGGATATTTGTTTGAAGCTTGCAATGTTTACAGCAAAAATTGAGAGACCGAAATCGTAGTTCTATCATCAAAACTAGTTAAAGGTCTTCTCAAATGTCACACTTTTGGGCCCATTAGTGTGGAATTGCCCAAGTAGCAATTTATGGTTTAGGGTTCACGGTTAATTATACACGTAATATGTCCCCTGCAAACAGGAAATCACTCCCTCCACCTCTTTCTCCCTAGTATTCTATTCGTCAAAAAAAAAACAACCTAAAAAATGACCCAAAACATCGCACAGTAGTCAGTAAAAATGTCTATGAATAATGTGGTGTAACTTGCAAGGTATTTGGGAAATTTTTTTTTCAACCTGACGCCACTTTTTTCTTTATATCATCTCAATGAAGGTCAGTCATTGCAAAAATGATGATTAAGACATGAATCTGGGAAGTGAGAGTCAAGAAATTGGAGGTAGAAAAATTATGGACTTATAAAAGTCATGATAAAGTGCACACAAACTTGATGAAGCACTAACGTATTGCGTCATTCAATGAAATAACGCAGTGGCTATTGTTACGGCAGCCGTAACGCATTTCCCATTTTCTATCGTTACGGTAGTACTGCAACTTTTATAAAAACATGAGAAGAGTGAAATGAAACAAAGTGAAAAAAGTGAATTTGAACGTTATGAAATTCGGAATTTATTTCCCTTTTAAAAGAAAATCCTCCAAAGCCTCAGGTTAGAAAAGGAAAAAAATTGGAGTGCAAAACTGAGATGCGAACCCGCAACCTCGCGGTGCAAAATCCTACCCTCTATCGACTGAGCCGTTGCACTGCTCGCTAAAATGTGGGGAAACAAATAATTATATACCTGCGTCAGTGCGTGCGTATCAAAAAAGTATCGTAGAGGGCGCTAAACAACGGCTGCCGTAACGATAGCCACTTCGATGAAAGAATTATCCATCAATGTCCAGGGGGCGAGTCAGCTACTGCTGGCTAGAGCGAGACGGGCAGGGGGCAAGTCGGCTAGGGGTGAGTCGGGAGGGGGCGAGTTGGTAAGGGGTGAGTCGATCAGGGGGAGAGTTGCCGTTGGTAAGGGGTGAGTCGGCCAGGGGGCGAGTTGACCTGGCGTATGACACAGTCACTGTGCGCTGTCGCAAGCGCACAACACACTACACAGACGCGTAGTCACGTACATTGTACACTATGCAATTTGATACCGACTTGCACGTCCACGACGTCCCGACGTCTCCAAACTAGGATTTTATTCAATGTGCTGAAAACTATGCAGCATAAAAATAACTTCACTTGTTCCATACTTACATGTCTTCTCCCCTGATGATACCAATTCCTTTATATCACATGTAACGGATTAAATACGCAGACAAAAATGTCTCGAGCCGATCTTCAAAGCGGAAGTACAAAGTAACTTTCTCCTCGTCTGGCAGCATCACTGGCTCCCGCGCGTTTACGTTACATGCAATCGAACGGTAGCAATGCTGCCGGTTACCAAGTAATGTTTTTTTTCTGCTGTCAAAAAACATTTGTCGCTTGAGGGCGGTATAACAATTTTACGGTCGACATGACATGCATGGGGAACTTTTGTGTCATGTGTGTTTACCAAACTAATGGAAAATGTCAGCTTTAGACACGACAACGGGTCATCAACTCACTGAATATGAGAATCAGATGTTTCTGGAGATCTTTGGTGAAGATGGCTTGATGCTACTGGCGAGGTGGCGTTTTCGTTTGTAGTTTGCTTGATTTAAAATGAAGTTAGAAATACTTGATGAAGAATTTGTTGCTAGTAGGCTACTAGTATTTTGGGACCAGTTTCAGTTGCGATACCCGGTGTATTTTAAATGCGATGGAATCACGTTGAGTCAGGGCCGTGCAATTATATGTAGAACATCGTTCAGTACGTTCTTCAATACTGCTGACTGTTTATAAAATGTTCAGCAACTAAAGCGCAATCTAGAATCTTGCGCAAAATTATTGTACTCCCTCCTGAGTTGATACCTAACCTAGTTATTGTGATTCCATGAATGGATTTTATTCAAAAGGTCAATAAACTCTGGAGCGAGTAGGCCTAGGCTAATGTGCTGCACATCAACATCATTCTTAGCCCCACTAGTGTGGCCGCGGCGTAGCATACCACGGCCACACTAGTGGGGCTACATCATTCTCTCTCTCGTTTAAAAAAGATAGTGGATATTTTGCCGGAGGTAATGACGGCAAACTAACGTTTACTAAAGGTTTGCCGGCGGCAGTCCATATCAACAGAGGGCGCTGTACTCTTTAAGATAGGGCTGAATTATAAGATGTATTAAATTCCCACTAGAAGTTGTGTAGCACGTTTGGTGTAGTGGTTAAGCAAAGGCTTTAGTGGGCGGGATGACTCGGGTTCGATCCCGATCCCCGCCACATTTTAAAGTTTTTTTTCCCATCCCCAAATAAATAAGAATATTCTTCTTTTATTATTTTAACATGTCTCAAACATTTTTTTGCAAAGTATGACATTTTCTTTTTCAGATTTGTGGCTCTGGAGGATTTTTTTTAAAGGGAAATAAAGTCCGAAATTATAAAATGCCGGTCTGAATCCCATCTTGTGAATACGAGGTTACAACGATAATATTGGCATGGAGCCAGACTAAAATTTGTCACCGGAAAATGTTAAGGTAAAAAAAAACAGTAATTGCGCATGTTCAGTGCATATCCGGCAAACTAACGTTTACTAAAGGTTTGCCGTCTCCGGCAAAATATCCACTGCCTTTAAAAAATATATTACTTATACTTCAATCACGATACTCACTGTACACGTAAATGTTTTATCCAGTTTCTGTCAGTTGAGTTATTTGTTAACAGGCAATGACACTGACCCTGACACACCGTGACAAGGCATGACAGGCATGACGGGGAGACATGAAAAAGTGCACATGTATTTGTAAGGGCACGATCGGTCAATGCAGGCTATCGGTCGCTCCCGTTGCGCTATTGGTCGATCATGACGCTATGGGTCGATCCCGCTGCCACCAGTTGAATACCTTTTTCTTTCTAATTCACAGCTCCTCTGAGGGATTTGTTTTAAAAAGGTGTACTGTTAGTCTGAAATACAGTTTCCTGAATCGGCCCATCGTGCAGCGCATTTCTGCGTAATCGACCGATCGGGACCAACATATTGATCGTAAAATCATCCCACTTTTCGGAAAGATTTCCATATACGAAGTTCACTCAACACCCTGTGTACAAACCCTATGAGATTGGACTGAACAATTCTGAGTGTTTTCTAAGAAAATGCTTGTATTTTCTCACTGCTCAAATTGACTTTGATGACATGAAATTGCCATCTGGGGGCTTGTTAGTCAATACAGAGGAAAATTAGTGAACTTCGTATATGGAAATCTTTCCCACTTTTCATATGAAGACCATATAGGCCTACATGATTCAAAAAAGTACTTGGATTTATTCTACCCATAGTTTGTTTGACCATAGTTGTGAAATGCAGGCAAAAGTGTAAAAAAAAAAAAAAAATTCAGTCGTGGATCAATTATTACACTTTTTCCTTCCCTTTACCCTTTGAATATTAATACAACTGCCTTGTTCATTTTTAAAATCTACATTGTTTTCTTCTTCAATTGTTTGTTGTTATCAGGGGTTTAGGCATTGACCGGATTGCCCTGCACCTGCTGAAGCTGTACAGCGATCCAGGCAACCTCGTCCTTGTCCTCAACGCAAGTTCATCAGAAGAGGTAGACAAGACAAGTTGTGAATCTTCTCAAATCTGATTTTCTTTGCTGATTAAACACATTTGTATAATTTTATTTAATAACATTTAAAAAATTTAATTAATGTATCCAGTAACCCACTATTTTTTTTCAGACTTTTTTCAGACTGTGGCCTTGCAAAACACCAAAGCACGTGCCGAGCCAGTCTTTTATAGCACCACTTATCAATGTCACATTTATATAGTAACTGTACATTTACTGTACACGTATCAAACTCAGTGACAATCTTTTGCCCCTTACAGTAAACAATCAAAAATCATCTAATCTGTTGCTGTACACAAAAAAAAAATTGAAAAAGAGTATATTCTATAAAAAATTTTGCTAAAATAAAAACTAGTCAAGATTCAGATTTATAAATAGAGCCTCAGTTCTGAAGATTGATTTTTGTTTCTGTAAAAAAAAAAATGTAATCTTAATCAGAATAGGCAGCGTTAATTGTTGTGTTATTTTATAAAGTCGTTCACTTTTCACCTTTTGACCCCCAGGAATACTACATTGAAGAGTTGGAGAAAAGGGGTGTGTCCACACTACCCAAGGTCATCAACAATGAATACAGCACGAGTGAGAGGTATGTGGTTGTGGCTTTAGTCCGAAAATTTGGGACTATGAGAGTCCCAAAAGCCCTAACCCACCTCACTCCTCCAAAATCCTCCTGGCAATTTTGGAGGATTCTAGAGGATTGAGGATGAATGGTGATTGAATCAAATGAGGATTCTGGAGGATTGAGGATGAATGGTGATTGAAGCACATGAGGATTTTGGAGGATTGAGGATGAATGGTGATTGAAGCACAAGAGGATTTTGGAGGATTGAGGATGAATGCATTTTGTGGCAGGACTGTCTGATGATTTTGAAGGATTTGGCGTTGGTTATCCTTCATTTAAACACGAGTGCAAAATTTTGGGATGAGGAGGATTTTGGAGGATTGACGATGAATGCATTTTGAGGCAGGACTAACTGACAATTTTGAAAAATTTAGGCGGAGTTGCAAAATTTTGGAGGATTTTGGAGGATTGAGGATGGTTCTAAGCAAAAAGGGCCTAGGGGGTTAGGGATCGTGCAAAAGTTCGTGCTGCGTAAAAAAAGCTTACGTAGCAACACCTTACGTAGTGACCCTTTGCATTGTGACCCATCCTTTCATCCTTTTCGAATATTGTACATGTATCAGGACTCAGCATTCTTGATTCCAACAAAATCTTGCAAAAATCAGTTGCTTCTTCTTTTTCTTTTTGATGGTCAATCTACAGGAAAGACGTTTATCTTCAAGGTGGGGTTCTCTTTGTCACCTCCAGAATTCTGGTCGTGGACATGCTGACTGACCGACTACCCATTGCTTTAGTCTCTGGAGTGCTGGTTTTCAAAGCACACAAGTAAGAACAGATTTTAAAAAGCACAAAGATTGAGAAATGTACAGCACCACAATATCAATATCCAGACTTGAGACACGTTCCCAGTTTTCAATGGAAATATTTTTTTTTAAAACTCTTGCGAAAAAGTGGTTTATCTTAGTATGGGCTTCGTGCACAGGTACCCCTTCAGCGGCCAGAAAAGGAGAGTTGTGTGAAGTTGTGGGCAAATCTGGTGAAAATGGATTTTTGGGTCCAAAACTGACTTTTTCGATGATACCGGCTATGGAAAACGTTGACGCTTCTGGGGTATTTTGTAAACAGTCATAAAATTTTCCTTTATCAATGGATACTGAATTTAACGAGTTGAACTCTTCAGGGAATTCAATTCTGGCCTCTAGGCACCTCATGTGTACTTTTGGGCAAATCTGGTGAAAATGGATTTTTGGGTCCAAAACTGACTTTTTTGATGATGCCAGCTATGGAAAATGTTCAAGTTTCTGGTGCATTTTGTAAACAGTCATAAAATTATCTTTTCTCACTGGATACGTATTTTTGGGTGAAAAACTGACTTTTTCGATGATGCCGGCTATGGAAAACGTTGAAGTTTTGAGGGCATTTTGTAAAAAATCTAAAAATTGTCTTTTCTCACTAGATACTGAATGTAATGAATTGAAGTCTTCAGGGAATTGAATTCTGGCCTCTAGGCATCTCGTATGAACTTTTCAGGAAATTTGGTGAAGTTGGATTTTTGAGTCAAAAACTTACTTTTTTGATGATGCCGGCTATGGAAAACGTTGAAGTTTTTGGGGCATTTTGTAAAAAATCTAAAATTTGTCTTTTCTCACTTGATACTGAATGTAATGAGTTGAACTCTTCAGGGAATTGAATTCTGGCCTCTAGGCACCTCGTGTGAACTTTTGAGCAAATTTATCGAAGTTGGACTTTTGCTTAAAAAACTGACTTTTTCGATGATGCCGGCCATGGAAAACGTTGAAGTTTTGGGGCATTTTGTAAAAAATCTAAAATTTTTCTTTTCTCACTAGATACTGAATGTAATGAGTTGAAGTCTTCAGGGAATTGAATTCTGGCCTCTAGGCTTCTCGTATGAACTTTTTAGGAAATTTGGTGAAGTTGGATTTTTGGGTCAAAAACTGACTTTTTTGATGATGCCGGCTATGGAAAACGTTGAAGTTTTTTGGGCATTTTGTAAAAAATCTAAATTTTTTCTTTTCTCACTGGATACTGAATGTAATGAGTTGAACTCTTCAGGGAATTCAATTCTGGCCTCTAGGCACCTCGTGTGAACTTTTGAGCAAATTTGTCGAAGTTATATTTTTGGGTCAAAAACTGACTTTTTCGATGATGCCGGCTATGGAAAACGTTGAAGTTTTGGGGGCATTTTGTAAAAAATCTAAAAGTTTTCTTTTCTCACTGGATACTGAATGTAATGAGTTGAACTCTTCAGGGAATTGAATTCTGGCCTCTCGGCAATTCGTATGAACTTTTCAGGAAATTTGGTGAAGTTGGATTTTTGGGTCAAAAACTGACTTTTTCGATGATGCCGGCCATGGAAAACGTTGAAGTTTTGAGGGCATTTTGTAAAAAATCTAAAAAGAAAATTTTCTCACTAGATACTGAATGTAATGAGTTGAAGTCTTCAGGGAATTGAATTCTGGCCTCTAGGCATCTCGTATGAACTTCACAGCAAATTTGGTGAAGTTGGATTTTTGGGTCAAAAATTGACTTTTTCGATGATGCCGGCTATGGAAAACGTTGAAGTTTTTGGGGCATTTTGTAAAAAATCTAAAATTTGTCTTTTCTCACTTGATACTGAATGTAATGAGTTGAACTCTTCAGGGAATTCAATTCTGGCCTCTAGGCACCTCGTGTGAACTTTTGAGCAAATTTATCGAAGTTGGACTTTTGGTTAAAAAACTGACTTTTTCGATGATGCCGGCCATGGAAAACGTTGAAGTTTTGGGGCATTTTGTAAAAAATCTAAAATTTTTCTTTTCTCACTAGATACTGAATGTAATGAGTTGAACTCTTCAGGGAATTGAATTCTGGCCTCTCGGCAATTCGTATGAACTTTTCAGGAAATTTGGTGAAGTTGGATTTTTGAGTCAAAAACTTACTTTTTCGATGATGCCGGCTATGGAAAACGTTGAAGTTTTTGGGGCATTTTGTAAAAAATCTAAAATTTGTCTTTTCTCACTTGATACTGAATGTAATGAGTTGAACTCTTCAGGGAATTGAATTCTGGCCTCTAGGCACCTCGTGTGAACTTTTGAGCAAATTTATCGAAGTTGGACTTTTGGTTAAAAAACTGACTTTTTCGATGATGCCGGCCATGGAAAACGTTGAAGTTTTGGGGCATTTTGTAAAAAATCTAAAATTTTTCTTTTCTCACTAGATACTGAATGTAATGAGTTGAAGTCTTCAGGGAATTGAATTCTGGCCTCTAGGCTTCTCGTATGAACTTTTTAGGAAATTTGGTGAAGTTGGATTTTTTGGTCAAAAACTGACTTTTTTGATGATGCCGGCTATGGAAAACGTTGAAATTTTTTGGGCATTTTGTAAAAAATCTAAATTTTTTCTTTTCTCACTGGATACTGAATGTAATGAGTTGAACTCTTCAGGGAATTCAATTTTGTCGTCTAAGCACCTCGTGTGAACTTTTGAGCAAATTTGTCGCAGTTAGATTTTTGGGTCAAAAACTGACTTTTTCGATGATGCCGGCTATGGAAAACGTTGAAGTTTTGGGGGCATTTTGTAAAAAATCTAAAAGTTTTCTTTTCTCACTTGATACTGAATGTAATGAGTTGAACTCTTCAGGGAATTGAATTCTGGCCTCTCGGCAATTCGTATGAACTTTTCAGGAAATTTGGTGAAGTTGGATTTTTTTGGTCAAAAACTGACTTTTTTGATGATGCCGGCTATGGAAAACGTTGAAGTTTTTTGGGCATTTTGTAAAAAATCTAAATTTTTTCTTTTTTCACTGGATACTGAATGTAATGAATTGAACTCTTCAGGGAATTCAATTCTGGCCTCTAGGCACCTCGTGTGAACTTTTGAGCAAATTTGTCGAAGTTAGATTTTTGGGTCAAAAACTGACTTTTTCGATGATGCTGGCTATGGAAAACGTTGAAGTTTTGAGGGCATTTGGTAAAAAATCTAAAAATTTTCTTTTCTCACTAGATACTGAATGTAATGAATTGAAGTCTTCAGGGAATTGAATTCTGGCCTCTAGGCATCTCGTATGAACTTTTCAGGAAATTTGGTGAAGTTGGATTTTTGAGTCAAAAACTGACTTTTTCGATGATGCCGGCTATGGAAAACGTTGAAGTTTTTGGGGCATTTTGTAAAAAATCTAAAATTTGTCTTTTCTCACTTGATACTGAATGTAATGAGTTGAACTCTTCAGGGAATTCAATTCTGGCCTCTATGCACCTCGTGTGAACTTTTGAGCAAATTTATCGAAGTTGGACTTTTGGTTAAAAAACTGACTTTTTCGATGATGCCGGCCATGGAAAACGTTGAAGTTTTGGGGCATTTTGTAAAAAATCTAAAATTTTTCTTTTCTCACTAGATACTGAATGTAATGAGTTGAAGTCTTCAGGGAATTGAATTCTGGCCTCTAGGCTTCTCGTATGAACTTTTTAGGAAATTTGGTGAAGTTGGATTTTTGGGTCAAAAACTGACTTTTTTTATGATGCCGGCTATGGAAAACGTTGAAGTTTTGAGGGCTTTTTGTAAAAAATCTAAAAAGAAAATTTTCTCACTAGATACTGAATGTAATGAGTTGAAGTCTTCAGGGAATTGAATTCTGGCCTCTAGGCATCTCGTATGAACTTCACAGCAAATTTGGTGAAGTTGGATTTTTTGGTCAAAAACTGACTTTTTTGATGATGCCGGCTATGGAAAACGTTGAAGTTTTTTGGGCATTTTGTAAAAAATCTAAATTTTTTCTTTTCTCACTGGATACTGAATGTAATGAGTTGAACTCTTCAGGGAATTGAATTCTGGCCTCTAGGCACCTTGTGTGAACTTTTGAGCAAATTTGTCGAAGTTAGATTTTTGGGTCAAAAACTGACTTTTTCGATGATGCCAGCTATGGAAAACGTTGAAGTTTTGGGGCATTTTGTAAAAAATCTAAAATTTTTCTTTTCTCACTAGATACTGAATGTTATGAGTTGAAGTCTTCAGGGAATTGAATTCTGGCCTCTAGGCTTCTCGTATGAACTTTTTAGGAAATTTGGTGAAGTTGGATTTTTTGGTCACAAACTGACTTTTTTGATGATGCCGGCTATGGAAAACGTTGAAGTTTTGAGGGCTTTTTGTAAAAAATCTAAAAAGAAAATTTTCTCACTAGATACTGAATGTAATGAGTTGAAGTCTTCAGGGAATTGAATTCTGGCCTCTAGGCATCTCGTATGAACTTCACAGCAAATTTGGTGAAGTTGGATTTTTGGGTCAAAAACTGACTTTTTCGATGATGCTGGCTATGGAAAACGTTGAAGTTTTGAGGGCATTTGGTAAAAAATCTAAAAATTTTCTTTTCTCACTAGATACTGAATGTAATGAATTGAAGTCTTCAGGGAATTGAATTCTGGCCTCTAGGCATCTCGTATGAACTTTTCAGGAAATTTGGTGAAGTTGGATTTTTGAGTCAAAAACTGACTTTTTCGATGATGCCGGCTATGGAAAACGTTGAAGTTTTTGGGGCATTTTGTAAAAAATCTAAAATTTGTCTTTTCTCACTTGATACTGAATGTAATGAGTTGAACTCTTCAGGGAATTGAATTCTGGCCTCTAGGCACCTCGTGTGAACTTTTGAGCAAATTTATCGAAGTTGGACTTTTGGTTAAAAAACTGACTTTTTCGATGATGCCGGCCATGGAAAACGTTGAAGTTTTGGGGCATTTTGTAAAAAATCTAAAATTTTTCTTTTCTCACTAGATACTGAATGTAATGAGTTGAAGTCTTCAGGGAATTGAATTCTGGCCTCTAGGCTTCTCGTATGAACTTTTTAGGAAATTTGGTGAAGTTGGATTTTTGGGTCAAAAACTGACTTTTTTGATGATGCCGGCTATGG